AGGTAACCGGCGGCCCAATCCATCCCGTTCTTCAATCCGAAAGTCTCCTAATCTCTAATTCCCAAAAGGTCGGCGACGCACTCGTAACCCCTTTGTTGTTGCGGACGTCCATGGGCGGCGCTGATTGCTTACCATCAGGTAATCCGCACGCTTGTTTGTCGTCCTAAAACATAAAAAATACTAATAATTTACTGCGTTATTATCAACAAGCTGTGCCTTACTAAACAGGCCAATATACACGAACAAACTACATATAAACTCTAATAAACTTCAATATAACTACAGGATATATCAGCGACTCAGTTCCCCCATAAAAAGGCGCAGAAATCCCTGTTTATGCAAACTGTACTTGCGAACGTTTCACACGTCATTTTCCGAAGCCATGCGCCCCATAAACTTGCACATAGCAATTTTCCACCATAACACACACATACATACGCCCACGTCACTAATAAATGATCTTATAGCTATTGCCCACACATACAAATACAGCCTTTCACACACGATTATATTTACATGTGTATGCAAACAATGATGACGTAATTTGTGTTTGTGTGTGAAAAGGTCTTGTCCAATTATAATGGGTTATATTGTATGGGTGTGTGGGTGTTACTGTTGTGCAATGATGCATTTCATGCGTCTCAACTAATGTTCTAGTCGAGAAGCTCGTGAGTGACTTTAAACCTTATTCATTTATCACTTAGATTGTTTTTGATATTGGTATTTTTCTGTTAGTCGTAACAAAACTCGAGGCAAAAATGTCGCTGTCACCCCTTATACCGGGCCATAAACACAAAACTCTGTAACGAGACTTTTATTTCCATAAGCCCGAGTATCTAAGTACAATCAACTCCTTTTAACCTCGATACGAAGGAAAATAAAGTAAATATTCGCTTACACACAAGAAACGCGAAACCATTACATTATAATATGGGCGACGAACTGTAAAAGTCTTTACAGCAATTTTCCGCATGACACACACACACACACACACATACACCCACATACACGTATATTATACAGCGTGTATTTATGTTGTACACATGAACAGCTCGAAGACAATAATGGAGAATAAACGGGCTATATAAAGGGTGTTTTTTGTTGTATAATTTTACTTATCGCTAGAAGTGAAATGTTTTAGTTAAAGTTTGCCGTCTTTTGTATAGATAAAGACAAATTGTGTAGCATTATACAAATTTTATGTACTTTGCAAATTGCTTTGTGTGTCCTTTTTAAATAAAAAAAGGGTAAGAAACTCCATGGTCACTCTTTTTCAATCAATTCTCAGCTACCATCGCACGTTACCGGATCTCTTTGACTTCCTTAACCCTCAACCCGATAACTATTGAATAAAAAGCGGAGAAGCTATCTATGTATCTGTGTGTACATCCCGGTGGCCGCTCAATTTGTGCCCAGATGAGTTTCATAACACGTTTAGTGCTCCCCCACGCGGCAATCTTGGCCAAATTGGAAGGCATCAGAACGGTTAATGATAGTCGCTACACGACTTTGATATTCGAAACTTTTATCACTATGCTGAAACCTTGTTTTGGATGTTTCAGGCTATTTATTGATACTGTTTTGGTAAGTGTGGGCTGCTTTAGTCATGAATAATAGTTAATGTTACCCTTTATTTCAGCAAGAACGGGGGGGGGGGGGGGATTTATAGTTAGTAATAGTCTGACAATTCCTATCGTCTCACCCTAAGGGAGAGAAATCATTTAATGATTTTCCCCTCACACATATTTTATATTACATTTTAATGATATGGATGTTTAAAGTAGACTCGAATTGTTACTGCTTTTTTAATTGTTTATGAATATCGGAGTACGAGTTTTAAATCATTGTGGTAGCTATCATAATTACATTTACACATGTAACAAAAGCTGTGTGCGATATTTTGATAATTATGTACCTAGGCAGAATAATATATGTATATGAACAGATGTACAAGTTTGTGTAGTCTGGACTATGTTAATGATAATCCTAACGTAATGCTAACTTGAATGAATAGATCAAACTTGTATGTATGCCACTTAGACCTATAAGATCTCCCTCATCAAGAAGAACAAATACAGAAGACAGAAGAACGCAGAAGAACCAGCTCATGGATGTTAAATTGACTCTAGTAGGGAGTCCGTATGTACGCGCGACTCCCTAATCGAGTCAGGTTGACTTCTTTGAGGCTAACACAACGGCAGAAGATAACAGAAGCAGAAGAACGAAGAGAAGAAAATTTGTTTATTTACCTAATGTTTTCCTATGCTCTAGAGTAGACTGGCAGTGTGATATATCGCAGATTCGTTTCTTATTCATGTTTTTGACAACTACGCTTACTTGATTGTATATTTATGTTTACATATCAGCTTTAAAAAAAAAAATTCTGTTAATTTCCCTATGGACGGATTATAAGAAAATTTAAGTTTTAATTTTTCTCTTCTCTTTTGATCTCTTTGCAAAATGAACACGAGTAAATCAGGCTATATTTCAAACCAACCTCATTTTAATTAATAAAATCCCCGACAATCCCCTTGCATGGGTAAGCCGACGATTATTTTAAATTTTGTCCTCCATTTTGGGTTAAGTTAAAAATATCATTTTGTATTAAAGAAGGTATACTTACTTAGTGATTTAGGACACTATATCACCTGTAACTAATTATTTGTTAATGTTTATTTTAATCAGAATGCAAAAATAATCTTATATGTGTCACGGAAATTAAGTTACTTTTTGTTTGCTTCATAAATATAAAATTGATGTTTATATAGATGAACATGTATACTATATACATTCTAAATAATAGGTCTTTACCTATGAAATTGCCGTTTGGCACGAAAAAATTTAAACGAATTTTTTGATTTGAAATGCGATGAAAATGTAACACTATTCAGTAAACAAATGACTACTTTTGGAAAAAGAATCCTATGTTTTTAAAACAAAATGAATTAGCCTTAGCCTAACAAAAACTATTTTGATTTGAAATGGCCAGTACTGCAGAACGGCAATTTCATAGGTAAAGACCTATTATTTGATATTGTATGTTACGCTTCATATTTTACTTTATCTATGAAAAAGATTTCTCCAAAAACTAAACACGATTTTACAGACACTATTAGTGAACGAAACATCATCTGGAGTCTATGCAATAGGATTAATAGCTACGAAAATAGAAACGTCACGAACAATGCCATTTTTAAAATAAGATTCCTTTTCAAAACTACAATAAAATCCAATTTAAAATCAATACCGACGAGTCTTCGTGCAATATCTGAGACAACCCTTATTAGATCTCGCTAGGGTTGTCAACCGCAAATTACCTCCATTAACAATAGTTCTTATCCAGCTGCCACGACGACACGCTATTCACAGATGAAAAGAAAGAACAAGCATAGCTAAATATTTTCTCTGGTAAAATATTATGTCAGAATATAAAAGAGCTTTTAAAATCACAATAAAAATCTAATTTAATACCGATACCCGCAAAGCCTCGCTCAATCTCCAGCAACCAGAGACAACCCTAATGAGATCTCCAGAGGGTTGCCAGTGGAAAAAATGCTTTTAAAATTAAAATAAATTCTTCCCAAGACAGCCCCGGCTGCATGTAATCAATTGGAGATTAAAGGCAAGAGGATTGCTCTGAGCCTTTGCGATGTAATTTTCTATTTTATAATTAAGCCTCTTTGTGTCATCGATTTGAGGCGAAGCCACTTCGAGGGGTTTAGCGGACTGGATTACAATTAACTGACTGTACTCGTATAGGCGTACAGCAATAGGTACTTGAACACGCGTGTGTTGGGAATCCTGTTAGTACAATAGGTACTTACTTGAACAATATATCTACGACATCTATACACGTATATAGGTAATTAACTACAATTATAAGTACGTTTAATATCTCCATATTGGATTAGAAGGTTCTATAAAGTCTACTACAAACATAAAGCGAAGATTAGAAACGTTGAAACAGTCTGCGCTATTAATTTCAAAGACTTTGTCATCCTATATCGCTGTGAAAAGTAAGAAAACATCGATAAAGTAACAAAACAAAAACACTTTGAGGACAAACAGAAAAAAATGCGAAAGAAGCGGTTCCAATAAGTCACAATAAAATAAAGGCTGCATTAGTCCCAGCTGCGGGAATAAATCGAGAGTTTACAGAAAAGAAGCCAATCTATTTGAGTGTGGCAACACAGAGCGTTCAGGAATCGAACGCGCATTCCCTTTGGGAAATTAGGGTTTCCAGCTCGGAGCTTGTTCCGTTGAGGTCCCGTCATAGCTGGTTACTGCAGAATAATATAACTACTGGTTTGATGGGATGCAATACTCCTTTGAGCTGGACCGTCGGTGGAATAAACGAAATCATTCGGCTTTATAACATTCAAAGGACTGCGTCTCTCGGACACTGTCTCGATCAAATAAGAATAACTTCGATAAACATGTTTTTTGGTTTATCCTACTAATATTATAAATATATAAAAGTTTGTGAGAATGTATGAATGTATGTTTGTTATTCTTTCACGCAAAAGGGACCGATTTGTTTGTTTGCCATGTAGATAGGTGATAACCTGCATTAACATAGGGCGAAGCCACGGGCGGAAGCTAGTTCTTTGAAATATCTCTTCACAGACATATACACAATCATCTGTACTTAAAGATAACTTATACTTTTTGGAAACTCACGCGACTTTACAAACAACTTATATTTTTTTCAATAAAAGTCAATAAAAGACTGTCATTTGTTAAAAAAAATTCAAATTAATTAATATATAAATAAATTTGCCAAATTAATGTACATTTGAAAATTAAATTAATTCCAAAACAAGTGGTATTCAACTGTTCGGTCCAGATACTTAAGCGTTTTATTTTTATACCGGATTTTTTTTCTTTGTGCATTGTTTTTGTATGGATCATATGTACCTGAAATAAAGAAATAATTAATAACCATACTTCAAAACAATGAATTCTGACAGACTATTAACGAGTTACTATTCTACTTTCAGTACAAAATCCCAAAGAAGGAAGAGGTGGTGGAACAGCAGCAAGCCGAGCCTGACAATCCTCTCATGAGGAAGAAGAAGACTCCTGAAGAACTGGCGGCCGAGGCGGAGCTTGAAGACCAGGATGAGTTCACCAGTAAGTTGACACTACTCGAAAGATATTTTATAAAATGGCACATTGTTGGACTTTACTAAAACGCTTGTTTCAAATGTTTCAGAACTGAAAAACACCATCGAAACGCAAGTGAACGAACTAAAGTCGCAGATCGAGAGCAAGTGCGTGATGCAGTGAGCGCCTCTCGACCATTGTAAAACTATCTGAATACATGATGTAGCTGAGCTAAGGTCATTGTTACGACGATGTTTCACACCCTGTATACACCCCACCACCCACACGAGCCCCGGATAGCGAATAAACAACAAAAACTAACAATTTCGTTCGGACGTATCAATCATTCGCGCTCAAAATTTTTGTAGGAGAGATTCGAATTCTAAATTTTTTCGGAACGTAGTTGGCTAGTGGCGCGTTGGTGCTTGATAATAAGCAATAATATTTTTATACATTCATAAAAAATTTTTGGAAGGCAGCCCTCGATACTACTGTGAAGCGCGTTTCTGAACGTATGGTCAAAAAGTCATCAGCCACCGAGCGTCAGAGGAACGCAGTCGTGCACTCGTCAAGCAGTTTATATGTTGAAGCTTGTGATATATTGTTATTTAAGTGTAAAGTTGAAATAATATAATACAACTAGAAAGAAACGGTGTAATCTAATTAAATGGAAGAACTTATTATAAGTAACTCTAGCACGCGTGTAGACTCGACAATCGATTATTCGACTATTCATCGCCTCCTCTTCTCTATTTCGCACTTACATTGAAATAACAATGTATTCGGTCTGTCGGTGTATTTGTTTCATCCAAATTCCACGCTTGTCTGACGGTCTGTCTGTCTGTCTGTTTCCCCCGCTCTTACTACGATTCGCTTGAGCTCTTCGACTTTTGCCTCTAAATCTTTTGCATGCGTGCTTATGCAGTGTTAATCTATGTGTCAATGTAATTTCTGTTAGGTGTACATACCTGTAATCGACCTAGCCTTAATATCCACATCGAATATAATAGGTAATTGTTATGGAGGCGCGCTGCGCCCGCTGTTGTCCAATACTTTCTTGCATGTTTAATATAAGACTCAATGTTCATTTAGTGTTTAATGTGTAAAATGTTGTAGATAAACAAGTGGATCGCGTTGTGTTACCGTCTAAACTAATGGTTTATCGATGTTTTACGCTTAGGTATTAAAGTTAAATAACACATTGTGGTGTGAGCAAATTATTCGAGCGATTGCACCAATCGGAGCGGCTTACGAAGGCAGGCGATTGTTGTACCTACAACCAGTGAATGTAAGATCAAGATGGCTCACGCAGACAGCGGGTCGATGGGGCAGACGTGAGGAAGAGCGTAGTGAAGGCAGATCGTGCTAATTGTTCGAACAATGTTGTCCACATAGTTATAAAGCTGCAAATGCAAAAGATTTGTTATCGTCAAAAGCTGTGATATATGAATATAATAAACTAAAGCGCGCAATGCGACGACGCTCGCGCTCTTAGCTTCTTCAATCTTTCAATCTTCAATGTTCGACACGAAACTATCATTGTACCTTCTTATAGATCGGACCTCTTCGGATTACAATCTCTTCAATCAGCACATCATGTATTTTATATATCTCTGTTATATGTTCACACGCGATGCTCTCTGGTCACTGTAGCTTAGGACGTTCTCAGTAGACCTGTCTTATGTGTAGATCTCATGTGATGTCGATGTACACCCGTGCACTGTGCCCGTTTACGATAATTACGACTTACACAAACATAGCGTATCCATAGGTTAATTTGTTAATTAGTTCAGACTTTAAGTACAACAGGATAAGGATACTGACACCAAAGTACATAGTTAGTTTGTATCGATGGCACATCACTAATTAGTCGAGTTGTCGGACAGTTGGTCGATGCATCGATTCCCAACCAGTCGCATCGCGTGTTAAATACTAAGATTATATTATTTTAGATACTTCACTTACACACTTAATGCTTGCTTATTTTCTTACGTTATATGACATCCTGTCAATTACACCTACCTTCTCTTCACACATATACTATTCAATATACAAACATGTAAATAAAAAAGCAATAATTTCAGATTGTTTATTGAGAATGCTACTATTTTTCTGAAGTATAAGAATCGACTATTTTTCGCACTGTACTGCACTCGGTATATTATCATAGCTTGTCTCATAGTCCTTGTTTGGAGCACGCACTACGCATCGCAAGCGTACGAGTAAGTGGGCGTCACTAATGTAAGACGTAATATATACTTAAAGTTTCACGATGTATGTGTGGTTAGCCTAGGTGATAATGTATAACTAGTTGTACCGTACGTGCATGGCAAATCTAGCTAAATGGTTGTATGTAGACATTCAATACAATAATAGTCGTTAAGTCTATTGGACCTGTCTGATGACCAAATTTCGACAGAATCTATCTTTCCTTCATCCTCTTGTGTGTTAGCTAATACTAATCTATAACCTTTGTCTATATCTTGAATCTATCGTAGTGTAGTCTGCGTTCTACGTTGTTGACTCTCAAGTAGCTGATAGTTTAGATAAAATGTTATTTTGGTATAGAGCGGTCTGTACTCGGGAGTGTGGACTTACTGTCACTAATTTAAAATTAACGGAACTTGCACTCGCTGCGCGGGCGCCGGCCGCGGGAGTCGCGTGACGCGGCGCATGCGCGGCGCCGTGTAAGTGGTTGCATGACGTGTGAACAGTGTGCTCAGCTCTTGGCGTGTTGGTGTCGTTCTCTACTAATTAGTCGCGTGTCAAGCTGTTTGTAAACATAACGTTAGTCGCTTCTATTCTCGTGTATTTAAGCTTTCGATGTTCAGTGTAATAGTTTATAGTAATAACGTTGCTTCACTGCGCCACTTCTTAAGGAATTTGGGTGATATCAAATGGTTGTTGAATTATTTAATGTACCTAATACGAACGTGTTTCTGCTGTCAATGTTTGTTTCCACGACCGTGGCGATGTAGCTGTGTACACATCGATCTTCGCCCTGGTCTGTCACCGCGTCCTGCATCATGTCTCTTCACACAACAGTACCTATAATTATTATTGTATTTCTTTTTTATAATATTATAGTGAATTTATAAAGAGGTTTATACAAGGTAGACGTGTAGTTTAGACATAAAGAAAATAATTGTAAAATCAAAATTTTTGAAAAGAATATAAGTAAATGATTTCCGTATAATGTTCCCGTAGTGTTAATTTTAAGGAATCCAAGATGTCGCGACCAATTTTTATATGTTTTGCCACGAGGAAGTAATCGATGTTACAGTTGGATATTTTCGAATCTTATGACTCTCATACTCAGGGTAATATACTTATAGTTATCTGTTCATAGTATGATTTAGATCGTTTAGCTATGAAACGTATGACTTTTTGGCCTGCGAAGGCTTACTTACCTTTCTCGGAACCTCTTCCTCTATATGTACCCTTGACCCAAACGGTAGATCGTCTTGATATTTCACTGTTGTTCTTAAATCCTTAGAGGAGTTATGGAATGGTAGACTAAATAACATTTTATGACATAACTTGTTAAACTTATTAAATAAACTAGCCTATTGATAGTTGCACTAGGTTTAATGTAAGGGGGCGTCTGTGGGGACAGCCGCTCGCCGCGACACGTGATAATACTAAAGCGGCCCAGTCGCAACATTTTCTGCGGAGTTACAAGGAGACTGCGCGAGCGTCGGTAGTGCTATCATCTGACGAAGCAGACGCTATGAACGGGAGATTTAGTAAGCAAGGCTACACTATGTAACATGGTCGTGCACGCGAATGATAACTCTACCGACACTCACACATTCCATAAGGTGTGCGCTACTGGCAGAAACAAACGAGAGGCGGTCGGTGATTGCAATAACGTATAGACAATTAGAGACAACGACACTGTACCACACACTCAAGAGCTTTTACACTGAATGCCAATATTAGTTTGACGTTGTTATTGTTTCAAGTCTCGGGCGGCGCAGGAGTTGCAAAGAACTGAATATAAAGTGCCACACACAGACAGTAACTGCGCTGACATAGTTCCACAGACTCTGCGCTGTCGGTGGAACGTTTCATGTGATTCTGAATAGTTTACAAATATATTCTGTTGTTAGAGGAGCGCCGACCGCGCGGCCGCCGCCCTCCCTCTGAGCACGAAAGTTGTTGTAAGGCAGGCGGCCGCACTGTCCGCGGCTCGATTCTTGTTTGTATATTATAGTTATTGGCCAACACACTAGTTCGTTAGCTTTTAATATTAGTGACATTATAGTGTTAAAATTGCAAGTTTACAGAATGTATAAAATTCCAATGAAACCATTAAGTACTCATATATGAACGGGGTTCATATGTATGTTGTCTTGTTATATTAAAGAAGAAAAGGTTAGTAGTTTATCCACAATTAAATTTAAACTTAGGGATTATGGATGAATAACGAAAAAGGTTATTGTTGAAAAATGTTTTTAGGTAATTAAATAAACGGATTGAGCTTCTGTGACACCTTGTTGTTAACAATAAGTTAGGTTTGGTTGCAGTGACCGCCCGACCGCGGCCGATTCATGGCACCGACTCTTTGTCGGCCGATCAAATCTATAGCTAACTTGGCCACGTGTAGAATCGGTTGCGCAGGGTGTGGCTATCTTCTGGCTGTATACAAACTGCCGTAATAAACTCTATTCTTATATAAATAAGATTAGTTTTCATTTCACGACTGTATCACTGTAGGACATAGAAACGCTTTTTCGCTACACTTCGTTCGCCATTACTGTTGCGGAGCATTGTTAATATTTATTTACAAGGTCCCTATTAGTTATTGTATAAAAGTTTAGAGGTAGCCATTTTCATATATGTACGTTGAGTTAAATGTGAAAATGGTTTACCTAACATGTTGTTAAATAATAAATAAACTACATTGTACCACTACTTGTTTGTTTTATTTCACATTCTCCTAAACTACAAAGTTGCAGTACACTCGCTACGACGTAGCACTTACTACGCTACGCGTAGCAACAATTAAGACGATACCATGGGCTTAGCGAATACACATACATATACTTCATACACATACATATAGACTATGACCATGTGTCTATAATATCATATTACGGAGATTAAATTCAAGAAAATTTATCTGCTGGCGTATAGAAATATCAGAATTAAAATCTCCAATATTAAACATTAATTATACATAGCACCCGGAATATACTAGTTTCTACTGTAGAATTTTTGAGGTAAACTCAAGAATATTTTTTGGATCTGGGCGTCAACAATTACAATCAGCAATCTTGTAGAGGATACCTAAATAAAACATTCTTGACAAATAAATAATCAAACATTAACTTATTTATACTTTAATCTCCTAAATATTAAATCTAACTTAACCTATTCACTGTTATACATCATCTAACAAATTGACAGCATTCCAAACTTTATTCAGATTCTTATTGAAATCTTCTAGCATGTGCAGCATACTTCTCATGGTGGTCTTGATAACTCCATGATTGGAGTCCTTGACCCTTATAGTAGCACTATCGTCTGACACTTCAGTTTTCAAAATAATACCTTCAGTTGAATCTATTTCAGTTTCAACCTGTTCTTCTGAAGTTTCACCAAATTCTTCTTCTAACTTCTTGAGCAGTTTTAAAAGTTTCGCTTTGTTCTTACCAGTGAGATCTATTTCATTGTCGGCTGATGTTTCTTTAATATCATTGTCAATACTCCTTCTCCTTCTCACTAGAGATTCTGAAACATTGGTTCCTTCGTCCGATCCCGTTTTCTTTTCTTCCTTCTTATTAGTATTTCTATCTAAAGAGTCAGAAGTTCTCTTGCTAACATCACTTTTACTTTTCTTGTTAATCTTCTTTAGAAATTCTTCACTATCTTCTGTTAACGTTTTGGTGGTTTTTTGTTTTCTACTCCTTCCTCCAAAAATAGGACTGTCTTCTTTCAACGATTTAAAAGACCTTACCTTGTAGCTCGTTTTTGGGTATTTACTACTTTTTCTGTTTATATTCAATTTTGGCATACTAGACCGAAGCTCTTTCAAGTCGTTTAGTCTCTGCCTTGCTCGTTCTAATAAATCGTCTATAAATTTCCTCGGATTCACATCATGGTCGTATCTCTTACTAGTTCTATGTCTGAATCCATATTTATGAAGTCTGCTGCCATATCGATCACTGATATCTCTTTTGAATCTGTCTTGACCCAAATTTCTTTTAAAGACATCTTGTATTTTGTCCAGATCTCTGTTCATATCAGTGATTCTACTTCTGAGAGCATTGTTACCGGGTAAATAAGTATCAATATCTTCAAAGTCATATGAAAGATCAGCTATGTGTGCATAATCATCAAAATCATCGTTAACTGAACGTTTAACTCTGTGGGCCTCGTGTTCAACAGTTTCTGCTTCAACTAATGTTTTATTTTCAATCACATTATGGCAAGCTTCAATCTTTGTGTTAGCGAGTACCCAGAAACCGAAGGATCTCGCTGGCAGGTTGATTAGCAGAGTTTTGTATGGATGGACCCGTTTTACTATAGGTTTTATGTTTCCTTCATAATACATAGGCCTACCGTTTACCATAATGTTTCTGTAAAGAAAGTTGAAACAAATAATTGTTTTTAAACTCAAAAAACTAATCCACATGTGATAATAAAGTATTTCCACAAAAATCTTACCCATTATGATCATTTCCCAGGATGAACTGCATAATATCCCCTCCCTCCTCCCTCTTAGAGAGCTTGAGCGAGAATCTGGCAGGTTCATTATCCATGTTCGCCCCAAACAGAGTGACTGCGCCAGGTACCGGCTTGTGTCTCAGCGATGTGCAGTGTGCAAAGAGAACGGCTGGTTCTGGGTCCATTTGTATGTTGAGTACTCGTTCACCAACTAGGTTTTTAAATAGTAGTGCCATGTAGAAACTCTGAAATTGAAAGTTGTCTGTTAAGTTGTAAGCCCTTAACTTCCTTACCAATCACGGAACCACAAGGGAACAGAGCTTTGGAAGGCGTACGAGTGGCCGAAGCTAACTCGCAGAGACGCTTTGAACAACTTTAATATTAGTGAAATGGGACCTCAGCCGGCAATTATCACTTTATGCAATATGAAAGTGCACTCAAGGATAATCCCCAGTTGATGCAGGACTATTGCAAAATGTGGTATACAAATATGGCTATAGGTATGGGTTGCTATGGCCTAGTATACATAACAACTATTGAAATACTATGCCCCCTGCCCCTGACCAATATTAATACATACGGATAAGCAGGCAGAGGTGACAGGCAAACTCAATTAATGGACCCCGGAAACGGCTACTAGCATGTAGCGACACATCCTTTCCCCGAGTCTCCTTCAACTTTTACTATTATTTCTCAATCATATACCCCCTTATTACAAAACAAGTTTTATCTTTAGTCCAGGTTTAAACCATTGAGTCGGGTTTTGAATTTTGAATCTTATTTTAATCTACCTTCAATTCGAAATACAAAAACTGGCTCAATGGTTTAGTCCTAGACTAAAGTAAAACCTTGTTTTGTAATAAGGCTGATGGAGTCTAAATGTTGTGACCGCATTTTGTATAGCAGGCTCATCATCTAAACAAGGAACTCATAATATTCGTCACAAAAAGCGAGTTTTGCCTTGAATGCTTATTTTATAATTAGGTAAGTTACTTAGCTAAGCATTTAAACTCACCAGAGTAGGTTCATACATCTCCTCCTCCTCCAACTCCCGAAAATGTACAGAAAAGCCATTTTTAGCTGAATATCCGAGACTAGCCAACCAATCAGCGGCTCGCTCTAAGTCGCTGTGCTGTTTCTGATTGGTCTCCGTCAACCAGAGTGGAGTCTGGCTCCGTGAGAGGAACCGCAGCAGCTTCAGACGATCACGCTCAGTCATGCGCTCCAGCTCATGCGAAGAAGAATTCCTGAAAACCAATTATAAAAATAATAAGTAAAAATAGTAAATAATGCTTCTTGTTGCTAGAGATACAGTGGTCGCAAATATTTGCGTTAATCTATGAGGCTTCACAAATGGTTCTGGTTCACTTTTCTCAATGTATGTGATTTTGAATGTATGTAATTTTGTATGTTTGTATACGCACCCTTCACTAGAGAAAATCGAAGGATACCCTAAGGATTTTTCACAAAAAAAAACCAAAACAGGACAAGGTCGTCGTGAAAGGACAAAGTCCAATCACAATAAATAAGAGCAATTCAGTTACATACCCATTTAACAGCAAAGCGTCCATCATATCGTTGGACAGCGTCAAGTAATCCTTGAAGTCACTCTTGGACTCTGCCTGCAGACACTTTGTGACGTCACCTCCCACCACCTTCCACTGCTCCGTGCGACCGGGAGGGAAGGTCTCAGTTATGGCACGCAGGGTCTCAAGGTCATTCAAATATTCATCTATTGACTGGTTCCTACATTCTGAAAAGTGGTAAAACATATTTAGTATGGGAAAGTTACCTAATAGGAGTATATTGTTTTTTGGGTAAATATATCAATATTGGGATTTGCAGCTGCTTACATAATAGATAATAGAGAATTTGGCAATAAATTACCTACTATTAAAACAATCTAGGATAGATTAGAAAATTGCCATTGGAAGTATCAATATTTAAAAGTTTCTAGTTTTAAAAAACGTAGCCCACGCTATTGACGAATATAATTTCATATACACATCCCAATCACACCAGAACAATAATTTTTGGATGGTACAAAGAGTACGGCAATGGCATGGAAAGGCAGCCAGTTTCACTGTTGCTGTCATGAACTAAAATTAATTGAAATAAGCATTGCCATAAAGACAAGTACAATATGACCTGACCACGACTAGTTTTAATTATAAATCAAAACTACACTCACCATAACCCAGCTCCCAAAAGATATCCCCAACTTTGACCTTCTCGGCCACAGTTAGTATGTTCAGGGCCGTGTTAGGGTCCCACATTCCGGCCGCAGTCCTCTCCTCATTGTTTAAAGCGAAGACGAGGTCAAAACCAGTCGACTTGGCCCATTGCACAAACTTCCTCCACTGTCGATGGGACACTGCCAAATTCCTAGTTTGGTGGTCGCGATGTTTTTGAGGGACGTCGGAATCAAAGGCCAAGATGTCGAAGGTTGACCTGAGAAGGTCCTTGTCGGAGTAATCCACGTCGTTGATGGAGATGGTAGTGTTGTGGAAGGTCATGTGTGCGGTGGATGGGCCAGCTATGCGGAGGTAGGATGGAGTTAACGATGCCGCCATGCAGATGCATTCTTTACTGTAAAAGTAAAAATGGAGTAGAATATTAATTAAATTACAAGTTCCAACATTACGTAAGTAATTTAATGATCGATGATTTAATATTGCATTGAAACTATTGGCTGTAATTTGTTGCGGGATGACTCTCCGAAAATTATATGAAAACAATATGTTCGTCCAAAGTCGAGAGGACGAACGAACAAAAACGAACTTACCTACTGTACTTGTCACTGCTCGAAAACAAATACTTGGGGTCTATTGTGAAACTTAAAAACCTGCTGTCCACCACATTGACATGTTCCTCAGTGCCTATCTTCACGCTATAAGTATCGGAACTACACAGACTTAGGTACCGCAGCAGAAGGAACAAGAACAAATATACTGTCGCTGCCATTTCATTGACTTCGTCAAATAAAATGTCGGCTCGGTCGACTGCATTTTATATTGACGGCGAAACAGGAAGCTTTGTGTCGCAGTCAAAGTGTGAATTATACTTAATTTATTTTTTCTTTTCAATTTATGTACTCTGAAAGAAAAGCCCTCTAGTGCTATATGCATTTTTTTATTTCATAGGTCAGCAAACGGGCTCTTGGATTACCTGATGGTCAGCAATCAGCTCCGCCCTTGAACACTCGCAACAATGGAGGAGTTACGAGTAAGTTGCCGACCTTTTGGCGATTAGGGATTTGAAGATTTTGTGATGGGAGCGGAGGGGAAGGATTGGGCCTCCGGTAACCTCACTCACACGGCGAAACACAACGGTGTGGTTGTTTCACTCCGGTTTTCTGTGACGGTGTGCCGTGGTATCCGGTCGAGACGACCCATTCGTGGCGAAGCATGGCTTTTACACACAGATAGATAGATAGATATACATAGATAGATTTTACAAAATGTAGACTCTCCACTGAACACTGTTCGAACTGTTCTTAACTAAAGAACTTGGTCAGTTTTTGAAGACATAATAAAAAGTAAAACTAAAGTTAGTTTTACTTTTTATTATTTGTACTATTTTGGTGTTAAAGTGTATTTAAGGCGCATAATATCAACAAAAGTTAAATTGATGAACTAATATTAAGTCGTAGAAGCTATGAACAAAAAGATGTGAATTATATGCATTCAGCCTCTGAATACAGGCAAAGTCACAAGCAAATGCTAGTCACATATATTTTTATTCAAAATTACAAGAAAAGCGCGTATAATTATGTTAACTTTATTTTTTTACTCTGATTGTTTTGTCCGCTAGAGGACGCCACATAATAGTTTGTGATAGCCCATATAGCCTATAATCAGCGGACAATTTAGACGTTTTTGATGATATGTCATAATGTCGAATTCTGAAGTTACGAGTAGTAACTAGTTAAGAAGTTACGAGGGAACAGATGAACATACATACATAGCCTATCAAAATCATAACCCTTCTTTTGCTTTGCCGTAGACGGGTAAAAATACAGGTCACCACTCCCTGTACTATAAATAATTAGGACTTTTATATTTTAATGAAGAATATATAAAACGTTTATTATAAATATGATTCTCGATTACAGTCTGCGACACAAAACTGCTGACTCGATCAGCCTCGCAGAATTGTATAGCTCGCACATTTTGCATAATATACATAACTTTAGCTGATATTACACAATGATTTGTTTACTTTGTTTCTACGTAATGGCACGTTTGCCTGCATATATTTCTATTGAATAAGTTTTTGGCAAACGCCATTCATCATATATTCACGTTCGTATCATGAAGTATACCTTCTTCAGGTGAGGATGGAAAATAACCAAATGCCTCCTTTCATCCAGGGTATATCAGCCTGTTACTGACTTATAACCATCCCATTCCTATTCGTACCTTATATCCCGTCCATGGTCTATAGCTAGAATCAGCAATCAAAGCCCCTACAAGAAAATATATCTTCGACTGCACGATTGACGCGGTGACTGTGAAAACGGCTGCCGTGCAACGCGTCGCGAGTTCAATTCCCGCACAGAACAACTCTGTGTGATCCACAGTATGTTGTTTTCGGTATGGGTATGATGTGGTATGTCAACTTGTATGTTTGAATGCACGACACAGGAGAGAATCGTAGTGTGGAGAAACTAAATATAAAAAAAAAATATCTGGATCCCTACTCCTCATCTCTCGCTCTCCTAGGTAATTATAGTTGTAATTGTAGATGAATGAATGTTTCTTATAATAAGTAAGCCATTTTCTTTTAATTTTATTTTGCTCATCAAACCTTTGCCTCGCCTGGAGTACCTATGGCTCGCGGACATCAAGTATATAAGACTACAGGTCAACAGTGATGTGGATGGGAGAAGATCCTTTTTTGCATCCTGCCCTTGGAGACGAGTTTGCTTCTCGCAGGATGATCTCAACGCCGCTGCTGACTCAGTTGCCGATGTGGTGCTGAATGGGTTGGAACTTTTCGTTCCGCCCTTTGTGGTTCCCGTCGGTGGCAGATATCGAACTTGGTTCGGCACTTCTTCTAGAAAAGCTTCAAGCAGGTAGCAAGAGGCTTACCGAGCCTGGGCTGATGCGGTGACAGCATAGGATATACTTAAATAGTACCAGCGCGTTTAACAAGAAGTATAACTTTGCCTCCAGGTCCTTCGAAAGAGTCATAGCGAAGGCCAAGTCGAACCATACCGGTAAAATTGGTGAGAGACATGAACGCCTTTCTACAAGAAGGGCGTTCCATCATTCCCACCTATGCACATGGGGGAGAATCGCTGGCGTACGACGCAAAGGAAAAAGCTCAGCTTTTATGTAAGTTCTTTGCGTCAAATTCTACATTGAATGATGTCCTGCCCAGTGCTCAGGGGCGGGTATGATATACCGGGTATTTGGATTCATCAGCGCTCAGTACGATTGGTACTCATGCCCCTTGACATCCATAAGTTAAGTGGGCCTGACGCTGTCACACCCATTGTGTTGAGGATGGCCGCTCCAGTGTTGGCACCAGTCTTAACACGCCTTTTTGGGCTCTCGAACTCCTTAGGCGTAGTCCCGACGTCTTGGAAGATACATACATAAATACATACACCCGATCCCTAAATAAGGCGATCGCACAAATTCGTCCAACTACAGACCGATAGCCATACACTCTTTTCGAAAATACTGGAGTCCACCATTAACTGCCAGTACTTGGAGGATCTTAGTAACTGACAGTACGGTTTCCATTGATCCGCTGGTGATTTTTTAGGTGTGTCAGGACACCGTTGGGTACAGGCGCTCGAGTCCAAGGGGGAAGCTATGGCAGTCAATTTGGACGTCGCGAAGGCCAGTCGATCGGGTTTGGCATAAAGAGCTTCTTTCGAACCTACCTTCCTATGAGCTTTCCGAAAAACTGTGTAAATGGGTATCAAGCTACCTTGTAGACAGAGGCATAAAAGTCGCGGTCGACGGTGAATGCTCTGGCTGCGCTCTGATTGCTTGCCTGTGAACGCTGGTGTACCTTAAGAGTGCGTGCTATCGCTCACTCTGATCCTCCTCCATATCAATGATATGTTGCAAATCAGTGGCATTGATTGCTATGCGGATGACATCACGTGTGATGTGTGTGGGTTGATGATGATGATGATAAAACTTTTGTTTTATTCTATGTATTTACTAGATCATGTCCTACAGGAAACATCTCGAGTATTATATTTGAATTTTATTGTATTAGGGAGGGCTAGTACTAAACTACCTATGAGTTTTTTGTATCAAGCTTGTAACTGCTGAATCTGAATGAATTTTATGTTTTTTTATAACGTTTATTTCCAAGTTATTAAATTTTGTCTACTTTGATATTACAATGATACTACATTGTATAAATTGAATGCCAGAGTAAAGGCTAATATATATACATCTTATAATTTTAAAATTCTTGTGAACTATTTAGTACTTATATTAGCATACTAGCGGTCCGCCCCCGCTTCGCACGGGTCCAACTTTCTCGCTATTTAAGGGTCACTTTTTCCAAATCCGTGTCACTTTTTCCAAGGTCGTGGTGGCTCGGAGGTTAAGGAGCCCGCTTCTCATGCATGAGGGTGTGGGTTCGGAACCTGGCAAGTACTAATGTGACTTTTTCCGAGTTATATGTACTTTCTATGATTATTTAGACACTACTGACATACGGTGAAGGTAAACATCGTGAGGAAACCTGGACTTATAATTTCTAATTATAAGTTTGAAATCGCCAACCCGCATTGAGCAAGCGTGGTGATTAATGCTCTAACCTTCTCCTTATGAGAAGAGGCCTTTGCTCAGCAGTGGGCACTTATAGGCTGATGATGATGATGATGATGATGATGATGACTTTCCAAATCTCCCCTCTACTTTTTTAATATTTTCTTAAATAAGAATCTTCTCCTGACAATAAGAAACACAACAAAAAAAGAATCAGCAATATTGGTCCAGGCGTTGTTTAGTTATGCGCTTACCAACACATTTTGCGATCCATTTTTATATATTAGATTATTATGAAACAATATTATGGTATTGTTCCAAAAATTTAATTGTGTTTACATCGTTTCTTATCTGACATACCCAGTAATGGGTAATTTTTATTGATTTGCAACACTAAAGCGACGGTGTCGCCACCACTTAGCTCACAAATAAGTTGGGTTGGTGGGACTGTTCCACAGTGACCAATAAAATTAGTTATACTGCTACACTACACAAGCATATAGTGCTCACAACACACATACACACATGCGCATTCATCACAAAATGATACTTACGCAAAATTATTATAATTATGTGTTTAAGTTTCAAATACGCTTCAGTTTTAAAAAAATATCCGGAAATGATCTCTTCCAGGTTCTTTAGTTAAAGTTTCTGACTACTAGTGTTTTATAGTGTACAATAAATAAAACATGGTAAATTACAATACTTTACAAACGTTATTACAGATAATAAATTGTTAATTTAATTGACATTTTTGACGTCACTTACCAGAACTGTCAAACGCTCATACAATGACTTATGTCATTAGTCACCCGATACGTTTCTGCTATGTATTTATCTCGAAATATTTTAGCGAAATACAAAGTTATCGTTGCAAACAGCAAATATTACTGATAATCACTTTCACGTAACGTGTGATAGCGTATGTTGGACGCACGCGATGGGAACAAGTGGAAAAACGTACTATGAAATTGTATTCCATATTTTTCCAAGTAACTGGAAGTGAGTGAGTGTTTATATTAGCTAAAATGGATAATAACAGTGATAAGAAAGACGATCCTAGTGCCCAGAAGAAAGAAGTGCTCTCAAGTTTACAGAAAATATGTTTAGTGTGTGGTGATAAGGCTTTAGGTTACAACTTTAACGCGATCTCTTGTGAGAGTTGCAAGGCGTTTTTTAGACGAAACGCATTGGCTAGCAAAGAGTTTAAATGTCCGTTCACGAACAACTGCGTAATCACTGTGGTGACGAGGAGATTTTGTCAAAAATGTCGATTAGAAAAGTGTTTGTCTATAGGCATGGTGAAAGAATTCATCATGTCGGAAGAGGACAAGGCGGAAAAGAGACGGAAGATAGAAGAAAACAGAGCTAGGAAACGACAACGTGATCCTGACGACGCCGTTACTAGCTCGAAGAATGTGAAAAGAGATGAAGAGGGGGACACGGGCCTCATCCCATTGCAGGACACTGTGATACAGTATGACACTCTCAGTACGACATGTAGCCCTAGTAGCACAGTGCAGTCTCCACTGACCAGTGACCTAGAAGCATCGTTACACTCCCCGCTGTACAACTACACTCCGGCCCAGCCTGTGGCCACTACTGAGCAGCCGTATCCAATGAAGGTGTACCCTATAGATGAGAAGTCTATGATCAATAGAGGTGTTTATGACCAGAGGATGTTGGACTCATACAACATGTATGAGAATGTTGATAGTAACAACATTTATCCAGTCGAGGCACCAAAGCAGAATACCATAAGGTTAGTATTTAAAATAATATTGAGATTAGATTTAAAAGGCCAATCTAAGTAGCTAAACTAGATCTTATTATAATCTATGTAGAAAAATAATAGACAATATGTCCCATAGATATTTATAATAAAAAGAAATTTTAAGTAAACAAATTAGGTAAATAATATTAAAGGCACATGTTTTTGAATATTTCCAATGACCATTAAAATAATGCCAACATCAGTATGATAATGGCCTTGTCGAATATTAAGTATACATTAATAATACAGTGTGAATATACTATCTAGTTTATTATCCTAGTTACAAGAATCTTGGGAGCAAAGTTCTAGCCATTGGATTGAGTATAAATGACCTTGGTATCAATTTGTTGCTGTAGCTAGCTGGGCAAGGCTGGATATTGCAAACTAACCTTATAAAAATCTATATTTAACATAACAACCTATGGCCATGTATCATAGAGCATAGATTTAGTAGAAGTTTGTAGAGGATCAAGGCCTTTGTCAAAAAGTTTTTTGTATATTTTTTGTTTATTAAACTTTAACATAAACTCTTTAAAGTATTCGGATTTTATATATTTATTATGTTACCTAGTTGTGTATACATAACAAATCAAACAAAATAATGCCTAATGCTACAGCATACAAATTGATGACCCAGTTTTTTTTATTAAATAGCTAGTTCACATATACAGATGTTCTTACTAAACATTTTTGTGGGCAAATCAACATTAACTTTACTTTCCACATTATTAATCAATAATATAACACATTAAATAAGATTATTATAAAAATGAATTAAGTATGTCTGCCTAAGTAAGTCTTGAGTGCCAACAAAAACTATTGAAGGCCAATCCTCGACTGGCATCAGACATCATTGTCTGACAAGGTGTTCAATGTGTTAAATATTTGTTCACCTTTAAAATATTTCAGCAGTCTGTTTTCAAGGAAAGGAATATACTTAATTTTAATTTACATTTTTCCTCATGACTACAGTTAGCTTCAAACGTTTTTCTAAAACAAAACCATTAACTCTCTTGCAAAAAATAAATTGATCATTTTAGCTACCAGTCACTCATTTTAATGGATAACTATACTTATGTTGATGTCAAATAATAGAAAAGTTTACACTGTTGTCTATATTTTATGCTTAAGTAGATACTCAAATATAAATAATGTACAATATCTACTTGACCTTTGACATTTTGAACATATGTCAAGGTGGTAATCATACACAAATCACAGATATATTTACAGACTAACTAAACACATACCTAATATGTTTCAAATTTAAAAAGATAGTGCTGTTAAATATTGTGTAGATAACTAGTAAAATCTGCTTACTAGTTTTTGTTAACTATGCTCTGCTCTAGAATATACATATGTATAGCTTGGTCAAAAAAAGCTTTGTAGTTAAACCTTTTTATTGCAAAGTAAACCACTTATGCTTATGTCATGTTTCTGGGTATTTCTTTGAGTAACTTTAACTTAAAGCTGAGTTAAATTATCCTCAAGGCAAAGTTCACAATGTCGACTAAAACTCAAATTGTAATTAAGAAAACTTAAACCCTGTTACTTTTATAGAGAGTACGGGTAATGAAAACTTACTCAGCTTTTAAACTGTATCAGTAGTAATTATGTTATTATTATGTTTAATGGCTTTTATCACATAATTACTTGGCTAACTCGACTGGTTTCAAGCCACGCTGGGGTCACACAATATCGCACAATGCGTGAGTGAGTAATTCGTTAAACAATAATAATAATAATCAATTTATTATGTCTCATAAAAATTACATAACAAAATATTACATTAACAAACAAACATTAAGTTTGAAGTATGGGACAACCAAGCTTCGGCACGAATGGGCCGAGACCGGCAAAGCACTTGTAGTAACTCCTTTGGTCTGCGAGTGTCCATTTGTGGCGCTGATTGCTATGATTATATTACACAAATGACATGTTTTCCAAAGAAATACCTACTCATCATGAACGATTGCTGCACTCACATCAATCACCCATTGGCCACACATGTAGACGCCACAATGTAGTGATTGTAATTGACAGATCAATATTGACAAATAGTGACAAACCACCGGCGAGGGAGGCTCGGCCGCAGCACGTCTGCGAGGAGATCCCGTCCACCAGCAACAACCCTGACGTCAACAAGGCGAGAGACATACTCCAAGATGTTGAGAGGTGAGGATACAAACATTTTCTATTTTATTTCCTTCCATTTTTATGTTACCTGTATAAAGCACGGTTGGTGCGGTGACTGGGTTCCATTCACGCACGGAACAACTCTTTGTATGATCCAAAAATTGTTGTTCCGGGTCTGAGTGTGCTGTATATGTGAAATTGTATGTTTGTAAACGCACCTATGACACCCGAGAAAATCCTAGTGTGGCGCAACGTCTTTTTTTCATTTAACAAAATAAATAAAAGAGCATCGATCATATGGCACGATTCTTTTTTGGCCTAAGTTCCGATGGATTGTGTGGTATGATCGCTGTTAGGCTGTTAGTGTCGCCGATTGCTCGCAATCGGTTGATCCGTCTGCCTGTTTATTTATCAACCCCATAAACTCAACTCTCAAAGTCTAGGTTTAAGCTATTTTGAATCTTATTCTCAGCTACCTTCAATTTGAAATACAAAAACTGGTTCAATTGTTTAGACCTATTAGACTAAAAAAAACTTTGTCTTACTTATATTATAAATGCGAAAGTTACGATGTCTGGATGTTTGAATGTTTATCACTCAATCACGCTAAAACTGCGAGACGGTTCTGGATGAAATTTGGCCCAGTTATAGGATACACTCCGGAATAGGACATAGGCTACTTTTTATCAACATATCACGCAGACGAAGCCGCAGGCTGAAGCTAGTTTTGTAAAAAGAGCGACTATGTCAACGCCCATGAGACCTCTACTTTTACCACCTATTTGATAGGTAGCACTATTCGACGATCGTAACATAATTTATGCAGCAAGCCGGAAGCTTATAAATATTACCTTGTATTTCGGCTAGGTCAATGTTTTTGAAGCGTTGAGTGTGTGTGACCGCTAACGTTAATGGGTCCCCTACAAACAAGCACGCACTACGCAAATAGTAATCGATTTAACATGAAGTCAGCGACTTAAAAAGTTCAATTAAACACTCACTGACGTAACTACCTGGCCTCGGGTTTGATGCTCAGGTCTCACAGTTGATATTAACAGATTTTTTTTATAACATGGAGTATTTAATTTGGGAGAGCCAAGCATAAAGGGTCGGCGCGATCGGAGTGATATCACGGCCTCAAAGAAAACCAGCGTGGTACATCCACAGCGTTGTTTTTCGCGGTATGAGTGATGTTAGGTGGCCAAATCCTTCTTATCACTCTCTGATACCTTAATCTCCAAAAGGTCAGAAACATAATCGTAACTCCTCCGCTACTGCGAGTGTCCATAGGCGGCGCTGATTGCTTACCTTTAATTCGAGGGCACGTTTGCAGACATGAAAAAACTTTCAGTAAATACATCTATTAAATAAGGCTTATAATGTAAAAGTGCATTGAATAATTTGAATATATACTCCATAGAATGATTGTGTATATTTGTTCTATGTTCAAATAAATACCTAAATATAGTAAACGTAAGTTTAGTAGTATAGTATAAACATCCATTATCAGTCGACCTCGATCCGATAGAGCACCTGCTGTGATGATTCAAAGCCCAATACGGTACTAGTGAGTCAGCGTGATCATATTGTATGTTCCATCGAGTATTCGAGTGGCCAAAACTGCGGTATCTTTGTTTAGATAACAATAACAAAACTTGTTAGGGATAGATAACGCTTACTGTTTACCTCTTGATAGTAAATACTAGTAGGTCTCCATTCTAGTAGAATCGAGATTACCTATATAAAGCAGGTTATAATTGGTAGGTAGGAAATTTGGGAAAGTCGTGCTGTGACACAAATGGGCCGGATCGATCTCAGTGATACCACGGACTCACATTAAGCCGGCGTGTAACAACGCCTTTTTTGAAGGTAGATAAAGCAAGCGAAGGCAAGAGAAGGAACGGGGATATTTAGTCAGTAAGAGATCATTCCCGCCCGACTCTGGCCGGGAGAAGTAATTTGATGATTTTCCCCTTACAAAAAAACCCACTAACACAAAGAATCGACGATTACGTTGCTGCTGTGTAAGTGAGGTAACACGAAGCCCTTCTCACCTCCCATTTCCAATTTTCAAATCCCTAACTGCCAAAAGGAAGATAACGCACTTGTATCTCCTTTATGCCAATACGCGAATACGGTAGTTTCCAATTAGCCAAATTCAATACCATATCCAAACGCCAAAAACGATACTTTTCTATGAAATTTGTATGAAAAACTGAGTTATGACGTCATAGTATTTTTGCGTCAAATAGCTTAGGTACTTATTTTTTAATAATTAGCTACAAAATATCTAAAACTTAGTGTATCGATCGATTGATGAATAAAAGTATACTTAGTTATTTTTCAATATTTTATTGTATTGAAACTTCGAATTAATTTATTTTTGACATAGGAAACTACCCGATTGCTTACCGTCAGGTGACCAGTCTGCGTTTGCCGATTAATCCTTTAAAAACAGAAGGTAAACAGATATCTCTTTCATATTTAGTTTAGGGGTCTCCGTCGCGACGTTAATCGCAATATCCTTGAGTTTAATTTATCACATTGGCATTGTATTAGTTGATTTTTAGATTTCATAAATAATCTAAATTGTACCTAACACGGAATTTTACCTTTATTTAGGTAACTTATTTATATAGATTTGAAACTCAATGCTGAAAAATATGGGAAAACCGTGACGCTTAGAAAATTACCAATTTTTTCCTATTTATTTTGACGACACACTGTGAGTAATAGGTTTTGTACCATATACTTTTTCACAGCCATTTTCAAATTTTTTAACCTGTTTTTTTCTGTTATATATTTTTCTGGTAGGTTTTTATATGAATTAAAACCTGGATCTTAGTTACTTGAGTTTAATATCACAGTACACAGTCTGGCAGCTCACAGCACCAGAGTTACATTGTCAATGGCCGACAGGATGTCAACCACTATATTTATAGTGGACAATGCCGGATAGTGTCGTACTAACTAGTGATGTTACCACAGAACCTTCAGATAGAACTCTCATAAATGTTAGTACGAAAACCTGATTAAACAGTTTTGCACAATACTGTTCTGGTTTGTGAGAAAATCTATGTTTGTAATCGCACCCACGGCACAGAAGAAAATACTAAAGTGTGTCAATTATTTTGTAGTTGTAAATAATAGGTCTTTACCTATGAAATTGCCGTTCTGCAGTACTGGCCATTTCAAATCAAAATAGTTTTTGTTAGGCTAAGGCTAATTAATTTTGTTTTAAAAACATGGGATTCTTTTTCCAAAAGTAGTCATTTGTTTATTGATTAGTGTTACATTATCAACGCATTTCAAATAAAAAAAATCGTTTAAGTTTTTTCATGCAAAACGGCAATTTCATAGGTAAAGACCTATTATTTATCTACACTTTTACCCCCACTTGTCTACTTTTATATAAAATTGTTTAATCTTTGATAAATACTAAGTTAAAGAATCAAAAATATTGTCAATTGTATTCATACTATACATATAGGTACATAATTGCCTATAACTGATACACAAAACACTAAAATAAATAGGTAGGCAGTGAAACGTATCAGTCTGATTATCAATACCTACTCTTAACTCATTTATTTGCATGATAAAGTATTATATAAATAAAACAAGGCTTCGGTTCATCTTATCACAACAACGACTTTTATTTCCGGCTGCATTTATGTACATAGTGATTTACGAAAATGATATTTATAGCATCTATGTGTACCTGTTTACATACATATATATAAGAGGGAATATAATTTTTAAGTACATTCATAATAACTAGGTACTCCAAAAGTTATAATAGGTTGGCAATAAGACCTCTTAAGATCGACGCTTCACAGCTACATAATAATATCTACAAATTTGTTATTTTTACCAAGATAACTAAAACCTGATCATAGTACCTACCTACTCAAATTATTGAGGCCATAGGTACCTAATTTAATATCAAATCAAAATAATAATATACTTACCATCTAAACAGACTAAATTCCTTGAATTATATCTTGATTAATAACTTCATTTTTAGCGCCAACTGCGCTTGGGACTTTGCGCTAATCACATTTGCGCATTAAGTAGGTACTATTTCGAGAGATGATCTCCGGCCACCGTAAGCGCGGGTCTGCGGATGGCGAGTAAGGGTAGCTCGCCGCCCGACCAGAACTGGACCCGAGCGTACGGCGCGTAGCGTTCCGCGCGCGCCTCAAAGAGCCAATAGACCACCACAGTCGGGGCCCTAAAGGGCTGATGTTTAGCCGGGGCTGCGGGGTAAGCGCAATGAGGCACCGCGACCTCGGCCCAGAGCAGGAGAAGGAACGGGGGGGTTTTTAGTCAGTAAGAGTCTGACACTCTCTCTCGCCTTACCCTGGGCGGAAGAAGTCATTGGATGATTTTCCCCAGACAAAAAAAAAAAAGTAGGTACTATTTATTGCGCAAATAAGACAGTTCAACTAAAAGTACCTATTAACTGTCCTTGAATGAGGAAAATGAAAGCAGTGCACGATAGGTATAATATGATATATGATCAGATATTTGACAAGAAGTATTTCCCTAACAAAACACGAAGCGACGTAATGTCGATGATTCAGAACAGTTGGAAATCTTTTGTAGTCGGTGCAAAGTGATAAGATAGAAGATATTCGCAAGTAATTATCGGCTTATGACGATACCTTATACATCTGCGTGGCAACAGCCACTATCAACAAAAACTGTCTACATTATATTTCTGCTACTCACTGTTCTAGTACAAAAAGAAAACAACAATATTTTCATAAGGTTACGCCAAGTTGATTAAAAGATGGCGCATAGTGTGACGTCAGCGTTTAGATAATCCTGATTTGTTTGATAAATTATATTATTGTTAAGTTTTAATCACGCTACTATGTAGTTCTTGAGATAACAAATGCTACTAGTACTTATAGAATGATTTCCAACATTTATTTACTTTCTAATTAAGAACATGGTTTTATTTAGACTCTGTAATCATTTTTATAAGTGTCAGAGAGCCGTGCCATCGCTATGAATGAGCCGACTCGACCAGAGTGATACCACGGCCGCAAAATATCATCGCTCAATCCTCAAAACCTCTTATCCCCAAAACGCCGGCAACGCTTTTGCAAATCCTCTGGTGCTACTTATATCTATTGGGAGCGCCGACTGCTAACCAGCTCGTTGCTCGTTTCGTCGATATAGAGCGCAAAAGAGCAGAGCTTGCAATATTTACATTTAAATTATATTAATTTAACAACAGCTCACTTAAGGAAACAAGATAGGCCGTCATACAACCAGTCAAACCAAAAATCAAAACTCAATATCCACCAATAATATTTTGCCCAACTACACAAAACAATGTATTAATATATACGTTTGTATGTTTTCAGGATAGAACCAAATTCGATGGAGTCGATATTGTGTGAGGCGATCAAGCTGGAGTTCGAAGCGTACACGTCCGTCAGTCCGTGCAGCGGCTCGTCCCGGGAACTGAACGAGGTAACTGTCGACACCACTCACTCCTATATCATGTGATGTAACTGTGAACTATCGGACTTATTACCTGATGGTAAGCAATCAGCGCCGGCGATCAACAACCAACAACACTAGAGAAGTTACGAGTGCGTTGTAAGCCTTTTGGGGTTAGGGGTTTTGAGGATTCAGAGATTAGGGGATTTGTGACCAAATAAACACACAATGCACTCTTTTTGTGCTCAATCTTCAGCTCGGTAACCTGTCTTTGGCCGTAATCCATAATACTTCCAAATATATCTAATATCACTAAAAAATAAAGGTACTTTCGGTAACAATTTGTGCCATCAGACATCTGGTTGGACCTAAAGCATAGGAAGCGCCGCTTGGCGATAAAAAAAGTAAATTCTCATTCTGCAATCTTCCACTTTAGGCCCAAACCTACATCCTACTATAAACAGTATAGTAGTCTTGGATTCTTTATCCAAACAATGTTTTAGAAATGAACTTGTCACGTGACTCCAGTATTGATTAGTGCTCGATTAGATAACTAGATAAGTGCGGTGGACACTTGAAATATTTTCGCGGAACCTAAATTTATCACACCTGCAGTACCTGCGGCTATATTTGGAAATTTGCCCTACTTATTTATAGTCACAGTATATAATATATTATTATAAGTGTGGGAGAGCCATGCTTCGGCACGAATGGGTCGGCTCGACCGGAGTGATATCACGGCCTCACAGAAAACCGACGTGAAACAACTCACAGCTTTGTGTTTCGCCGTGTGAGTGGCGGTTGCCCAATCCTTCCCCTTCCCGATTCTTATATCCGCAACCCCTATTCCCAAAAGGTTGGCAACGCACTTATAATTCCTTTGGTGTTACGGGTATCCATGGGCGGCGCCGATTGCTTACCGTCAGGTAATCCGTCTGCTCGTTTACCGACTTATACCATAAAAAAACAGTATTCAATTACTCCCTCTTATCAAAAAATGTCCTAGTCCAGTTAGTTTAACCGCGGACTGAGGTCTGCTGTAGGTAAGGTTTTTTTAATGGTATAGTGTGGAAAATGAGCTAAAGGGACCTATTGGTAAACAATTGGCACCATCAATAGTCTCTCGCATTATCGGAGAAGTTTTAGCCGTTTAGGGATGAGGGATTTAAAGGTTGGGAAATTCGAACATGCGGGTATAAATCTAAGTGAGAGCCAAGCTTCGGCATGTATGTGTCGGCTCGACCGGAGTAATACCACAGCCTCACAGAAAACCGACGTGAAACAACCCACAGCATTGTTTCGCGGTGTGAGGTTACCGGAGGCTCAATTCCCTTATTGAAGAAGGCTGTAAGCTATAAAACATGACGCTACGACCAATATGAGCCGAGCAGGAAGTGACTGCGCGAAAACAAGTAGTTTTACACACAAATTATTATGTTTGTTTTGATTAAAGATATTTTATTATGATTACAGGTTGAACGCGCGAAACTCAACGAGTTGATAGTCGCGAATAAAGCACTCCACGCTCCCATAGACGATGACGTCACACAGCTTGTGGGAGATACGGCTAGCTCGGCTGGGTTCAAGGTAATATCGCCCCTGTTGTTTTCAGCATAGTGTCGTGAATCATATGGAAATTCATTGTGTCGGGATATTTAATTTGTTATTGGGTTTTTTAAGAACGTGATTTATAAGGAATTTGCGTGCGTATATACGCTAAAATGTGGTTAAGATTTGTGCTTGTTAACTCTACTAATTTAACTTTTTTGAGGATGCAAACTCGAGGTTAGTTTTACTTATTTGATAATCAAATACCATCTGACCATTCCCAAACACTTTTGTAAATAAAAAAAAAATGTAAAACAAATAATAATTTTAAAAAGAGTAAAGATGGAGTTTCTTGCTCGTTCTTCTCCATTCGAAACTACAATTTCGAACGAGCACCTAGCTTCACTGACGAACAGACTGACAGACCACTATTCTATTTTGACGTTTCAAAAGTACCTTTTTATGGTATAGTTGGAATAAATGATTTTAATAGATTGAATAAGCTAAGTTTATTTATAATGCTTAAGAAGTTTTTAGTTCTAACTCGGTCTCGGATCCATACAATGCCTATGCCAATAAGGTCTAAAATGGTCTAAATCAATTAAGTATATCAAACGCGAAAAAGACAAATGCAACGTCTCTCATTTAACCGATCTCTTATGAAAACAAATCTTTTGCATGGGTTTTTCAAAAGTCAAATTCAAAATCATTTATTTCAATAAAACCCTTACAGGCACTCTTGAACGTCAAACAAAGCTGATGATAAGTGACAGTCTGTCGGTCTGTCCTCTAAGTGAAGCTATTTACTTTTTCCTCATGACGTAAAACAACGTCATGTTATTATTACAAGTGAATCAAATCAAAATCATTTATTCCAACTAAACTATAAATAGGTACTTTTGAAACGTTAAAATAGAAAGTAGTCTGTCAGTCTGTTCGTCAGTGAAGCTAGGTTCTCATTCCAAATTGTAGTTTCGAATGGAGAAGAACGAGCAAGAAACTCCATCGTGGCTCTTTTTAAAAATTATTATTTGTTTTACAATTCACTAATACAATACATTTTGTATACATTATTGTACCTCTATGTGAGAACAATGCAAAGACAAGTTGTTAAGTAACAGGAACAAATGATGGGATCTATCATTTAATTTTAATTCTTTAAAGAAGTGTGATGTAGGTAATAATAATAATAAATAATATTTTGGTAAAACTGCGAATATACTAGGTATGTGTAATCTGACATTGAGCTGCCGCGTCCCAGCGATGTGCACGAGGCTTTACTGATAAGATAACAATATTTGTATGCGGATCTGTAACATTTAATGTGACGTCACGTAATAATAATATGTATTTATTTCTCTTCCTAATATGTATTAGATTCATAATAATATGTATTAGATGTTACATCAAGAAAACATTGACAGTTTTGGCAGTAAAAGGTTTCCTTATCGATAAGGCACTCCTGGACTGGAGCATTTTTAGGAGGAGGAACGAGGTTGTCTTTAGCCAGTGAGAGTCCCACTCTCCCTCTCGCCCTTGCCTCACCCAAGGAAGGGAAAGTAATTTGATAACTATTCCACCTTAAAACAAAATACATTTCAACTACGTAGTTACTTTATACATTACATACATGTGTGTTCTAACGACTGACTGCACGGTTGGTGCGGTGGCTGGGCAACTGGCTGCCATGCAACGTGTCATGGTTTCGATTCCCGCACGGAACAACTCTTTGTGTGATCCACAAATTGTTGTTCCGGGTCGGGGTGTGATGTGTATGTGAAATTGTACTCGTATGTTTGTAACCGCAACTACGACACACGAGAAAAACCTAGTGTGGGGCAAGGTTTTTTAAAAAAAACAATGTTTGTATAAGAAATTACAGTGAAATCAATGCAATCGTTTTGTATGACTTAGCATATAATATATACCTTAATGTTATATAGATATATAATACTTGTGTTTGTCAGCAGGGTGACGGCAAACACGACCCTCGATTGATCACGATAGTCAACCTAACTGCAGTGGCAATAAGGCGGTTTATTAAAATGGCGAAGAAGATCAACGCTTTCAAGAATATGTGTGAAGAAGATCAGGTATGATAAGTCTATACAAACGATTTCTACTTTAAAATGTTTTTGAATAATTTAATATTCGTCTATGTAATTAGTACATAATATTATACAGAGCTAAAATTTAGATGTTTGTATATAGGGTAATCCTAGAAACGGGTGGTCGGATTTCCAAAATTATTTCACTGATACATAGCTACAATGTTCCTGAATACTATAGGCTATAAAACATCGAACAACGACCAATAGGAGCCGAGCAGCGGGTGAAACCGCGCGGCAATAGCTAGTTTAATTATATGGCTATTCTTTTAAAAAACCTATAGTACCTAAAATATATTTTGCTAATATAATTAATATTATGTATATTGACTACTTCCGTGAAACGAGTCGAGAATCTTACTGGGACTTTCTAATTTAATTTGAGTTTTTCATTTACTACTAAAATTAAAAGCTTTTGAATGAAAGAAAAACAATGTATTATTTTCTCTCTGTCCACCAGGTGGCGTTACTAAAAGGTGGCTGTATAGAGATGATGGTGCTCAGAAGTACGATGACATACGACGGACAGAGAAAACAGTGGAAGGTAATAATATGTCGGAGATTCGCTACCAGTGGGTCGCGACATTGGCAAATTACACAATATTATTTAAGGAATATAACTACTATTTATTAGTACAATAACAATGAGAACGCAGGAAGTTTAGCGGGGAGTAACGCTTGTAGCTGCCGCCAACGCCGCGATCTTTCCAAAAGTGTTTCCCGCGCACAATGACGTCTGTCAATGTCATTCGCTGTCCAAATGTCAAAGTATGATTAATCTTACCGATCGATTATTCCATCGGTGTTGCCATTACTCCGCGCTAACCATCCTCAAGTAATTACTTGACGCTCTCAAACAATAGTTGCCACATCTAAATCGATTGATATGCGTTGACTCTTCGACAAATATAACATATTTATGACGAACTTACGGATCTCCTGGCAATCGCCGCCCGGGACTGAAGGGCCAAAATGACTTTACCAGATTTTTTAAGGATGGTTAGGCCTCTGGTGTCCAATATCCTCAAACAAAACCTTGCTTCACGCTGGCTATCCGTGTGGGTAATTCTATCTTACATTCATGAAAGATATCACACGCCCAACATGATAATTGTTAGATAATATAAATATACACCTACATAATACTATTGTCAAGGAAAACAATTTCATAAATTCTGTACCTAATTAAGGGAAATCCTAAAATTATATATGTATAGATATTTTTTTTTTATGTGATAGGTCGGCAAACGATCAGACGTATAACTGATGGTAAGCAATCTGCGCCGCCCATGGATACCCGCAACAACTGAGGAGTTGCGCGTATCCGTCGTATATCGTATGCGTTGCCGACCTTTCGAGGATTAGGGATTGCGGAGGAGAAGGGTTGGGCCTCCTGCTGGAGGCCTCATCTTTACCTCATTCACACGGCAAAACAAAACGCTGTGGTTGTTTCACGTCGGTTTTCTGGAAGGCCAACCTGGTGGTGGTATCACTCCGATCGAGCCGACCCATTCGTACCGAAGTATGGCTTTCCCAAACCTTCTTGACATTTTACATCTTTCTTGAATTGTAGTTTTATCAATAAAACTAACGTAATATCATTAGAAATCAAGATTTTTATATTTTTACTTGATTTAACGTGTACATAATCGTTTCCAGATCCCCCACTGCCAAGAGCAATTCGGCAGTATACGAACAGACGTACTGAAGCTCGCCAAGGGCAACATATACAGGTCGCACGACTCCTTCATCCGGTCGTTCGAGGCGCGCTGGCGGACGGACGAGCACGTCATACTGATCATGTCCGCCATCTTGCTGTTCACGCCGGACCGACCCAAGGTCGTACATCCTGACGTCATCAAACTAGAACAGGTGACTATTACTTTTTACTTTCTTTCTTTTCTTTAAAAAAAATGATGCACCGCACTGGGATTTTGTCCTGGGTCGTGGGTGCGTTAACAAACATAAAATTTCACATACACATGACACCAGACCCGGAACAACAATTCGTGGATCACACAAAGAGTAGTTCCGTGCTGGAATCGAACCCGCGACACGCTGCGCGGGAGCCAGTTGCCCAGCCACCTCGCCAACCCTGCAGCCCCTTGCTATTGCTCTCTGGTGCTTACATACTCCGTGTTATTTTCGTCAATTTTGGCAAATCAATGTTTACTGACGCCTAGAGCATTTAAAGAGGTTTGCAAATATTTTTAAAGCAAAATAATGTAAAAGAACTGCTACTGTGAAATGGCAAGAATGACGTAACTATTTTTATGAGAAAGGTCGTCAAACGAGCATACTAAATATCCGATGGTAAGGCCTCCGATAGATACCCGCGATTCTAAAGTAGTTTCGAGTGCCCTGACTGAGTGGCCTTTTGGGGATAAGGGTGTCGGATATTTAAGAATTGGGGAGGAGAGGGGAAGAATTAGGCATTTGGGCCTCCGGCAACCTCGCTCATAGGTCAAAACCCAAAGCTGCGGTTGTCTCACGTCGGTTTTATTGTGAGGACGTGGGGTATCAATCCGGTCGAGCCGACCCATTCGTGCCGAAGCTTAGCTCTCCAACTATCCTCTCAATATATATTTACTTTCACTGACAGATAAATAAATGCGAAGTCATTTGTCCATTGTTTATATCGTATATAATAATATATATACAAGTTAATAGTATATATACAAACCCTTTATTATCGACACGTTGCTTGATTACAAGTAAATCACAATTACTTATCTACTTTCATATTTTATTACAAACACATTCGATAACATAGATTCATGGGCGATTTAATAAATTAATAGGTACATTAACAACAGCAATGAAAATGACAACATTATCATAAACAACAAAATCATAAATTATTTTTAGACATAAAATTTAAGCGTTTTTTAAATATAATATTCCTCACGGAATAACTCTTTGTGTGATCAATAAACTGTTGTTCTGGGTCTGCGTGTGATGTGTATGTGAAATTGTATGTTTGTAAACGCACCCATGACACAGTAGAAAATCCTAGTGTGGGCCAATCTTTTCTGCACGTTAATATTTACAAAAGTAAAACATTTTATCCTGATCCTTATTTTTTCTGTTTCAGAACTCATACTACTACCTCCTCCGTCGTTACTTAGAAAGCGTCTACCCAGGATGTGAAGCGAAATCAACATTCTTGAAGCTAATACAGAAGATTCTCGAACTACGCAAGTTGGCTGAGGAAGTGACAGGAGTGTACCTTGACGTCAACCCCATAGAGCCTCTACTCATGGAGATATTCGACTTGAAGCACCACGCTGCATGAGCCACAGGGTAACATAGCTTAAGTATTTATTCAAATCACCAGACACGGATTCATAAATAATTCAGCATAATATAAACATTTTGTTATAAAAAAATGCCAAATATCACTGTCCACACATAACACTCCATTGTTTATTAATCCGTGTCATTGTTTTCTTTGTCCGTCTGTCACGCACGTTGGCCTAAATAGCTAAATAATTTATGGAATATTTACATTTAATATCTACACGTTAAGTGAAACTGTTCGAGATTCCGTTTGTTTGATAAGTGTTATTATTGTACAGTTAAATTTATGAACATATCAAATGCCAAATTAGTAATTATGTGCGATGTAAGTACTGACAGTACCTTTACGATGAGTTTAAAGCTTTTAGATTTAGGTGGTTAACTAAAGGTAAACAATCTTCGTACGTCTTTTTATTAAAGATTATTTAAATTTAGTTTAATATTACATTTGATCAAAACCTCATCGTAGACATTTTTACAAACAATTGTTAGACAACTTTAAGATAAAAAGATAAGCCAAGATTGTTTTACATTTAATTAATTACAAAGACCGATAGATAATAGTATTTATCGATACTCTAAAGCGATGACGTAATATTTTTGTCTGCCCAATTTTATTATTAGTTTCGGAAATGATCGCTCGAGGCGCTTTAAAATTTGCATGCATATAAATTGCTATTAAGTATCAATAAATACTTTTGCTTTGAACTCATTGGTGCGGGTAATGTTGGCTGCAGGTCCGATCTCTCACTTCTACTCTAACGGATGTCCTTGAAGCTAGTTCCAGCCGGCATTAGGCTAAACAATTAATGGAGATGATCAGAAAATTAAACAAAAAACATGGAATTAACAATATCTACCATTTTGTAAGTCAGTTTAATATTTGTTTTTCGAATGACCTCGACCATTTTGTTAGCTTCTTATTGCCCGTTGCCAGCTTGAGGTTGAATTCTCGGACATCGTGTATATTGTTATATACTTTTATGTATATGTAGTCCGTATAGTTATACAATAAGTACAATATAAGTATATGTTTAGTCTCGTGACGTAGGTATTGTTAGAACGCTTTGGGAACATTATTACTAACAAAGGGCAAGTATTATTATTACTTGCAATTTTTCGGAATGTTTAGCTCTTTCTAATCGAGAATGAAGGAAAGGGACGGTGTATAGTTCAGACGGTTTTATTCTGATCCTGAATTCAGGAAAACAAAAGTTACATAGATACATGTATGGATTATTTTGTCTTGACTTGGAATCGACCAGCCTTTATGCTATTTGTCTAAAGAGGGTTATATTGAATGTTTATATTGTCTATCTTAGATTTTTAAAGATTTTATTTGAGTTGAGTGCTTTTCTAAAATGTTTCATACATCGAGTATGATAAGGTACAGAATCGAATATCAAATTGGGGAATCTAGAATTAGTGGTCACAAAATTATATACCTTCTTTGACTAATTACCTTTTTAAACCTATTACAGCAAAGGAAATAAAGAGAAAGAATTCTGGAGAGTATTTTTAAGTGTTGTCTAAAAAAAGATTAATGTGTGCGTGTAAAATAGTAAGTTAACGAAAATGTTTAGCTGAATGTACTGTTGTGAAGTCGAGCTCATTAATATAAGAAGCAATCTATTCGTTAATGTAAAGTAAATTAGGTTCAATATCGACTGATAGTCTGCATTACATACCTCATGAACTTCGCTAAATACTTGTTCTCATACATTTACAATTGTATAAATTATTTTGATCGTTGCAAAATCGACTTTATCGCGACGGCATAGACTTTATGTGCCAGATAGTGTTTTTATTGTGAACATATTTGTGTGCAACTAATATTCTAAAGGTTTATTGCAATAAATACTTTTTTTATAAAGTAATATATGTAGGAAGAATGTTATGGTAATGTACAAGATCTTTCTTCAGGCTCATAGACAAATATTATATTTATTTTTAATTTTCTGGTCTATGTATAAAGTTTTGTACTTTAGATCTTAAGTCGACGCAATAAGACGTTGTTTAGCACGTACTGGTGATTTGTTATAGCGATAGACACACATCTTTTTTCTGTAACAGAATTAGTTTGTTTGTAGTAATCTCATTTTATTTTTACATACTTCTTCAGCCCGGCGGGCTCCTTGACCCGCCATGAGATCAAGTTTATAGAAAAAAGCCGTAAATATTGCAACATAATGAATAATTTATACTAATATTATAAACAGGTGAAATTTGTAAGTTTGTATGTAGGAGGGAATCTTTGGAACCGCTGGTCCGATTTCCAAAATTCTTTCACTGATATATAGCTACAATGTTTCTGAGTGCTATAGGCTAAAACATCACGCTACGATTAAATGGAGCCGAGCAGTAGGTGAAACCGCGCGAGAGTAGCTAGTTTTATATACAGGGTGTTCGGTAAAGAACGGATAACCTTGAAATGCCTTTTAGTATGACATACAGAAAAAGGAAAGTACCATAAGTAGTACCTAAGTTACGATGTCTTAAAGTAGAAGCGCTGGTGGAAAAATGATCCTTCGACATTCAACGTACAATACATTATTGCATAACAATAATGGTTAAACATTACTGCATAAATAAATTATTCACAATTTGTCTAAAATAAATTAATTTGAACGTTTTTTGTAAATACTTTTTTTGCGTATATTTTCTGAATGGCCCTAAGATATACTTAAATGCAATGCAAGATTATCAATTCTTTACCGGATACCCTATATATGTATACAAAGTTACGTTTGTTTTTATTAGTTTTAGCTTCTCAATTTACTCTGGTAACTAAACAAAGAAACCAGGGAGAATCACAAGAAAACGTAGTCATTGGCAGTTAATATTATTTGTTCAGTTAGACAGAATAACCTTGGTCAGTGCTATTCAACGTCTTGTTGTTAGAGAGAACTTTCTGCTACAAATTATAATGTTGCTTATTAATATCAAGATCTCTTTATAATGTAACGGTAAAACGGAGGTGAATATACTAGGGTTTTTTTCGAATAGTTCCTAATTTAGAGACACACTATATTTATTGAAAACTAGCGGCCCGCCCCCGCTTCGCGCGAGTCCAATTATCTCGCTATCAAAGGGTCACTTTTCCCAATTTTACTTTTCTAAATTTTCTTTGATAAGAACGTTCTCCTGGCAATAATAAATACAACAAAAAAATAATTAGCAAAATTGGTCCAGGCGTTCTTGAGTTATGCGCTTACCAGCACATTTTGCGATCCATTTTTATATAATTATACAATGAAACAATGGATTTATTTTTGCAAATAGGCCATAAAACGGCACTTTTACACGTCAAATTATATGTGAAGAACTAGATGAAGCCGGCATTTTATAGATAATAGAAAACGAATTACTCACGTGAATTAAAAAAGAAAAGAAAATAGCTCTTTTTGTTTCAAGTCACAACGGGGACTCTTATTCATGAATGTTTAATAAAAGTAGATAAAATTCCCCAACTTCTATTTATACTACCTTTTCGTCTCTATTCACTCCTCGAATACGGTAGTTTCCAACTAGTCAAATTCAATAATTTTATCCAAATGGCAAAAACGATACTTTTCTATGAAATTTGTATGAAAAACTGAGTTATGACGTCATAATATTTTTGCGTCAAATAGCTTAACTTATTTCTTAATAATAAGCTAAAAAATATCTTAAATTTAGAGTATCGATCGATCGATGAATAAAAGTATAGTTATTTTTCAATATTTTGTATTGAAACGTCAAATTAATTTATTTTTGACCTAGGAAACTACCCAATTCTATTCACTCCGTTTTACGGTACACATAAATATATACACCATACTTGCCATACTCGTACAATTATATAACTTGTTTGCATAATTTTTTTGTTAATTCTGCTACAACGTTTGTAAAAACATTTTACACTAATAAATAATATCTCATACTAACAATATTAACACGCGAGCGTCATACAAAAACTTGTTAAAAGTCTATCAAATGTTATATTTATTTCGTTTTACTTGTAAATATTTTTAAATGTTAAACTACGTTTATTGTTAATTAAGAGAACTTTATTTTTATATATTAACACCTAGAACTCGATATTGTAAGTGCAATAATGTATTTTAAGAAAGAAATATATTATAGTTTGTTTATATATCGTTTTATTTACTTTATACAAAACTAAAAAAGGTAGAGGACTCTTACCTCTCTCTTACCACTTGGATGTAAATGTCAAAGTGAAAGTCAGAAAGGCATTAAGAAAAACAATTAATTATTTATTTAAAATCACACAGATAATAATCATATTTGGATAGAACCAAACAACACTATGAAACATAATTATTCATACGCTCTTGTGCTCCCGTACTTTCACAATAGATTGGATCGTTAAACCATGGCGCTAAGAAACTACACAACTAAATAAACACAACGAAACAAAAAAAATAACTGAAACGAATAAAACAAACTCTAACGAGCAGTGGTTCGAAATGTAACTAGAAGTAGTGATCTTAATGATCACAATATGGCAACACTCGTTTTAGAAGCCGTAAAAAAGTAAATAATTAAACGACAACATAATTAACCGTACACAAACTACTGCAAGTGCTACTAAGTGCTCACTACAATATAAACAAGAATCCGATTAGTAAAACACTCGTTTCGACATCTCTACGACTTCCCATCCTCAATGCCTAAAGCTAACTTCATTTCTAAAGAATAATTCTGCGCAACTCTATTAAATTGTCCACCGCCATCTTCCTTATCCTTGCCAGTCTCAACATCATCTACACAATCTTCAAATATATCATCAGTAGACTCATCGTTTATAAAGTTTTCGTCACCGAGAATTGATTCAAATGCTTTCGAATCGTTCAGATCATTTTCGGCGGAGTCTTTTTCATTAGGCTCATTCTTTTCAACCTTAAAGCCTGAGGAACTAGCATCTCCAGAGCCGGAAGCAATGGCGCGATTTACACTTTCCAAATTCTTCTTTGACCATTCTCCTACTCTACACACATTATCTTCAACAACTAAGTCGTCAGAAGCATTATTATCATTCGGAGATTTTTCATTTCCATCAACACTCTTATTGTGAACTTCAGTAGTATCACTCAAAGTAATATCATTGCCGATTCCTGAATCATCTCCGGCGCCTGCTGACATTCTGTTGACGTTCTCTTCTGTCAGCGTGTCTTCTAAGCACAACGAATCATTGTTGCTTGCAATAAGAGTAGCTTCGGGGTCATCATTGACGTCATGAAGAGAGCCAGAAGGGCTGCCTGGTATGAACTGCACAAAGTCACCTGCTCTCCACCGTTGTGCTGCTGCATCCATGTGCACTTCAAGGATATGAGATACTTCCGGCAGCTGGAAACGAGATGTACAGGTAAGACAAATACAGTAACGTAATTTAAATTCAAAATTTGGTAATTTTTAAAGAAACTCACCGTGTATTCGTTCTCCAGCTCCCCGGACATGCGTTCAATGATAGCGTTTGTCTTATTGTCAATGTTCCCCGCGTGGCTAGTCATGACGTCATACTGGCGGTACATCTCGCGTTCTTCGTACTGCAGCGTACGGTCTAGTATCTCTGTTGCCACGTTCTGATCTATGCGATCGTTTTCCGCCATGTCCGCTCGATTTACTCCTAGAATAATGTAAAGTGTTAGTAACAATAATGATGGCCCTACAATTGGAAAATATTTTACATTTTACCTTGAGAAGGGAATCTCTTATCTTCGTAAGAATTAATCGTATTTATGATAGACCTCTTCGCTTCTGTACGATCCAAATTCAGCATAGTATCATACGACGAGGGCAAAATGTTGCTTGCGCTGGGATACTCTGTAGCGACATCTATAAAAATATAAATTTCATGTTTAGACCCAAGATAAAGAATTCAGCTACCTAGTACACCCATAAAATTATCATTCTTAAATCTTACTTGTGTAATTAGAATCACTGGGAATTGAATCCTGTTCACCTGAAGCCCCAGAAGCAATAAAATCTTCATTATCACGATCACCATGACGTTTACCCAACGATTTCCTATCTGCTTTCTGTCCTCCGCTTTTACTATCATCTTTTTTTCCAATAGGTTTCTTTTCTCCGCTGCTTACACCATACTTCTCACGAGATTTGCTTTTATCTTTAGAAGTAGTATTTTCTTTAACGGTTTTTATATTCTGTTTGCCTCTCGCCGCAGTAGCTGGTCTGTTATTTGGTTTCTTTGTAATCGGTTCTTTATCTTTGCACTCTTCGTCACTTGCGTTTGTATCAGATTCTATGTTTAATGAATCCGTGTCACCAGATGACGCTAAAATTTGCGCAGTTTATTTATTAAAATATACATGCATAAAGTAAACAGGCTTTAAATAGCCTAAAAATATTTACAACTGATAAACTGAAATACGATGTTTGCAATAAGCATTTACACATATATGAGAAAACAACAGATAATTAAAGTATAAATTACGGGCGGACTCGACGTCCTCCTCTCCGATCTCATAATTTACATCAGCGGCAGGCGCCTGATTGTCTACGTATTGGAACAGCACTGCTCCTGGCACTTGCGTTAACTTCACTTTAGATTCATCTGGAAGTCAAAAATATTTTACCTATTGTAATTTTTCACAAACTTTCAAACAAATGACATCTTATTCGTAGGTTTGTTGATAAATTCATATTTTTATTCACAGATCCAAGACCGAAATCCAAAACCATAAAAGCTTTCCAAAAACATTTAAGATTTTTTTTGGCTAAGTTTTCCTATGAATCGAACCATACCAGGTTTCTCTCCAGCTGTTAGTTGGCTTAACGCGACGCGGTCGAATGCATTGTCGTGTTTGTAGGTGGTAAATATCGTCTTTTCCTGTACTAAATGTGCCGGCACGCTGTCCTTCTCCTTATAGTAAGCGTCCATCTTCTTCTTATCGTATAGTTTCTACGGAAGGTAAAGTAAAATATTTAGTTACGAGCTGCATAAATAGTATTTTAATACTAACCACAAGTGATATATCTCACCATAGGGTCAACGGGAGGCTCCCCTCTGTCGATCCTTGCCTGACGTTCTGCTTCATCTCGTTCCAGTTCAGCGAAAATTTCCAAGTCCTCAGCACTAGGCTCCAGATCCAAGTTACTCTCGTCAATTTCTACAGTATTCATACGACGCATGTAGTTAATAAGGGCTACACCGTCGCCTTCCGTTTGAGCTAAATTTAAAGAAAAACACGACATTATAAGAAAAAAAATATTTTTCATTTGTTTACGATGCTATTTGTTGGTTAACAAGAACAACTTACATCTCAAGTTACCCCCTGCAACTCCCTCACTGGTTGACGCAACGTTATTCTCACTTCCTTGACTTTGGGCATCTTGTTTTTCATCAACATTGTTATCTTCACTATTCTGAGAAGAGTCTTTTGAATTATCCTTCGATTCCAACGGAATTTCCGCGATTGGAATTTTTTTAGTAGCTTTAGATTTCTTCAAAGCAGACTTATTATCCTGAACTATATTATTCTTGTCTTCTACTGTTGTCGAATCACTGATAACTTTACTTTCTTCTTTATTGATTTCGCCTCTTTCTCCTTCCGTGCTCTCTTTAAATACGGTTTGGTCTTTATCTATCATTTGGGTATTTGTTTGAGTAACATCTTCAATAAGATTACAGGTTTGCTTTTTGTCCGTATCTTTACTGTCAGCAGCTTCTATTATCTCAATAAGTGCTTTTTTCTCTGCTGATACAGAAGCTTTTTCTTCTTCGGGGTTTATTTCTGTTATGCGTTTTTTATCTCGCGATTTTGAGTCTGAAATGAAGATTAGATTCTTGTTTAGTAAAACATAAAGTAAAAGTGACGTGATTTAACCCATTTGATGTATTACCTTCTAAAATCTTAGTGACTCCTTTCCTCCCTGTATGCGGATCTTGGTTAAAAAGCAGGTTGTTGATTGCTTGGAATTCAGATGTAATGACACTGAAAGTATAAAAAGCTATGTTTACCAAATGAAATAAAAAAAATATTTCATATCTTCGCCCATTTCCAAATCGGCATACCTTTCGTTTGAAGGCTACCAAACCTAATTCGAAGTTTATTTTTAAATATCTACTATCGTAGAAGCAAATTTAAAGTGTTTCGGTAAATTAAAAAATGTAATCATTTTAACAATGGCACTAGCAATCATCATTGCTCGAAACTCAAGACAACTTCTAACGTTATCGTGTGTGTAAAATTATAAAACTTACGGTATTTCATTCTTTGGCTTAATGTTCCCGTAGCCATACCAGTAGTCATCAGGATCAGGCGGTGGCGGCTCGTTCGTTATTTCTTGCACAAGATGTTTACTGCGGTCTACTTGCGACCATTCGATATTTCCCGTTTCTGTTCCATAATAAGTTCGAATTAATTAGAAAACGAGCGCTCTAGTAAAGTTTTAAAATATCATAATCTCATCATCACGACCATAACAATGATAGAAATGCATACCAATAGCCATTGGTCATAATTTTTTATGGTCATTAAATTTATGTCCTTTTCTTATTATGAGCCATAACACAGTCTGGTCAGGACAAAGTTCGTGTGGAAGTTTTTTTTTTAATAATCGAGTAAAAGCAAACTGTCGGGTATCATGGCGGTTTGCTCATAAAACAAATAACTGACACCGAGCTACCGCGAAGCACAGGCGGGTAACTGGGTCTGCTGGTTTAAATAATATAAATATTTTGTTACCGTCTTCTTTATCATCACTTTCGTCACTACTTTCTTCACTTGTAGAGTCTTCTTCACCAGATCCTGAGAGCATGTCAACGGCTACTCCTTCTTTGACCTTTACTTCAGCGGAATCCTCTTGAACCGAAGGATCTTCTATTTTTAGAAGATCTTTATTACTTTCTTCGTTTTTATCTGGCTTTTCTTCTTCCTGTGCAATAATAAAATCCGTCAGTGCCTACGAAAAAACTATCGAATGTTATGAATATTTGAAGTCGCTTTACCTTCTCTGGTAGTCCTGCTTTCTCTCGCTCTTCCTTCTCCTTTGCTTCTCTAATAGCTTTCTTTTCATCACGCATTCGAATCAAGTACCTCACACTCTCCATCACTTTTTCTTGGTCTCTTGCTATCCACCTAAATGAATATGAAATTGAAATGAATAATAAATATTTGTCTTTCAGAGAAATTTTTTTATGGACCAAAATTGGTTTTATTATTAATACCGTCTTCTTTCAGCGATTTCTTCTTGCACACCTCCTCTTTGCCAAGCCTCAGCACAAGCCCGATCCCTGGGGAACACCGGCCGGTTGTCCAAGTTCAGGAGTTCCTTTAACCGAAGCGTCAAGGTCTTGCGATATGCTGGTATGTTGCGAACCACGGGGTTACCGGTCAGAACAAGCACTGGTAATTAGAGTAATTGTTAGTTAAATTGACTTTCAAGATGGGTTGTTTTCGACTGTTGTGTGGTTGAACAATGTTTCATTATAAACAAAAAAAAATACAAATAATTAAAAATACCTTTCAAAATCACCATGTCAGCAAGTACATCCACTATAAGAGGATCTTCTAAGCGGTTGTAAGAAAGGTCTAATACGGACAGATTTCTACAAAGTCGTAAATGAACGAGATCATCTGAAAAATGTCGTTTATTAATTATGCAGCCAAGGAAACTTATTTTTGTACACTATGTAGATATTTTAATGTTTACATTTTAAGAAATAAATTTCACATAACTCACCTACGGCGCTCAACATATTATGGGCAATACTTAGCGTGTGCAAGTCGGGTACTACATCCAGATTTTCAATCTTTGAAACGAAATTGTGATCAATGTTCAAAGTGTCCAGCTTCGGACATCCGTCCAAGTTTTCTATCTTCCGCAGAACATTGTAATGCAAATACAAACATTTCAGCTCCGACAACGTATCTAGTCCCTCAATCTTTTGAATGCCATTGTTTTCCAGAAATATACATTTGAGGCCAGTGTATTCTTCAAGGTTTTCAATTTTTGAAAATCCCTTAAATAAATAATATTACATGAATTCAGAGTCAAACTAACTAATATAAAACACTATAACAATAAAATCCACTTGCCTTGAAATGTAAATACAAAATATCGTTCAAGTACGGCGTGCAGTATAGTTTATGTTGCCTGCAGTGGTTTTTAATGAACTCTTTCGTCATTCTCGGGGTTTTATTCATATCTTCCAATTCTTTTTCCACCTTTCGTTGAAACTCTCTCTGCTTGATTCTTTCTTTTGCAGCCTCATTGTGCTTCTTCATTTCTTCAGAGTGTTTATCTTTAGCTAGATCCATTTCTACTTCTGAAAAAGTGAATTGTACGTTGTTACTAAAATTGATTGTGTCATTTTCACTAATGCCAGAAGCTGCCTAAACCGGTGGTATCAAATATCTCTACTAAATATATAAATAAATACGAAAATCACTCTGTATGTCTGTCTTTTCTTCACGCCTAAACTACTGAACCGATTTCTGTGAAATTTTGTACAGACATAGTTCGAAACTTGAGAAAGAACATAACATAGTTTTTACTTATACCAAAAATCTGCAGGAAGTCACTATTCCCCGCGAAAGGAGTCGATGGCAAAAGCTAGTATTAATTACATATGAAGTGTTATAATTTTATTTATATCCTAACCTTGACGTTTTTCCTCAGTTAGCGGTGGGACATCATTTCCGTTTGATGACTCCACCTCTAATGGTTCGATGTGATCTCCTTGAGCTTTTGTGTCTATCACTTCTGGTGGTAGCTCTCTAATCTTGCCGGAATTATCTATAAGGCCTTTCCGTTTGTTCTCTTCCCTTCTCAGCATATTATTGGCTAATTTTATAACCTCCTTATTATCTTTCATCTTATCTTTAATGTCACAAAGAAGACTGTTTAACTTTTTGCTTCTCTCAAGTTCTGCTTTTTGGGACTCAGCAATTTTTTTATGTTTCTCATTTTGATAAGAGAAATCCACATCCCACAACTCTTTTCGTGTTTTTTTTACATTTTCATCAACGTCTGCTTTGTTTTCATTCGTAGACTGGTCTTCGACAGAAAAATGTGCTTCAGTAGTCAGCTTTATGTCGTCAGCTGTTTCTTTTTTCCTCTCTTCTTCGATTTTCTTTCTCATTGGACGTAAAATAGTTTGCGATTTTAATAGCAATTCATCAACTTCTTTAATGAACGTCTTGCATTCATCATTCCTTTGCTCATACCTAGCCTTGCTTTGGTTAATCCTTTCTTCATGATGTTTAAGTTCCGAATTCAGCTTAGTTATAGCGTCATGTATGCTGTCCATTTGTGGATCAGTTACATGTTCATCATTTTCTTGAATTTCCTTAACTGCAGGTTTTATTTCGCCTCGAAGAATTTCTCCTTCTTTTTTTATTTTCTCATAAGCAATATTAGATTTTCGTGAATTATCTAGAGCCTCGTTGACGTCATTTAGTAATTCATTCATGCTATTTAGTTTATTTGTTATATCTTCACGTATTAGCGTACTTAAGTTTTCAGCTCCCTCTACAATGTTACGTGCTAAGTTTTTCATTTCTTTGAATTCCATTTCATTGTTTTCAGAGTTTCCTCCATTATTTGAATCAAATATACCTTCCAAAGTGTCATGTAACGTCTGTTGCATGGTCTCGTCAAATTTTTGAGGCTCATTTTCATTTTCAATTTTATGTGAATTCAAGTTCAAATCGATTTCGTTCAATGTCTCGTTCGAGACGGGTGCTGCTGATGGTGCATTGTTAAGAACGGAATTTATTCCACGCAACACTTCTTCTGTATCTTTAAGTTTTGCCTCAAAACTTTTGGGAAATACTTCTCGTACCTCTATATTTTCATCTTCTTCTTCTGCAGGTTTTATCACTTCTGTTTTCTTGTCGCTTTTTAGGTTTCGTTCCAGAGCAGCAGGTTTAATTGTTAAGGGTATATTCATGGTTTCATTTATAGCAAACATTTCTTGTACTTCTTTAATTACTGAATTTCCTTTATGACCTTTGATTGTGAGAACGGATGAATCTTTCAGTATCTGATTACTGGTTATTTCTTCGTTGGAGATTTGAGATGATTCACCTTCGTCATATCTATCAGCTAACTTCCCTAACATGTCCTTGGTTTCTTGGAAACGTGTTTCATAAGACTTTGTTGTATACTGACTGACAACTTTTTCTATTGCTTCATATTCCTTTTCATCACTATCTGATTCAACACACTCGCTTCGTTCTGAAGATAGTTCATCGGTTTTTATCGCACATTTTGCCTTATAGTTAGAAACCGATGTCATTAAGGATAACATATTCTTGTAATTTAAATTCTTAATTTTGTCTTTGTCGCCCTTAGCGTCGTCCAATTCCCTCCTCATATCATTATAGTCTGACACATTAATTTCTTCCAATGGTATGGCTATTTGCTTGTTCAAGTTTTCATTTTTTGCCATAATCTGAATTTGACGCGCTTTCTCAGCTATTATTGGATTGTCTTTTAACATTTCCCTAATTTCTTCAGAAGAATAGGGCTTGCCATGGTCATCAATTTTGGTAAAAGGTTGACCAGACATTACTTCTTTTTCTGTCTTAACATCACTTTGGTCAGCCGCAGCTATGTATGGTCTATTTAAATCAGTTTTCAAGGGTTTCAGTTCATTTTCAATGGCTTTCTCAATCGTTTCTTTTGGAAGTTTGACATCCTGGAAAAAAATTCGCAATTCCTCCCGTTTTTTATCTATATACTGAGGATCTTTCGTGGCATCGGGCACGTCCATGTTATCTATATAATATTGATCCACAACGTTTTTATATTCAGCGTTATTATACTTGCTTCCCAAAGTAGAAAATTAAATAATATTTATTCACTTTTGACACAACTCCAACAAAAGGTGGTTACCAGGGTATTTTGTTTGATCAATTTCAAATATGGAATTTGATACCTTAAGTAAAAAAATAATTAAATAACATTTTAAAGCCAGGAAAGTGGATAAATTTATGTGTTTAACAAAATCAACCAAAGTAGTTAGGTTTTTATGAAGAAAAATATCAAAAAAAAACATTATTAGTCAAAGACCGCTAACCATCCGGTTACATTTTCCTTCTGTATACAAAATGAAACGTAAATGTCATTCAGGGCTTTATCTATCTGTGGTGTGTAGTTTTATTATGAATAATATGAATCTGTCAATGTCAAAGTTTATACTGAAATATTTTTGATATTTTATCAAAAAATAAATAATGAAGTTATTATATACGATTTCGAGATAAATACGCATGAATCTAAATCGATATACATACAAATCCTTATAAGAATCGTTCAAACTATAACAAAATGACTGATGAACGGAATTTTCGTTCGTCCTATTATGAAAAGGTTGGATGCCGGGGGGTGGAAGAAAAAAAATCTTTAGAAATACTAATGAAAGAAAAACCATGGGACAAAGTGAAGCTAAAACAGTTCTGTTTAAGGTTTACAGTGCCTGCAGCTTACAGGAATCTGGTATGGAAAGTTTTATTAGGTAAGTTTTGGCGAACGAAACTAGGCAATCGATAAAATAAACTAGTATAATCTTTATCTAAAACAATGTTTGTTATAAACTCTCTTCCTTACATTCTGACATGTATATAAATTATCCGAATATACGAATGTATTAACACTATTTTGCTATCTCCAAAGTGATGTTGTTTATTTTTATTCAGATTTGTCAGCATGTATTTTGGCCTTGCGCCTAGGATATAAATGTGTAAGCCGTGTTAAGTTTATTTCACATTGTCTACTGGCATGTTACAGACATACTGCCTGTGTACCCAGACTCTCACCAGTTTGTAATGGAACAGCGCACAGAACAGTACCAAGATCTATTGTATGCAGTTGAAAAGTTTGATTTTGTGTCTATGAACGCTCCAAGGACCCAGGTGTTGTTGGAAATGTGGTTACTAGAAAATGAAGAGAGGAAGCCACCGCTGTTCCCAGAAACTAATTTCTCTGTAAGTGCAAAAACAAAATTATAAATTTCTACATAATGGTCTGTCATTTCAGGTGTAAAGCCAAACATACTTTGTATTGCTTATTAAAAAAAATGTGAAAATGTATACAAATATTATTAAAATTTAGTTTTTTAACATTTATTTAAGTAAAAACTAGATTATGTTCTTATACTAAATAAATACAATTATTAGACAACATCTAGATTCTAAAAAGACATGCCAAGATGGTTTACATTTCGTTTATTACCTAAACCAATATAGACCAAAGTGGTTGTGAGTTAAGGGTATACTCGGCTACAAAAAAAATTACCTCAGTTAGCCTTTACTTTAATAGTATTTAACTTGATTAAACAAAAAAGTACCTAAAGGATTCTAATTAGAATTTTTCTTTTTCCAATTGGTTTTTTACAGTCAGCTGACACATTTATACCTATAGTGAACACACTGCTGGAGTTGTATGACGATGAAGTAGATGTGTACTGGCTGGCTAAAAGCCTCACAGATGTAGTACGGAACATGCAGAGGGAGCTGCCAAAACTAAAAGAAGCATTTATCACCATGCTTGAAAAGGAAGATGGAGATGTGTTTAAGTAAGAATTTATTTCAATAATAACATTTGCATCCCAATAGGTAGGTTTTTGATGTTTTCCATCAAAACATACCAATGTTCTTTTATACCAATATTTCTTCTATTAGTTATTCAATTCAATGTTTTTTTTTTCAGTCACTTGGTGGACATCAGTGCTTTGGAGGTGTTGCCACTAACAAAATGGTTCAATTGTTGCTTTGCCGGTGTTTTGGATGACACATCCCTTACCAAGTAAGAAATAAAAAAAGTGGAATTGCTTTAACCTTTTAATAAATAAATGTTAATTAATACATTTATTTTGTCTAGAATTTGGGACAAGGTATGCAGTGGTGCTCCAAAGATCCTCTCATTTGCTGCTGTTATGCTTGTTATTACATTACGCAGAAACATACTAAGATCAAAACATTCTGATGAAGTGCTGAAATGTGTCTCACAGGTAAATTGACTATGTCATTGCTTATTTACACAGAAGTTTCAAAAGAATGCTAAGGATATGTGAAGACATTTTGTCTTCTTAAGCAGATAACATTTTTAATACAAAAACCGATCTATCCCAAGGCACTTGTCTCATAGATACTTGCATCAATAAGTCCCAAAAGACAATGATAACTATTCTGATTTCTTTTTACAGATTCCAGAACAATGTGAGGAAGTAGTGGCCAATAAAGCTATTGAACTGTGGCAGTACTACGGTGCACAGCCACAAAATGATACTCTGGCCAAGAAATGATGTATGACCTTCTAATGGGGTGACCTCATTAGAAGGAAAACGGAATATTCTAACAGTGGAATAAGTTTTGGCAGCTTAGCTTGAATAATGTTACCTGTATGCAAAGGCTGTTATTGAATTTATATGATAGCAACACTTTTTATTGCACAAATATAAGATGTTCAGAACTTTAATGACAATGTTATATTTAAGTGTAGTGGTAGCCTTATAAGATATTACATGCACTTCTAGTGTAGGCTTGTATATAAGCATGTACATAATAAAGCTACATTCTCAATCTAGGCCTTTTCATACAGGGGTTTGTGTAATGTGAAGCTATGCAGATATTGTATTTAAATGAAAAAATATGTAAAGAGTGTACATAAATGTTAAATTAAGAATTACAATTTTGTGTTTTTTTTTTTAATTATATCAATATTCCACTAAGAATTCATTATCATCCCTAGTTGGACAGATAACTACCTGAAGAAAGGCCTGCTAATGTAAAGGAATCCTTTAGATGCTGAGTGGGTACTTGAGAACAAATCATATTTAGTGCTCTTTCGACAACTTTTCTATCTCCTTTAATAAAACAAGATTTATCTTTAGTTAGGTTTTGTATTTTGAATCTTAGTCTCACCTACCTTCAATTTGAAATACAAAAACGCTCATTGGTTTAGACTTATACCTATAAGAAAAGTCTTGCTTTGTAATAAGGCCGTATGAGTTTTAGGGGACTTTGTATTGTGAAATCGTCGTCTTTTAGGCGTCTCATAGCATTCTTATTTCTCGGACATCAACTAGAAAATTATGAATGTAAAGCATGTCGTAAAATCAATGAGATTATTTTTTAATTAATTAGAGATTTATTAAACTGATACATATTTGATCGTATACAGATACACTGTAAAAGAAGTTGGCTCCAGAACTTTGATATGTTCCGTTTCACAGATTTTAGTTATTTGTCAATGATTTATTTTATTTCTTCCTCTGGCAACATTTTACCACTCGCCATTTTGCAAGAATGTCAGCCAAATCATCAGAGCGAGTTTTTAGTTAATTTTTATGTTATCGCTTAATAAATTATAGTGATTTTGTGTTTTGAATATCGTTTTTATTGATAAACAACCGAAATGGACCGTTTTATAAGCATGTGGAAAGTTCGGGAGCTGGCGGATAAAGTGTAAGTCTTACGAACGTTTTTGTTAATTTTTATGTAAATTACTGCAATCTGTTTCACTAATATGGTTATTTATTGGAGGTTTTATGAACCTTGATAGCAAATTGACGTATATCTGGTGGTATTAAATATTGGATATTATTAATTCAAGATGATTTTACCACCAAATAATCTTATTGGGATAATGAATGAAGTTGGGGAGTGTAACGACGAAATGCACTGAATACAAACGTTATCAGTGGTTTGCCCAATGAATGTAGTAAATTAGCGACCGGTTTCACGATTTATTTGTATTTCGGCGGCAAAATTCAGGTTCGAACTGATAAAACAAGTAATTAGTTAATGTCTAGCTTAGTACTGGGCGTTCATTTAGTTTTAGTTTACAAATTAGCTCTTATTAGAACCAATTCTAATTGAATGTTTTTGTTGTGTGTCCTATAAGTTAAGCGAAACCGACATCCCATAAGGACCCAATGGTGGTGTCTTTTTGTGTTAAAATGTGTCTCATTTTAATCCAAAGTACTTCTAGATATTAGGTTAGGGTATGTAGTTAGATTTTAAAATCTTTGTAACTTAACTAACTAATGTCACTAAGCTTTACTTATAAACAATTTAATTAATAGATAATACTTGAACATTCTTCATTTAAGACAACAGAAGCTTCTTAACATGATAATGTTATGCATAAACTCTTTTATAACTATGGCATAGACGGAAGTAATGGAACATGTGTTTGCATCATTATAGTGTGCCAAAATCTTGGCTGCAACTACATTCATTCATCCTTTCATACTCCTTGTTTATAGTTTATTCATTCCATCAGTGAGTCTCAAACTCAAATCTACTTTTTTGTGAGAGACACTGAGAATTTCCTCGCCCTGGGTGAGAGTGTTGTCATTTGACTAACTAAAACCTTTCCTTCTCCTGCTCTAGACTGAGGCTGCAGAAACTTATTGTATTTGCCTTGCAACCATGGCTCACTCACAGTAACTTCATAGTTGCATTTCAAAAATATTACAACAACCAACACAACATTGTAAACATTGACATGCAGATTTCTGAATGAGATAAATAGACATTTACCATCCTTGTAAAAACTCATACATACTGTTTAATTGTTTGTTGTTGTATTGAAATGGTTAGAATGTATTATACAAAGTGTTATATATATTTTATTTTTGAATGTAGTAAAAGAATGCTTGTAATTGTAGTTACTTGTAAAAGGAGGGGGGAGTACTATTTGAGACTTTTATTTGGAACTTCCATGTAACTTTACCAGCTGTTTCAATCTTATTGCCTTATAGCCTTCCTCAATTAATAGACTATCCCAACGCACAGATAATTATTCAATTAAAACTAGCAGTTGCGAGATAAGCCAGTTTCAAAAAACTTATTTTTATATGTATATTATTTTCATATCCAAATACACAATTTAATTTCATTCTCTCATCTCAGTGTCATTAACTAGTACGGTAAAAAAGGAAACAAGTTACCGCAACAGTACACACATGACCAATTCAATTAAATGGTTTAGCCTTGGAATGAGAGTTTCACCATTGGCACAATCAACTAGTGACCATTGGCCTACACAGGGAAATGGATATTACACCATACAGAAAACAAGTATTAATTTAAAAATAATTAACTACAATAGTGGTATTTATATTTATTTATTTATTTTGTCTGGTATTGGAATTAATGCTAAATCTGAACACTTGAATAAGGAAATTAGATGGTTAGTTTGAATGTTATTGTTCCAAGTAACTGGCATACATCCAACAATATTCAGATTGCTGCATCCACAATGGTCTTAGTTTTACTAATCTTGTTTTGAATTTTGGAAACTGTCCAGTGCTAGTCACACTTTTAAGACCACCGTTCTTAAGTTTAATCTGAATACTAACAAGATTCTTAATAGCATGTTTTATGCCACTTTACCAACTAAACATACACACTCTCACTTAGCTGAGAGGTTTGCAAAGGCCTTATTAATTACCACAAGGTCATTGATGTGCCAATTGCCACAATTGCCTCCTGGACTGCGCGACAGCCCCAACAGCATTGTTACTGTTGTGGCAAGTAAAATGGACAGGCTTATTGTGAAGCATTGAATGACATCTCACCGAGCTTCATTTAAATATATATAAAATACTTGTTCTGCATTAAAATAAGTCAAATCTGGCAGTAATGTCTGAAAACAAATTTAATGTCACCAATCTGAATGCAATGTTTACAAATTAATAATATCACATGTAAACAATACTCTAGTTAAAGTTTATATTTAATTTAAGGAAACATTTATTAAAGTTCTTATCTTATTTCATTTAATTTTATTAACAATGGTTTAGTACTTTGTTTCATATATAGCTTCAGTATAATTGATTTACTAATTAGTATTTTATTAGAAATGTAGAACAAATTATGTGAATTAAAATCTCACTGTATTATATGCCTGTTGCTCTGCCGGTGTCACCACTAATTTGTAGTTCTATACTTATTTCCATATTTGCAGGAAATTATTACATTTGTAATAATTATCTTGAAATTTTTATCTTATTTGAATCCCCATTTCAATAAAGGTGTTTAAGTTGACATGTTTCAAGGCCATATACTTATGTCAGGGGGAAATAAGTGTAAAATGCATCACATGTTAAGTATAAATAACACTTATTTTCAGCAATAAACATAATATTTTTTCCCTAAATGAAATAAATATAGTCCCAATATAATAATGTAATTTGATGAAATAAATAATAAACATTATTCCATTCCACACTTACGTTAGGTAGGTAAGTGTTGTCAACTTTCATTTATAATGTTAGCACCCGGTTTTCGAAAGGCCGATCAATGTTAAAATCAATTTAATCTCTTGTCAAGTCATCTGATTGGTTGACTGAATTATCAACAATCAATCAGATGACTTGACAAGAGATGTAACAGGAGATTAGTTAATTTTAGCGTTGACAAGCCTTTCAGAAACCGGGTGTTAATGTTATATTGTATAGTTAAAATAAGTCTTGTTGTCAAGGTGTGCTAATGAACTTGTATTCACTAATAACCAACATTCTTTCGAATGTTACAGTAAGTAGACTACAGAAACCCGAGCGTACGGCGCGTAGCGTTCTGCGCGCGCCTCAAAAGGCCAATAGACACCACAGACGGGGCAATGTAGGGCTGATGTTCAGCCGGGGTTGCGGGGCAAGCGCATTGAGGCACCGTAGCCTCGGCCCAGAACAAGAAAAGGAACGGCGGTTTTTAGTCAGTATGAGTCTGACACTCTCCTGCCTTGCCCTGGGCGGGAGAAGTTCCTAACTTAATGTTTTTTCCTGACAAAGACCCCTGAAAAAATTATCTACAGAAAAAGAAGGAGAGCGTATTCTACCTAACTTAGCTTATCACAAAATAAAGGCGATCAGCTCATGCACTAGGTAGTAGGTATATTAGCTTTGGAAATATTGACGTGTAGATGCTAAATTGTATTCTGTTTACTAAATAAATATGGCTTATTCTACTTCTACCTAATACTTTGTTTTTCCTGTCCTAATGTTTAATGTTTTGCTTCATGGTTTTCCCGGAGTACGTACTCTCTTTTTCTATATCTAAGTATAGTTTTCTCACAGACAAGTTATCTCTTGTGCCATTAGTCCTAAGAGTATGTTCACAATACAACTTTTAACAACTATTTTGTGAATCCCCAACACTTTGAGCTGCTGTCGCTAAAACTAGTGCAAGCGACGATAAGGCACACGTGGCCTTGGCCTACAGCAGGAAAAGGAACGAACTAATGTTTCAGTTTTTAGTCAGTAAAAGTCTGAAACTCCCTCTCGTCCAACCTAGGGCGTGAGAAATCAGTTCTTGATATTCTCTCTTAAAAAACCATATAAGTAGTTGATTTAATTCTTCAAACCCCAAGCGAACGCCGGCGTTCCCGTACCTATTGTTCTTCTATTGTGTATCGAATTGAAAGGTTAATTGGAACCAGTGGGTGTACGCACCTACGTAGACTACATATTTATATATGTCGTATGTCTATATTGATAGTTGTACTGGTTAAAATTGACCAAAAACATCGCAGGATTGTAGCGCTCACCTTGATGTAACCTTTCACTGGCGTTGCATAACCGCTCGTATGCGAGCAACTTGTTGATCTCCGTGTTGCGTGCGGACGATGCAGGTCGGTTTACAATACACACACCTAACAATACGTACTACATGCATAGGTACTTAAACTGATGCCTTTGTCCATAATTAGTGATTGGCAGTAACTGCAGGCCGTCATCTAATATCATCCTTACCTACCTACGTACTTCTAAACGCCTTAGCATACAAGCAAACCGCTTAAGAAGACTTCGCACATTTTAGAATTATCAGAGAAATAGTCCAAAACGATGGATAGTAGCTTTCTCATTAATATCACATTTGCTAGTATATCAAAAAGAGATGGACCTCTGAGTTTGTTTCGGCATTTCTTCTCAGAATAGTCAGAAGGGATATGCCGGCTTCATCTAGTTTTTCATATATAGGTAATTTTGGCGTGTAAAAGCGCTGCTTTATGGCCTATTTGCAAAAGGAAATTCATTGTTTCATTGAAAAAGATGTGCTGCAGAAATCTCAGGTTTGAGTAGTGGAAATAGGATAAAGAGACCTTTGCTTTAACGACAATGACTTGTTAAAAAAAAAGAATAAATAATTTAGACTGCTAAAATGTGTTATCTAGGTGGCCTTGTCAGTAGTCTTCTTAGTTTTACCTACTAAATACCTTTCACTCCCCCCTCCATCATCTCACAGGGTCAACAATATGAGCTAGGACGTTCACTAGTAGGCTTGCTACCCATGTGGTCCATGATACTATTCATGTATTTATTTATTTCGGATACTTCAGCTAAAGCACTCTCACAGACCTACTTGACATTAATAAGTACGTAACGTACCACTTATTTCTTCTCACTCTCTGCCTACTCTTTAGGTACGCTGGTACATTTGCGATTTTGTGAGTAGCCTATCAAGGAATCTCATCCCTACATAAATTGTTCCGAAACTCCTTAGTTGAGAGCGTTTACAAAACTACTGAACCGATTTCAATGAAACTTGGTAGTCATATTAATTGGTTTTTTTGAGGGGCAAAATTTTCAAATGACTCGCTCTTGCCGGGGCAAGAGAGAGTAACAGACTTTCACAAACTAAAACCACCCCGTCCCTTCTCCACAATCCCTGGCTTAACATGAGCCCTAATAGCTATCTAAGGTGGTGTAATGACAAAAATATTTAATCCCTTAGATTCTCGAAATATTTATTAAACAAGCCGTTGTACGTGTTTTAAAATTAATGTACGTGAATCCTAAAATTTGCCACTCTCCCTTGTGTTTGGAAGTTGATTTTGCGTATGAATAATAATGAAGTGTAATTAAAATTGGTTCAGGAGTTTCCATAATTTTGGACTTTTTTTTGTATGTACCAAGGATACCCGTATCGCGTAAACGGGTCTTAAGTTGTAACGGACTGGCGACTGCAATCGTTCCCGCGTGGTAATGTCTCAGCCATTCACAATAAGCTGTCGATTTCACCTTCACCTCCTACATATTTGGTTCAAAACCTTTTTACTTCCAAATAAGCCCTCATTACTCATAAAGAAAGTGTCTCATATAGTGCAATGGAAAGTTTACGTACGGCACGCTCCCTTGGGTGTAAACGGACTAGTCTTTCCACCTACTTAGGTGTCTATTTTTAGCACAAAATTGTAACTTCCCGTGTGTGTCAACTCATTAAATCTTCATTCTGTTGATTGTAATTAACATTAACATTATCGATATGATAAATACCTGCCTACAGACAAGGAAGGATAAACTACAATTATGGTAACTAACGAGCCGAAAAATCTTTTCGAACTTGTACGAACATATTTGTCTAACTTTGCTTAGGGTAAAGTTATGATGAGTTTTGTTACATGAAATTGTGTCAGAATCCAGATTTTCACATCCTAGAATTTATATTAGTATATTATAAACTCGAAAGTTTAAGTATGGTTGGTTTGATACACATATTTGGACGAGATGAAAATTTTCACAGACATTATCGTCTGCATGAAAAGTAACCTATGTTATTTAAGCGGAAGAAGCTTCTGGCTGAAGCTTGTACATAGGTACTATCTAATTTGATCAGTATTGTGTTGGTCAGAGCTATGTAATTTAACCATCAATTGTACAAAGATGCACCGACAGAACCGCCCAACATGGCGCCGTCAATAAATAAAAAACTGAATCGTATTGCAATCGTGACGTTCCGCGCATAAATCAATTTCGGATAGCGCAGGTGTAGTGTACCGGTGCACTTGTAATATCTACGCGTAACTACATAAGTACTTAGATCGCATCTCAATCGATACTCCATTCGTGCAGTTTAATGAATTCGCTTAATCGGACACTGCGTGATTTGTGTATTGTTTGGTAACTTAGTGTTGATTATTGGCTCGTTGTGGTGAGAGATTCTCGGGTTTGTGATACAATGCCGTTAGATGCGACCGGGTTAGGAGTTATTCGCATAAATGATGGTGGTAATGTCCGGAATATTCGCGCTAGAACGGACCTATGCGGTGTGGGAGATGGCGGTAACGGGGACATACAATAAGGTTCGATTGCTTTTTTTTAAACATCTGTTTTAGTTCTCGTGGTAAAACGTGATCTGCATTGCTACCATTAAGTTCGATTTAAATTACTGCTATGCAATTTCTCTATTCTACATGTACATATTTATTTTAATGTTCTTGTTAACATATGCTTTAATGAATGCTGTGTAGGACATAGTCACCAATCGTCTAGTCTAGACCACAACGCGACTGCGCGAAATGACCTACTAGTCTAGGTATTACACGTCAGAGAATGACGTAGATTATCTCCTTTATCTATTCATAACAAGATGAAATCCGGCCCCATAGGATTTTGTAACGATTACCTGTCTCACACCAGTTGAATAGATCCAAATATAATGTTATAGCTTAGAGAACGAATACGATAGATATCTGATCTCTATCCTGAGTTTTGAGTACGCAACGTTACTTTGTTATTTATTAAACACAGATATAATGTTATCAGAAAGTATGTTTTTATCAAAAATCGCGTTCGTCTTTACTCAGTCGTAAAATGATTGGATTTACAGATAGGTAGGTACTATGGCACTTGCACATTATTTGTTATCGTGACAAGTTTTATTTATTTGTCCCTGATTGACAATTGTGGTGCCTTGCGTTCGATGCAACTGGGTCGTTTGTCGTTTGATCGCTTCATTTATTCTGTGTTGCACATTTATAGCTACTTAAAATGCGAAAGCGATGTTGTTTTTTTATTGTAAATACGCATCTGTTTTTCTCCGATCTTGAAATGATGTGATATGAGATGTTTCCTTTAGAAAATTACAATTGTTGTTGTTTGCAAATTACCGAAAATTCGCGAAACTTTCTGCTTTGCACAGTAAAACATTGCAATGATCTTTTGTCGGCGATATTTCCGAACCGATATCAACTACAAACCTTCAAGAAACGTATTTACTCCTTGATAAAATTTCGGCAACAGGTCTGTTACTCCTCTGGTGTTGCAGATGTCCATAGGCTTTGCAGCGCACGACTTTATAGTGGTATTTAAATAAAATGTCCTTAATTTGATTTCCCTCACTCAAATTAAATAGGGTATAAAAGCTAAACAAAAACCTAATCCTTTTGCGAAAGAAGCTAACGGCATGATGTTTGTTGCAGCACAAATGTAGTGATGAACTACACGGAGGTGGAGGGCAAGGTCCGCGAGGCGACCTCGGACGAGGCGTGGGGCCCCACTGGCCAGCAGATGCAGGAGCTGGCGCTGGCCACCTTCACATACGAGCACTTCCCCGAGGTCATGTCCATGCTGTGGCGGCGAATGCTCCACGACAACCGCTCGCATTGGCGACGAACATACAAGGTAACTATGGCCGAGTGTGATCAGTAAAAATTATATTTTGAACGACCAATCGTAATCGCAGTTTAGGTGTGGAAGAGCATAGTTTTGGCACGAACCGAACACGAAACTGGAAACAACCACAGCGATGTGTTTCGCCATGAGTGAGACTTGGAGGCCCAATCCTTCCTCGCTTGCCCCCCATCCCCGCCCAATCCCTAAACCTCCGAATCCCTAATTCCCCAAAAGGCCGGCAAACACCAGCAAATACGTCTAGCCGTTTGCCAAGAAATCCCATAAAAAAAAACTCAACAAAGATATACGCTCGCTATTATATTTCAGGAGAATAACTCCTGACATGAAAGTACTCTTTTTTTTTTCTAAAAAAAAATGGAAAACGTTTTAAAGCTATGTATATTTTTGATAGGTTAATAATGTTCAGATACTACAAGAATACGTAAAACGTAATTAAGAGATCCAAGTACCTAATTGAAATACGTGTTACCTGACGTCTGATAGAATAACAGCCCGCTTGTATCCGCGACACGCGTACTCATTACATTCAGTGCCACCAACAGGCAATTATGTATGGTGTTGTGTGGCAAATGGCAGCATAACTACCTGGCTGTAACTGTATCGTCTATAGACCAAACAAGCAAGTATGTGTTGCATGTTACGCTGTTCCACCTTAATCGCTAGACAGATTATGATAAAATTTGTTTACAAAAGTAATACAGATTAAGGTAGAGAGTATTGTACTAAAATCTATTCGATATAATTAAGAAATTCTTCTAAAGTTCTTTATCACGTTACAACTAATAAGAGAGAAATATAAGAAATACAAATTGCCCGGATCTCGAGTAATTTAGAGTGCTAATATAGATAAAATTAGGATGACAAAAGACGTTAGGCAAAGCTAGCGATTTAATTTCAATAGTACCTATACACTTCTATACTAATATTATGAAGAGGTATTTGTAAGTCTGTATGTAGGGGGTAATGTTTGGAGCCACTGGTCGATTCCCAAAAATGCTTCTGAATTGCACGAGTATATAACAAATTTCCCAGCGCCGCTTTTCCTATTTTCTCCTCTACTTATCTCAAACATCTCCTGAGAATAACAAATACCACAAAACTATGGCAAAATTGGTGTATGCATTGTTTAGCTTTGCGCTCACCAATGTTGGGGGCAAGTCGCTAAAAGGAGCTGATAAGTTGTAACAAGATGTAAACAGAAATGATAGATAATTATCGAAGGTTTGCAGATTAAGCGCAGTCATTGTAGTTGATTGTAAAACTCATTAGTAAGGAGTTGGAGCCCGTCCAATGTTTGTACTAGGTACATTGAACTCGAGGAATGTATTTGTCATCGCGACCCTAACGATTCAGCTCATGTAGCCCTTCTCTTTATTATATAAATGACGCAGACTGTGTTATAAAAAGAAAGGCAGACAGTTGTGGCTACTTCAGTAGCTCTCTGGTCTTCAAAAGTCCCAATTTGATACTTATATGAGAACTATCCATATCTACGGCTTCGCACGCGTATAAAGTAATGTATCCCGGGATTTTAAAAACATCAGCGTTTAAAGCGATATCTTGACTCAAATACGCAAATCAAGTATAATTTACAACCTAACTCCTTACCTAACCTTGTAGCTTACCCCCATTACATTTTTTTATGTTTTATGTCGGCAAACGCGTCTTCTGATAGCCTGATGGTAAGCAATCAGCGCCGCCCATGGACAACCGCAACAATAGAGGAGTTACAAGTGCGTTGCCGACCTTTTGGGATTAGGGATTGGGGGAGGGGAAGAATTGGGCCTCCAGTAACGACACTCACACGGCGAAACACTAGGCTGTGGTTCCGGTCGAGCCGGACCATTCTTGACGAAGCATGGCTCCCCACTCTGAAAGATACTATTGTGTACCCAATTTACATGAATATGTATAATGAAATGAATGTTTGTATTGCAGTGCTTGCTGCTCCTGAGCTACCTAGTGCGCAACGGGTCGGAGCGAGTAGTGACGTCGGCGCGGGAACACATATACGACCTCCGCTCACTCGAGAACTACACATACGTCGACGACGTCGGGAAAGACCAGGTGAGAACTGACATGTCTTTTTTTGTAAGCGGAAATTCACTTTTCTCGCCCAGGGTAGGGAGTGTCAGACTCTTACTGACTAAAAACCCGTAGTTTCTCCTGCTCTGGGCAGATACCGCGGTACCTCATTGCGCCTGCCGGCAACCCCGGCTGAACATGTCTAACTCTATCATATTGTCATTGGGAAGGCAGTAGGGGTTCCGTGACTCTTAAATGTCTGTTGGTCTAAAGAAAGCGGTCTCTGGTTTAATTGAAACCCAAGATTGACCATTTTTTGACAAAACATGTCTATCAAAAGTATCTGAAGAATTCGAAATTAATATTAAATATAGTATAATATTTTGCTTAATACAAAACGAACTTTCAGGGTATAAACATAAGGCACAAAGTGCGAGAACTGATAGACTTCATACAGGATGATGAGAAACTGCGGGAGGAGAGGAAGAAGGCTAAGAAGAACAAAGACAAGTATATAGGTGAGTGGCATTGCAGTTTGTTGGTTCTCATCTACATCAATGAAGTAGCCCGGACTAAACATTACACTTTGGCATCAAAAGCCAGACAAGTGTTGATTATGTATGTATTACTGTTGTTCAACTAAATTTGAGAAGACTCAATGCCGACTTCAAAACTTAATTCTTTAATATAACAAGAAGTACATCCGAGTAGGCTATTTCAAACAATTTTATTGATGTGTTAGTATGCTTTCAGATGAAGGGTAACAAAAAATTTGTTGGTGAAACTAATTGAAAAAGAGTTACTTTGAAATTTCTTACTCAATTTTTATAAAATGCAAATATTCTTAATAGATAAATGACCAACAGACAGTATTTTTTTTTCTATTTGAAATAAATTGTTTTAAATAGAAGATTCATGCTGGTGTGAAGCTATATCACTAAAAATTATAAAATTAGGTACAACATAAGGTATCCTGAAAAATGCCTCCGCCATCAAGTCCGCCATCGCAATATTGTGTGCAAAAATTATTAAAATAGTTGAGATATAATTTGTTGTTACAGGCATGTCATCAGACGCGGTGGTGATGGGCATGCGGGGCGGCTCCGGCGGCTGGGGCGAGTACAGCGACCGCAGCGCCGGGAACTGGGGTTTGTCATCTTTATACTACTCGATGTACACCAGTCTAATAGCAAAGCTCGACCTGCTAAGCTCAAACCTTAACTATTTAAAGAGACAAGGTCCAAGTCATTGCTCAAGTGGTGATTCTCCGAAAATCCTTAGCGTATTTTTAACAAACCATTATCCTTCCGGGTTCTTAAGCATCTTAGTAACTTATAATTCAATATTTTTATTGATTGCTTGTCCCAATAGAAATGACTTTCTTTTCTTTTAAGAAAAATGGTATTGTAACATTTCTTAAATATTTTTAAATACTAGCATAAATTAGTCAATCACACAAAAATGTTCCGTGCTAGAATCCGACACGCGACATGTTGCGCAGCTTATGTATGCTAATTTTTAAAGTTATTTCTCTGTTCCATAGAGGAGCCAAAAGAAAGAAATGACGAGGACGACTACGAGAGAGAGGACTCGGATGGAGACTACGGTCATCATCGTGAGAGGAGGCCACACAAGTTAGTATATTCAATTACTATTCAGATTTTCGTTTATAACTACAGAGCATCCTATTCATACTATTATCCTACAGAGGTAGTAAGTGTATGTAGGGGTGGGTAATCTTTGGAACCACTGGTCGAATTGCCAAAATTCTTTCACTAATAGATAGCTACAATATTCCTGAGTGCTATAGGCTGTAAAACATCACGCTACGGTCAAATGGAACCGAGCAGCGGGTGGAACCGCGCGATAGTAACTAGTTTCATATAAAATTTGTGTGCAATATTATTTTACATATAATACAAAGGCTTAAATTGAATTAAACGACTGCACGGTTGGCGTGGTTTTTTTTGTGAGGGGAAAATCATCAAATGACTTCGCCCGCCCAGGCGGGAGGGAGTGTCAGACTCTTACTGACTAAAAACCCCCCCTGTTCCTTCTCCTGCTCTGTGCCGAGGTCGCGGTACCTCATTGCGCTTACCCCGCAACCCCGGCTGAACATCAGCCCTTTAGGCCCCGTCTGTGGTGGTCTATTGGCTCTTTGAGGCGCGGGACGCTACGCGCTGTACGCTCGGGCCTGGTTCTGGTCGCTCGCCGTCCGCAGACCAGCGGTTGGCGTGGTGGATGGGAAACTGGCTGCCGTGCAACATGTTTAACTTAAAGTGGCACTCCTTTCACAGAGAGAACGTATACCGTGACTCGGACGTGGTGAGCTCGAGTCCGCCCCGCGCACGGTCGCTGGAGCCCGGCGAGCGCCCCGACCGGCCCGACCGGGCCGAGCGCCCCGACCGGGGGACGCACAAACCCTTCAGCATCAATCTCAAGAGCCCCGCCAAACAGAAACCTAGCACGCCTGTCAAGAAAATAGACCTTGGTATGCCATATTTTTTTTAAACTATATGTATTGTTTAACGCCGAATACGTAACTATCTATTTAGAAAGACACACAGAGAAATTAGTATAAAATAAAACTAATGAAATTAGGAAAAAGTTTCTTTGGGAAAGTTGTTTTTTAGCTTTTTATCATGAGTTCAATTACGTATTTAAATATCAGCCACTAATTACCAGTCATTCTATAAATACATAAAACCTTAGTCAACCCAGGAAATATGGTCCATTACTTAACTTATAAAATGTCGAAGATTTATTTTTTATTTATTTAATTATAAAAGATAATCCAACAGCTTCTTGTAAAAAATTTGTGTTTCTTTCCCGTAAAAACTTATATACACTGTTTTTATGGGAAATATAACATGAGGCCTAAGTATACAGTTGCCAATTATAGTATAACCAACATTCTTTAAACACTTCTGAGAGGAATTAATAAACGTAAGCTAAACTATGCAAATCATAAACTAGATTCAACAAATCTTAACCACATACCTCTTCTGTCGCAGGCGCGGCAGCGACATACGGCCAGTCGGGCAGCAGCGGCGGGGCTGCGGAGGCTGCGCCCCCGGTACAGTCGCAGGAACTGCTGGACGACCTGTTCAAGACCTGCGCCCCCGCCACACACGCTCCTCCCAACGATGTACTCGATGACTTCGATCCCAGGTAACTAATTTATACTACATCATACACATTAATATGTATGTATGTATGAGTTAAGATTCGGCACGAATGGGTCGGCTCGATCGAAGTTGGAGATCGGACGGAGGAGATACCACGGCCTCACAGAAAACCGGCGTGAAACGACCACAAGGTTGTGTTTCGCCATATAAGTGAGGTTACCGGAGGCTCAATCCCTCCCCCTCTCCTCATCCTTTCTCAATTCTTAAATATCCGAAACCCTTATCCTCAAAAGGCTGGCAACGCTCTCGTAACTCCTTTGGTGTTGCGGGCGTCCATAGACGGCGCCGATTACTTACCATCAGCTAATACGTTGGCTCGTTTGTCGACCAGTCCCATAAAAAATATGTAATTCTCAAAAACATGTTTGTGATATTAAGGGCTAACGTAAATCATATTACTTACATATGGAAGCTAGCTGGTGTCTTATAAGTATACAATATGTTAAAACCCGTATACATTATTTCAAGTTAGTATATTTTGCGTAAAATATTACACGGAAACAATACAACCTTATTTGTTTATTTCAGAGCGGAAGAACCAACCGTTCCTCGCAAAGTATCGAATGAGTTCGGTGACTTTACGAATGCTTTCGGTCCCCCCGCGAACAACAACGAAGGATTCGCAGACTTTTCGAGCGCTTTCACAGACAACAACAACTCTAACAACTTGCTCAGCGCCGGAACCAATCTGGCGCCCACACCTAACCTTATGGCGCCCAGTAACAACCTCATGGCGCCCTCCAATAACCTAATGGCGCCCAGTAATAACCTTATGGGCATTGGCAGCAACTTGATGACGCCGGCCAACAATCTACTCAGCTCGAGTAACAATAGTGCGCCAACTACAAGTAAGTTACGATGTTAACATATTATTACTTAAAAAATACCCATTAAAAAACCATTTAATAAAAGAAACTAGAGCGGTTTTAGGAGACACTCGAGTTGGTAGTGAAGGAATTGTAATATATTTTTTATTTTCAATATAATAATATGTTTCACTTAATTTTCTATTACAAAATCTCTTGAGGTTAATCATTCATGACACGCTCGTGTCATTTAGATAAATAGAGCGTGTCATTTAGATTAACCTTAAGAGATTTTGTTTTTGATTTTGCCTTGTCTAAACGTTTTCTTTCTGTTTCATCAGTTAAACTACATACAAACATTATTTAAATTTAGTTTATTGCTAACATCGCTTTAGGTATATACCTGATTGTAAACATTTGTACATACGATTTTTAGACAACTTTTAGATATAAATACATATCAAGATTGTTTACATTTAGTCAATTACCTGAACCAATATGATAGACCATAATAACAAATGTATAAAGTACCGTTTGAACTCATTACCATCTGGTGCCAAGCAATGTTCATTCAGCTTGTCAAGTTTCTTTGATTACTGAAGGTTTGCAATACTTTTCGCCGCTTCGCCAGGTCCAAATAGCTGTCAGATAGCACATATTCTTACCGAAAGTATAATTTTTAAATTATAAGTTCTGCTAATATATTTTGGTGTGGATTGCGGCCAAATAAAAGTTATCAAACTGAATATTGAGCTCCAAAAGAGCCTGTGTGTTTATTTATTTGTTTACTCTTTATTGTACACCATAAACATTTATACAGAAAAGCTTGAGATATACATTCGGAGGTCTGGTATCGTTAGATGCGATTTCTTACTTTTATTTGCACACATAAGCACTGCACAATTGTGGCATTTTGAAAAAAGAACAATTATCCGTTTGTAACGTTATTTACGAATGAATAAACCAAAAAAAATAACGAAGAATATAAACCGTATACATGTTTGACAGGTTGTTGGACCTGATGCATACGAAGCGCCGCTTGGCGGCAGAAAAAGTATTTAAAACCCTTATTTACTTATTTCTATAAGGTTGACAGTGATGTTGTCAGCGCATTTATGCCCGTTTTCACCAACAGCCCCTAAAATTTAAGTGTCTCTTAAGCCAATATAAGGGACACTTATCGCGAGTTTTGTTTTGACCAACGTTTAAGTGTCACCTATATCATTAGGGGTTCCTTATAATTTAGGGGATGAATTGACGACCCCGTAACGTTTAAGTGACACATAGTGTTAGGTTATTTTGCGAATCACCAAACAGTATTTTATCCTACTGAATAAGATAAAAAATAATAAAAATGGATAATAACCACTATTTATTTGAAGATTTTAAGCAATTGAAGATATAGAATTGTTAAGTAACCGACATTTGTATAGACGACCTCGTATTTATCGTGAAAGATCGAAAGATTTTGAAATATATGATGAAAAAGACTTTTTCATAAGATACAGGTTCCCTGCTCAACCTTACTTGTATTTAAAGAAATAAACCTGTGGCACCGATTAACCAATTATTGTGTGGCCTTAGATTTTATGCAACAGGCAATCAATTATTATCTGTAGCAGATCTCAATCCCATCAGTGTATCTACTTGCAGTAAAATTATAAAAAGAGTGTCTGACGCTATCGTGGGTCGTGGCAAAGCGAATTCATACAATTTCCAGACACCGAAGAAAAACAACAAATAGTAAAAGAAGAATTTTACAGAATAGCTCGATTTCCAAATGTTTTAGGATGTATAGACTGTACACACATAAAAATTCAATTATAAGGTTGGGCGTTTAGAGAAACACAGGTCCTTACGAGTAACCATTTATTACTGAATCTCCTATGAAATAATACATGATTTAATAAGATGGATAGACACGCACACATACAGATACGGCAGATCTTTGTGTCATATTTATTGAGCCTCCAGCGAACACCGTCGTTCGCACACCTATCGTCTTACTATGATGCCTCTTATAATGATATTCAAAAGTCTTTTAAATGTATTAAGTAGAAACCTTCTTTACATTTATTCATGTGATAAATTATAGGAGGAGATGATGCCTTACTATTCCGGAATAGAAAAGGCAGTATATCTATTAATATGCAAACAATAAGTACTGCAAAATTATTAATAACTGATGTGGTGACACACTAGCCAGGATAAACAACATTCTTTATCTTCAAGTGAAAAATATTGACCACGTTTCCTCTTTTCTGCCATTGTAATTATGTAATAAAAATTTGGTATTTTTTGAAAATACACGTAATGATTGAAATGAAACTGTCACTGGATAGTGGCATCAAAATGTCACCGGCACCGCGTCTTTGTAAGCTATGGCATTCAACATACAGCCAAAAAATAAAAACACAACTTTTTGTTACTAATCTAACATTCACCAGTTCAAGACTCTTCTTTTCGAAATAAATTGAAGTTAGAAAAGTTAATTACTTGTTTTAAGGTTGTATATTTACGAAAATAACAATAGAATTGTCTAATCGATTCATTTATCGATAACTGTTTGCATAGTTCCTCAACACTAAACGTCACCTAATTAGGGGGCTCTTAATTAGGTGACACTTAGGACGGTGAAACAAAATTTAAGTTAAGGGATGATTTGAACGGTCCCCTAAGTTAAGTGGCCCTTACTAAGGTGACTGTTTAGGGGCTGTTGGTGAAAACGGGCATTAGTCCTTTGTTTATTGATATTGATATTTGTTTAATTGTGTTATAATAATTATACTTTTTGTTCAAATAACTTGTCTAAACGTTTCCTTCTGTTGCTTTTGCTTGATTGCAAATCCAAATATATAGAGCGCGCATCGGCCATAGACTAAAAAATGATCTTTTTCTGGGCTTTTCGCGGATAGCATTTTAGCAAGTGTTACCGTAACTCAATATATAATTTAAAAATAAACGATAACTCACTTGTGAATAATAGTAATAAAAAAGTCAGTTTGATTAAAGGTGTCATTATATGCCTAATTTCCGTGGGATTAGAGCCACTTTATGAGGAAGTGTGTTGAAAAAAATCTCTAAACCCACTTTTGTACTATTTGTTGCAAAAACTCAAATTAATTACTAAAGAATCTTAAAACATGTAATAATGCGTTGTTACCACACATAGGTCCGTCATCCAACCTGGACCTGCTGAGCGAGCTGTCCCCGGGCGCTGGGTTCGGCCCGGTGGACTCGCTCAGCTCGCAGCTCGCCGCCACCACGTTGCAGCCCACCCTCACTCCAGGTTCGTACCTAGCCGGACTACACACTCAAATACATATTATAATACACATTACTATATCACACAAGTGTCCAAATTGTTGAATTATATTAATAATTGCCAACATTTTCCTGAATACCTTTTAAAAGTTCAAATCATTTATTCCAACTTAACCCTAAATAGGTATGTTTGAAACGTCAAAATAGAATAGTAGTCTGTCAGTCTGTTCGTCAGTGAAGCTAGGTTTTTTTTATAAAGTATTCAGAAATAAAACTCAAGTCGTCTTTGATAGCTACATTAATAAAAGTCAAAAAGGTTTTTTACAAGAAAACCTACCTGGCCTTTTTACAAAACAAGGGTTTTCGTTAGTCTACGTCTAACACTCGGTTTCTGAAAGGCTTGTCAACGCTAAAATTAACTAATCTCCTGTTAAATCTCTTGTCAAGTCATCTGATTGGTTGTTGATAATTCAGTCAACCAATCAGATGACTTGACAAGAGATTACATTGATTTTAACATTGACCGGCCTTTCGGAAACCATGTGTAAACCATTGAGCCAGTTTTGTATTTCGAATTGACGGTAGCTGAGAATAAGATTCAAAATACAAAATCTTACTTAATGGTTTAAACCTAGACTAAAAAACATAAATCTGGTTTTGTAATAAGATGGACCAAGTTTATCAAAGTATTCATTTTTGAACTTAGACCAAGTAATAAATTGTAGGGATTTATCCTGCTATGTTTTACATGAAAATATAGTTATATTATGCTTTTTTGTGAAATGTCCTAATGGCTATCTTATAATTACTACTTATTACATACAAAAGACTAAAAAAATATATAAAAGGTAAAACTAAAAAAATCAAAGCTGATATTTATACCCGCTTAACTTAGCGTAACTTACAAATATTTACAGATTGGGTAAAAGTAAGTACTTCTGCCCAATCGGTGAATATAGTTAATTTAACTAATTCATCCTAAAACGAATCTTCTACAGTATGTATTTGTTGGTAAAAATGGCACATTATGCGCAAAGTTGCGCAAAAATTAACGTGAAATTTCCACGCTTTGAGATATGAATTATAATTCGTATGTTTTTTTATATATTTTAAGCGTCATTTGTTGTTAGTATGAGTGCTAGTATTATTAATTATTATGTGTTCTCTCGCATAGTGTTCTGTAATTATGTATGTATGTAGTCTCTAGGGATTTACGTTGTTCAAAATGTTTTTCGATTCTTTATTTTATTATATTTTTAAAATGGTTGTCTTCGTATTTTAATTTTTCTCTTTCAGTTTGTTTTTTTGTTCGGTTTCGTTTCGTATTGGTTTTGTACCTCGTGTATAAAATGTTGGTTTTATTCTATGTTCGGGACCGGTAAAGCGCGTGTTATCGTCGTGTATTTCAGTTACGGTATGACGACCTTCTTTCGTCACGTGTGACTTATACCGTCCGGTTTACGTGACGTGTCGGTGTCTTCGCGTTTCGAGTGCATGCGCGCCAATAAAGATGTACCCAACAGTTTTGGACACTTTCAGGATTTTTTTATTTGCAGGAGAAACTAGCGAGACCGCCGCGGACCGGGCCATGGAACACGCCATCCAGGTCATACACGACACGGCCAGCATTACGAGCCAGGCAGACGTGGAGCGGGTGGAGCGCGCGCTGGGCGCAGCGCTGGGCGCGCTGGGCGGGCCCCTCACGCTGCAGCGGCTGTGCGGCGCCGAGCGGGCCGCGCTGGCCGCCCCGCAGCTGGCGCGCGCCGCCCGCCTGCTGCCCGCCGCCGCCCGGGGCCTGCTGCCGTACTGGCCCGTGGCGCGCCCCGCCTTGCGCGCGCTCTTCTCGCTGGAGGACAGCTTCCAGCTAAGTCACGAGACGCTCTCCGTCCTCTGCGGGTTCCTCAAAACTGAGAACAATAAGGTCACCTTGAAGGCTCTCTCCGACCTACTGGTGGCGTACGTCAAGAGCGACGCCATACTTATCGCCATAGTGGACTGCAGCCGGCCCTGCGAAGAGTCGGAGTACTACGAGCTCCAGAATGCCTGGGAGCACTACGTGCAGCTCCTGGCGACGCTGCCGCAGCGAGTCGCCAACAGATTGGAGACGGATACACCGAAGGGCTTCTCCCACGAGAACTACTCGTACTACTTGATATTCCACGTGATCAGAGTGATGGACTTCATGTCCGACAGTAGCTTCCACCAGGGCGCGCAGTACAACGTCAAGTGCCTCGCGCACTTGCTGTCCAAGATCATCACCAACTACTACATGAGCGGGGACTCACCCGTCATTGCCATCTTCGTGGACATACTGGCGGGCTGGACCGAGACGCAGGGCCCCGACCGATACGTGAAGCGCAAGCTTATCCAGACCCTCCTGCGGCACCTGTCGCGCCAGGCCATAGAGTATCTCTGTGTAGTGCTGCTCAAGCGGTGCCCCATTGACTACAAGGCGGACCAGCAGATCATATACAACGTCATCGGAGACAATTTCGATACCAACAACGACTGGAGGGAGATCCTCAGCTACAAGATCCCGTTTTATGTGAGACCCAAGGACTATAGGGACACGACGATACAGGAGAACCTCTTGTACTACCTGTCGTACACGAAGCAGTCGGAGAGCAACGTGACCGACCTGGTCCTGCGCCTGAGCACCGCGTGGGCCGACGTCCGCCTGGCCAACACCTGCAACCTGGCCGACCACATCTACATCTCGCAGCTGCTCATCCTGGCCGTGCGCTACCGCGTCACCATGTCGCTCTGGACCAAGTCCGCCTGGAAGACCGCCGAGCTCAAGAACATCTTGCTGCGCGGCATGGGCAAGCACCTCGACGTGCTCTCGCCCGAATACCGCTGCGTCGGCATGGCCACCATCGAGACCCTGCTCAGGATCCTGTCGGAGCTCGACACCGAAAAAAAGGTCGAGCTGAAGTTCGAGTACGAGGACATGAGCGACAGCTGCCGAGAGATCCAGCAGAACCTGGCGGAGCTGGCGCACCGCTGCCTCATCGAGCACCGGCGCCGCGGGCCCGGCCTGCACGTGCCGCGCCCCCTGCAGCTCAAGCGGAACCTCGACTTCATCGCGCGCAAGTTCTCCCACGACGAGAACTGCAGGGAGCACAACACGCTCGTCAGCTGCGCCGTCAAGGGGCCCGAGCAGACCAAGGAGATTGTTAAAACCATTATATCCGTGAAGCTGGACGCGCTCGATGGCAAGCAAGAGAATCTCGACTCTGACGACGACCTCATGCCGTACGACATGAGCAACGACGTCCCCGCCGCCGCCAGGAAGCACCCCAAGTACCTGCGGGACCTCATCGAGCTCATCGTGGACGCGCTCGACGTAGAACTGTTCGAAGGGAGCTTACAGGTCGCCGAGCAACTCGTCAACAAACAGCTCAGAGACGAAGACGTCAAAGTAGTTATCGAACTGTTAGATTTGTTCGTGCACCTCGAGCCCAAGTACCAGATAGACGACTTCGACAATATAAAGTTTCGGACGTGCGTCGCCATCGTCTGCGAGCGGCCAGAGGTCGCGGCCGAGCATCTCTGCAGGGAGATACACACCGACGTCGGCCGGTACTCCGTCGCCACCAAGCTCTTCATGCTCGACGTACTCTCCGACGCTGTCAATAGGATAGCTGACGTGTACTCTCACAGAGACAAACCCGAGCCCGCACCGGAGGTTATATGCGAGCCGCGGGAGGACTTACCTCCAGAGGAGGTAATCAGACGGAGACTGATCAACAAGACGAGGTACTTCCACACGATACGGCCGCACCCCTTCGCGAAAGCTAAGAAAAATCGGTTCGCGGCAGTGTCTGACTACTTCTTCTTCCCATTGCTGGGCGGGTTCGGTCACCACCAGCTCACGCTGAACCACCACACCCTGAAGCAGGACGTGGACAACATCTTGCTGTTAAAGTTCCTGTCCGTGGTGGGGAACGTGGTGCTGGCGTCGAAGAACTGTCCGCGGGTGTCGGTGTACAGCTGGGAGGTCGTGAAGATCGTGCTGTACATGAGGTACAGCCCGGACCCCAAGATACAGACCAGTGTCATGTCCCTGCTGGCCGCTGTGGTCATAGCGGTGCCGTCCTCTATACTCAAAACGGAGTTCTTCGATGTCATGATGGAACTGAGGTCTTGGCTGGTAGACTGCCTTAGGAACGTGGATCTCACGATGAGACTGGGCGGGCCGCAGTCTGAGGCCGCCATCTTCGCGGGACAGGTGCTTGGCCTCATGGAGAAGACGTTGGCAGACAGTGCCGAGTGATATGCTAGTGTATAGTAGTGTAAGTGTAGTCGTCGTTCTGTATGTACGTGCTAGGTGGCCAGGCCACGCTCCGATTCCAATGTTACTATGTGTTAATTTTTGATGTTACTGCGGCGTATTGTAGCGACTCCTCAACTATGTGTCTGTATATACCCACCGTCAATAAAATTATTATTATTGAGAGTCGTAGTTTTATTCTGTACCTGTGTGCGCTAACATTCTGTCGGGAGGTTATTATAAACTGCACTGGTGACGAATGATGACGTCATGGTATTGCATAAAAACTTAGAGACTACATACATACGAACCATAAAATACACCAACCACAGTCAACACATTTATTTTATACAAACATGAAACATAATATGTATACCAATCGCAGGTTTACAACCGACACCGGTAGGCCTCCTGCAGCCGATGTCTGGCGCCCCGGCGCCCGCCGCGCCGGCCCCCGCCAGCAAGGGCGCCAGCAAACTGGGCGCCACTTGGGCCGACACCACAGGCGCCATCAACATAGATGTCGACAACCTGCTGGCGCCCCGTTCCCCCAAGGCGGGACCGGCGCCCTCCATCAATCAGCTCAAGTCCAGCCCCAACTCGCCGGCGCACGCCCCCCATCAGCCCCCAGTGATGACCCCCATGGGAGGCTACATGATGCAGAGCAACCTCGTCAACAACAACTTCGCGCCCCTCGGCCAGAACAACATGATGCGGCCTGCCTTCGCCAACCAGAACTCGTTCCTCCAATGATATTGGTTACTGGCAGGGACATGCCAGCATGGTTGACTTGCGCGACCTCATCTAATGGAGCAATGGTACACAACTACTGATTTATACACCCCCTTTATTTAACAAACGTATCTTCTGTTAAAAATGTTGACATTTCGTGAGTTTTCTTTTTAAATACTCATTGTAAGTTTAAATGTCCTGTTAATTTTGCATGTGTATAAGCTTGTTCATACGCTTGGTACCCCTAAAGTTCCTCTATTTTATTAGTAGTTTAATATCAAATATCTAACCTGACAATAAAGTAGTGCCAGCAGGCAGCGGTAGTAAAATATTAAATTTGCAATTCCGTAAACAATGTATTAACATGCCATTGCTCCAAAACTAAAGTACCTATCGTATCAAAGTGGGTTTCGGAAATTGAAAGCAAAAGTGAAATAAAAACAATTTTTATACGAATTTGATATTATAAAGGATTTGGCGAGGCCCACGCATGTACATGAGTACATATCAATGTATATCGCCTGATATTATGTGCGTCGTTAGCGACACACGTTACCTTGAAGATTTGCTGACTTCTTGATGTTCTAATCGTATGCTTAGAGGGGCGGTACTGGGGGCTTCCTGTAGTACTCAGCTACCTACAGTGCTACACCACGAACCCGACAGTGCCGCCGTCCTGTCCCATCTTTTACTTCTGTCTATATTCATTTTTCGTTTTATAACGTATTCAGTTTGCCATTACTACTTACGACTGGAACTATATTTCAGATAAATATGTAAATTGTAACTTTTGCTTTTAAAGTATTATGTTTATTTAAAATTATATTGTTTATAGTTATAATCACCAAGCTATCATGGGCCGGATGTAATCTAAAATGCTCACTCTACATTCCTTCCATTTTATTTCTATTTCTTATTTAAGTTAATAAAATTAGAAAATTCTTTTAATTATTCTATTTATTTATGTTGGACATCCCTATAATAATATTTGAAGTAATACAGCAGCGACTGCCGCGTTCTAAGGAATTATATGTACGAAGGCTCAGTTTTATATTAGCTAAGTATTCGCTCACTGATTACAAGTAGATAGACAAACTTATACATAGTTATTTGGGAGACTATTTCTTGAGGCGAGGCACCTCTATAACGGGCGAGAGTCAAATGAATTTATATCTTAATACTGCCAAGGGGTTGCCTTGACTCAAGCGACAGTTATGTACACCAATACTTGAGAAATTATGAAGAATATAATTATCACTGATCAACATAACGCAGTATATGCTGAACAATATCGAGTAACGTTCCCCCGTAGCCCCCGAGGAATATATCGGCGCAGTGAACGCGAGGTCGAGTAGTGTAGGACCCGTCACCCGACGATAGAATATTTTTTATACCCGCTTGGAGTAGCGTGTGTAGTGTCAAACCTTAGTGTTACAGTGTTTCGATGTAAGTGTTACAATAATTAATTATATATTGTATTATAGTCATTATGTACGTACGATGTCTCGTGTGTGTGCTCGCGGTGTGGGCGACAGAACAAACTGCGGATTGTACCTACAGTACTTCAAAGGTATCTTGGAGAACTTTAAAAACACATGAATTACTAGCTCATATAATATATCATCTTGTAGGGCTACTTGCATGCTCCGAAAATATACATTACCTTTAGAAAGTGATGTACAGTAGTTTCCCTGTATAAGAAATAAAAACCAGATCCCCACATTGCGAGCAACAGTAAAATGGTACGTAAATGAGGAAGTTGAGATGCGGAATGAATTTGTATACTGGTAGGAGTTTACAAGTGTATGTAATTATATTGTTAATTATCATTTGTACTTAAATTCTATTATTGGTATGTAATATCATTTTAATAACTTTATTTCCACAGCACTGACTTTTGTATCAATGCATTTAAGTTCATTCCGTTTTATAAAAACGTTGTGTTGGGGCAGCTACATATTGTAATGTTTGAAATACTCGGCTCTAATACATGTAAATATTGCAGCAATCTGCGCAAACTGCCATTACAGGCACATCACGAGTTATTAGCACGCGAGTGTTTCAAACAATCGTTTATCTAATTATAATTTATTGTAGTCTATATGTTAATGCGCCTGCGGTAATAAATCATGTTTGGGACCAAAACAACTAAATTTATGTTCACCGGATAGAGCGGGACGCAGTATAACAGAACACTATTTGATTGTCTCATGTTTCATTTATTGAAAGACCTATCAAAATATCCGAAACCAATGAATAATTGGTCAGTTATTACAAAGTATTAAAGTTTGAGCTTAAAACATGAGATTAATATCAAAGAGATATTTATTTGTAAATTTCGAGTGCTGCAGTAATTTTGGTGCGAAGTTTCATTTAAAATTATGTTGTTCGGTGTTTCTGTACGGCCGTTGTATTATAGTTTCATCCTTGCGGCTGGTTGGCTCGTCACAAATTTAAGGAAAAAGTATTTTATTACTTAACGGAATCATTTGCGAATTTTGCAAAGTGTTTGTGACCAAGTAATTTGTGTTGATGTCAATATGTCACTCGCGATGTTTTGTAAATATAAATATTCCCTAATTTCGTAGTTCTTCCATTGGTTACATCATACTTGTGGAGATTTATGAAGCAATAATTATGGTTTAAATAATTTGTTCGTAGTTAATCGATAAAAACGAATTTTATTAGTTTAAAATATATATTAATTTAGAATGTTTATTTTAAAATGTATAATTATGTGTTGAGTGTCATTATTCGCACAATTATTATGGTTAATTAAATATTTTATTTTTGTGTAATACTACGTTTATTATTGAGATATTGGATTTTATTTAAATAGTACCCCACCTGGGAGTGTCATCGAGTGTAACAGAACAGCCCTCACTATAAATATGTTTTATTCTACTTTATGTAAGTAATTGTTATTTCGGCGAGCGGCGGATGTTTCGACATGGTATACAATCAAGGAAGAATTGTCTATGTTGATGAATTGTATTGAATAAAACTTAATTATTAATTGCTTCGTTTCATTTGTAACAATAGTTATGTCAAAAATATCAATTATACATTTGGAACCAGTAGCCAAATCAGAAACCCTATCATATAGAATCGGTTTGTTATCTTTACGAATTTATAAAGCACTTTGCTCCATTTTTTATTAAATGCACTACACAATTCTGGGCCAACCACTGGCCTAATGGCATGGCACTATTATAAACTCTAATGTTAGAACAAGATATAACAATAACTGTACTGCAATGGATTCCTTCTCATGTTGGACTAGAGTGTAATGAGATTGTGAATTGCATAGCAAATGAAGCCAGGTTTGACGAGGACTTCCGCGGCATACCGAATTTTTACCCTTTGTGAAAGCACCTTCGACTGTAGGTCTCTAATGAAGAGAATTTGGCACAAAACTGCAGCCCTCTCTTCCTCGTACCTACCCTTTGGTACGACTTGAGTACTATGAGTGGATTACAACTTGCTACGGCTTTTATCTGGCCACATCTAGCTCAATAGTTTCGAGTTTATCTATTAGGTACCTAAGCGAAAAGTGGATCACCCGATTGTCCGCTTTCTATAGAAGTAGAAGACATAACTACATCATAAAAATAAAGAAGAAAAGGGGTGAATTGATAGAAGAAAATTCGCCAACGTCTATTCACCCAGTTTTACGGTGCTGGCAGAATGTAGTAGGTATTGGGATTCAAAAACGTCGGGCGTTTAGTGTTAACATCCAAGGCTATATTATTATTATTATAGTTTTATAATTTATAGGTGGCGGGGTAGGTTACTGACAATAATTCCTATCCCTATTTTTTTATTTATTTAGACAGTATTATATTTAATGTTCGGAGTGTTTGTTCTTTATAGAAATATAAGAATTGTTAAGTAGGTAGTTATCGTGACGACAACGTAAATTTTGATCAATGGGAAATGGATGCCTTAGATAAAACATAAAAACAAATATACCTAATCCGTTTTCATTGTGTTCAAAGTTACCAAGTAGGTACTTTAATACTTACCTATATCTGACATGTAAAATCGAAAAAGACACAAGGAAATTAACCCCAAACTAACTTGTGTTCTTGTGAAGAAGAGACTTGTCACCTACGCCTACAATATTTATGACGCTTTGAAGGATCCTATCCATGTGGTGGTTTGTGCGTCTGTATAATTGACCCTAATTGCCCATTGTAGATGTATCTACTTGATTCTGACTGTCAGTACATAGGTACTAGACAAGCAATTTTTTTACACGACGGCATTAATAATTTGATCATATCATACAATAAGTTGTACATGTATTTTTGTTATAACTGAATCCAATTTAGGGGAGAGTCATAACAAAATGGCAGCGGCCATCCGGCCGGCTTTTTTGTACATTCGACAAGGTAGCTCGTATTTGTACCAACCATGGTGGATTTGGTTATTATAGCATTTATTGCGGAAGAAGGCGAAAACAAAAAAAAAGAGAAAAAGGGACATCTATGTCTATGGATGGATATCGCCCGCGTTCTCGCGTCACCGCTGGCATTTCTTTGTTCTTATATTAGCAGTAGAATGAGAAAAAAAACAAGGTAATAATTAAAGCCATTAAAATTTATTCGTGGAAAATTGAGCGCATTTAAACTAAGCCTAAACAAAAATATACTTAAAATTAACCCATATCGCTACAATTAATACAATTACTGAAATAATTAATACATTTCATTGAAGCTACACTTCTGAACTCACTCGGAAAATAAATATTTACGTTCATTGACATTAAAAAAATATTCGATATTATTCAGTCTTATTAATAATTATAAAATTAAAATAATGGAATTTAAATAGAAACATGGAATGACTTTTAAATCATTGCCGAATTACAATCATTACAAAATACGAATAATACAACATACATTATTATTATAAATAAATATAAAACTGAAGCACTGCACCGTTCATTTATTATTACAGATTGAGACATTTTAACGCAGGTACAAACATATAACGACATTAGCCACGGTGCAGCTAAATTTAATTAAAAACAGATCAAAATTGAGGCATTCGTATATAATTAACTTGAATATAAATTACAGCTAACAATAATATAATAGATAAAATAACACTACACTGGATGGAATTGTACGACGCAGTAAAATACGCACAAACACGAACATTGAATGGCAGTGAAATTATTCGAGAGAACATTAAACTAAGCGCTCAGAATTTGTGAGTAAAAAATGTACACTGACTTATTTACTTACTGTAACTACTAGTAATTGTAACTTATGTATGTTTTATAAACAGACACTACGGAATATCTCTTTAGTAATGTGTCCATATAGATCGGTACTCCTTTCCTCTCTAATATTTTAGGGATCATCCATACCGTACGTCGACAGTTGTATTATTGTTTTTATTTAATGATTTTTCGATTGTGAAATTGCAAAACATGTGACGTCCTACTAGGAGGGTCTCTGAAATGTGACCACCTTTGACAAGGACGGGAGGGGGTGGGATGCTATAAAAATGATGTAATTCGTATGACGTTCTTTATGGATGGCCCCTTACCGCTTATCATCAGACGAACGCGCTACATAACTACTAGAATACATGTGTACATAAGTAAATAAGTCAAATGTTATTTAAATTGTATATTCTATCTACTTCGCGGTGTGGTGAGCGTTACGCTGCGTACCAAGCTACCTCCATTACAACCTTATAGCACAAACCTTTCCATATCATACGCGATTATTATTTTGTAGCAATTCTACACAATTTCAACAGACATATACATTACAAATCGCACCTATATAATACCTGATTTTTATATAATTTATTGATTTATTACATTGTATACAAAATACAATTAATTTTAACTATGATTTCGCGTATAACCTTGTTAAAATTCTGTAGAAATTGCCGCATTACCCACGACGGGGGGTTCGATATAATAATTCTAAAATTAACGATTAGTATACACTATGTAGTAGCTGGAAATCAATAATTTTAGCTCTATTAGTCTTTATTATTGTCAGTGCGACACACTTCCTCTAGCTTACATCATTGACACAAGTTGAATTGTTACAAAGGACAGAGACATTGAATTAAATAATAATTTGATAGGACTGGACGATCTTTAAACATAAATTAATAATAATAATAAATAAATAGACAAATCACACAACATTCTTATATTAAAAACATGCATTGGTTTTTCCCACTACATTAAGTAATACTGATAATGGAAAATAAATAATAATAATACGAGATCTCAAAAAAAGTATATAATACAAGTAAATAGCACATTATTGGAACTTTTCAACTTGTATCAAAGATTATAACGATTCCTTTTCCTTCATAGACAAGTTAGTTTCTAGCATAATCTACGTGTGTAGGTAAAACAGTGCAGGTTCGAGTTCGCGATGAACAAACAGCTTTGTAAACCAAGTGTTAAGGCACTTTGACTGGTAATATAACTATCATCCACTTTGATCAGAGGTCTCATTTATTTAAAGTTATATAAACTTTGATGCGGTTCGAAGAATGTGAGATTTTGCTTAAAACATTAATCAAAATCCATTTACGACAAGACCCTAGATTGTATTTCTTTTATTTTTCCAAAATTCTTATTGAAAATATCGATCACGTGACAGTGACGTGTATTAAACACACATACCGCCATCTACATCAAAACCACAAAAACAATCGGTCGATCGAACATCAAATTACGGAACAGAATTAAAATCACTTAAAATTAAAACTAAATTAAATCACATATTAAATGAAAAGTTACCGACTTCACTGAGATACGTTAAGTTAAAATTAATAGTAAATCATTATTACATTTAAGATCTTTTTTGTGTTATTTTGTGCTCATATTACGAGACTACCGATAGATGGCACCACTGACACTTTGAGACAATCAACATTCGATTTTTAATTGATACAACAACATTCACTAATTTCACTCGAACGCGACGAAAACTAAAACTGATTACACAAGAATATCTCACGAATCCAATTAACAGTCACAATAATTTAATTTCACATTTGATTGAATAATAACAGAATCGATTGTAATAATACATTTATGGACAACACACCAATTAATTTGTTTCTAAACTACTGTAATATCCACGAAACACAACTAAACATCGCGACATTTCTCATATACTTACGAAATAATGTAATCAAAGTGCCAGCAACGCCCTCTAGCGGCGCTCAGTGTCGCGTGGAGTTGCTTAGTGCGTACATGACGCTAGTTTCGAAAGAGGCCGCCACTGTGTAGTTCTTGGACAGGAGGAACTGTGTCGTCTTGTTGCGGATTGTGTCATCTGTGAATTCCACTTCTATCATCTGTGGATATAAAAATAATAATATGAAAATGTTCAAAGTATGGTAAACCTAACCTAACAGAAAAACGGTGCTACCAGAGGCCCAAAACGTGCCCCTTCTAATCTTTACACTACTAAAATCCTTTATCTCCAAAAGGCGGGCTAAGTTCTTGAACATTTTCTGGTATTGCGAATGTCCATGAGCGTATTCACCTATGAAAAAGCGAAATATCAGAAGGGGCACAGGCGTGTTATCGCTTGATTTGAAAATTGTATTGGTTCAGAAGAAGCGCTGCAGATATAGGTGTCATTATAATGTTAATTTTAATAGTTTAGTGAAAGACGTCGTTTACAACACAATTATTTTTAAAAGGTAAGATGGAGGTATTCAATACGTTGGAAATTGTTTTTATGTATAATCCACGGATTAAAGAAAGATTAGTAAAAAAAAACCTAATTGTAATCCATTTAGGAGAAGGAGGATATGGGGAAGGAGGTTAAAGGGTTGCTCCAATTTTTTTATGAGATAGGTTGGCAAACAAGCCGATGGATACGTGATTGTAAACTATCGGCGTCACCTGGATTCTTTTGGATATTTAAGTATAGGGGGGGCAATGGGGGGAAGAGAACGATTGGGTAACCTCACAACGCTATGGTTGTTTCACGGCGGTTTTCAATGAGGTCGTGCTGAAGCTTGGCTCCCATACAATACCTGTAGATGCAGCCTGGGGTCCTCGAAGGGCAGATGCGTGAGTGCGGGCAGCGCGTGCGTGCCGGCCAGCTGCAGCAGGTGGGCGCGCGGCGCGGCCCCCGCCAGCAGCACCGTCAGCAGCGGCAGGCACAGCACGCGCGACCTGAACACTGACTCCGCGCCACCTGACTCCGAGTACGTCACCTGCACCATGCATCATCATTTACCAAATACCTCAACCACGTAGGCGCTTCCTCGACTCATAACACCTACAGAAATACTGGGAGGAACACACACAAAAATAATAGAAATAATAACATTTACATATCAGTATTTTACAAAGAAAAACTACGTGAAATTACAAAATATTTATAGTACATTATCATGACAATATTTGTAGTTCGTTGAAAGTACAGACGTACCACAAATACTGTTACAATAAAAAACATCTTCATAAAACTTCATAATCAGTTTATAGGACACAATTGTAATGCACATGTAGGTAGGTATAATCTGTTAGAACTCATTACATCGTTGAGACGCGACAACTGACGAGACACACGATGTCGCGTCTCTTCATTTCAATAAATTACATGCTTTTCATTTCAATAGACCAAAATACATGAGTATGGAACATTATGTCTTTTAAAACAACTTTTTGATGAAAACTGTTATATTTGCGTTTATATTCTAGTTTCCAGTCAATCTATACCAATATTATAAAAAGGAAAAATGTGTACGTTTATAAATGTGTATGTAGAAGGTTTTTTTTTTTTTTTGTGAGGGGAAAATCATCAAATGACTGCTCCCGCCCAGGGCCGGGCAGGAGGGAGTGTCAGACTCTTACTGACTAAAAACCCCCCTGTTCCTTCTCCTGCTCTGTGCCGAGGTCGCGGTACCTCATTGCGCTTACCCCGCAACCCCAGCTGAACATCAGCCCTTTAGGGCCCCGTCTGTGGTGGTCGAATGGCTCTTTGAGGCGCGCGCGGAACGCTACGCGCCGTACGCTCGGGCCTGGTTCTGGTCGGGCGGCGAGCTGCCCTTACTCGCCGACCGCAGGCCCGTGCTTACGGTGGCCGGAGATCGTCCCTCGATCCCCGACGCCCGTAGTGTCGCCAGTTGCGGCTGCTGGGGCGTGAGGAGGAGGATTGCTCCCTCACGCGGGCCGCCTCTCTCTTTGCGAGCATGACTGCTTCACAAAAGGAGGAGACGGCGTCCCAGTTCCTCTCACTCCGCACCATGGCCTCGACTAAGGCCGGGCGCGAGAGGTCGCCGCCGCCGATCACTTCCCTGAGGATACGGCGGTGCTCAGCCCAGGCAGGGCATACCGCTACCGTATGCTCCACCGTATCCTCTAGGTGGTCCTCACAATGACGACACTCCTCCTTCTCCTTCCTTCCTCCCGCTGAATCCGAAACAGGAACCTACCGAAGCTGCCGTGCCCGGTAAGCACCTGCGTCAGACGGAAGGTGAGGACGCCGTGGCGTCTCTCAAGCCACTCCTCAAAGAGGGGTCTTACCGCTGCTATGGTAGCGTGCCCGGTGTATGTAGAAGGTAATCTTTGAAACCGCTGCACTGATAGATAGCTACTATGATCCTGAATAAGTACTATAGACTATAAAACAATAAAATGGAGCAGAACAGCAGGTGAAACCGCGCGAGAGTAGCTAGTCAATATATAAATCACTACTTACATAACAAAGTCGCTTTCTCTGTCCCTAGCTATGTATGCTTAAATTTTTAAAGATACAGTGATTGAAGAGAAACCTTAGTTGTTTTATACTATGTAGCGATTATTATGTATAGTAAATTCATATAGGTATTGGACTGACCTCCCTAGGATGCGCAGTGGGGCTGAGACAGGCATGCAGGGCTCGCGCGGCGCCGCGCAGCGCGAGGTAGTCCCGCGCGGCGGCGCGCACCACCAGCCCGTCCCAGCCGCGCGCGCGCTCTAGGTACTCCGACGTCTGGGACCGGGGCCCGCGGGGGATGAACTCCACGAATGTACCGTTGTACTGCAACCCAACACACATTGCTATAAACACAACTTTATTTAGGTCAATGTTACAAATTGTCTCGTTCAGAATTAACTTTTCTAATTTACAGTTGTAATCCTACAGAACGAATCTCCAAAGTTATATAAATACGTATTTTAGATGTCACAGGCAACACGTCAGAAATGTAACAAAAACATTAATTACAAATATGGACATGCTCAGAATATATTATACAAGACAGCACGGTTGACGCGGTTGTTGAGCAACCGTGAAAGGTGTCGCGGGTTTGACGCGGAACAACTCTTTCTGTATATCACAAATTCTTGTTCCGGATCTGGGTGCGAGGTGTAGTAAGTGAAATTGTATGCTTATAAACGTAAACACGACATAGGCGGAAAATCCTAGTGTCCTCAAAAACTAAAAAACGGAAAAATACATTAACTAGGCCCCACTCAGAGTTTCATTCCAACATTTAAATTAATTGATTAGTTAAATAGTCATAAACCATTCGAGTCGCATGGTATGTACACATACCGGCACAATATTAATTATCTGAATGCTAAATCAGTACAATACTTTATTTAGCTGTTGCCACGCTCAAATTAAAAGGTCAAGGAGCGAGCTGTAGCGATGTTGCGATGGCGTGAGAACACCAAATCGATATAACACTAAAACATTGCCACATACTACCTAAACTTGGTAAATTCAACTATACTTGTGTGCAATAATTAGTTAAATACTACTCCAGGTATCTTTTAGTTTACTTAGGGCCGATTTTTCAGTGGTTGGATAAAAGTTATCTGGGGAATAATTATGATGCTGTCGCGTCAGAATGTTTGTATAAGACAGTGACAGCAACAATTTTATTCCTCAAATAACATTTATCTAACTATTGAAAAATGAGCCCTTAATTGGTAGTATTGGTATGAATGCAACAGCAAAAGGGGTTTTTGTGAGAGAACAAAATCATCCTAAATCTTTTCCCGCCCTAAGCCTTTTCGAAATGGAGTATGACTCTTACTGACTCTTTTTTTATTTTGATATGGGAAAACATTTGTCCGCTATCACGCCTGGTGGTAAACGATAATGGGACCTACGATGGAAAATGTCTACCCATAAAAAATCTATTCACTCAGGCCTTGAAGACATCCAGATCTTCGGGGCACACAGACTGCGGCAAAGAATTCCAGTCCTTAGCGCATCCTTATCTTGATCTTTCTTTGCCCGTAACGATTAAATTTCAGATCAGATACACTTTTTAATAGATTATTAAATTTGTATCCTAGTTATTAACAAACTCTAGACTGGTGTCTCAGACAAAGTCTGGTTTTTTGAAACTACTCACTCTTACATTAGCTTACTTAAGCTTTCTCCTGTTTTATAGGTGTATTTGCAAATATACAACTTCACATACATATCACACTTAGACTCGGAACAATAACTTGTGGATAACATGCTTGTCCTTTAGAAGAAAAATGTGTTTGTTATCAGTGTAGATAAAACAATGGACGGTCCAAAAATGTACCGTCTATATTATCGCTCCAACACGTTAAGATGACACATCTATCAGAATAGGTATGACACACATTCATTTAGCTGTTATTTACAAACCTATTACAATGGACTTGAGTAAGCCGTGAAGCTTATAAATAAACTTGACTTCTGTACTCATAGTTCGTAGAAATATTTTATACCATATAAGATTAAAGTAGCATAATATATTTGATATTAAAAACTGGCTTCCGCCCTTGGTTTAACTCGAGTGGTATGTTGATAAACAGCGTATGTGTTAATTCAGGGTGTCACATATCTTCTACATATAGAATTTCAATCGGTTAAACTGATTTTGCGTGAAAAAATAACATACAAACTTTAACGTCTTACTAATATTACAAATGCGAAAGTTACGATGCTTGGATGTATGTTACTCAATCACGACAAAACGACTAGACGGATCTGGATGAAATTTGGCACAGGTATAGGATACTATTCGGAATAGGACATAGGCTACTTTTAATCAACATACCACGCGGGCGAAGCCGGGGGCAGAAGCTAGTTTATAATATTAGGATTATTGAAAACATGATGCAAGAGCAGCGTAGGACGTCTTCCCACAAGATGTATTTGTGACCCAATTAGGGTTGCAGGGACCACTACAGTCGGGTAGCTTCCTACTAGTCTAAACACACTGGGGATGCCTACGTTCAGTAGTGGACATCTTATAACTTCTTGATAATGTCTTACATTTCGATGGGCATTCCCACCGAGAAGTTTGGGGGAGTATACAGGAATCACATAGACGAAGTGTACAGGTTTCTAGAGAAGATCCACAAGCACAATTCTAGATTTTGTTACAATAATAACGAACCCGACAGTCGCGTCTAACCATTCAACCAAAAAGGTAATAAAAATCAGAAGTTAGGTAATCTAATACTAAATATTTCATGCTAGCTTCTTGCATCTTATATGGTTGTCTGACTCATATTCATATCTAAAGGATCGATTCGCAGATAATATCTACAGTATTAAGTTCACCTACGCACTATCAAGTCTGTGCATAAAGCTTACCAATAAACATTAATAACAAACAAGAATTTATTATTCAAATAGGGTATAAAACACCACATTTTCATGTAAACATTGTATATAATAAGAAACTCAACGAAGCCGGAATTTCCTATCTGAAGCCGGCTATAAATGAGGATATATATATATAGTTAGGAAAGGTACTCACAATTTCACCAAAGAGTCTGTCCATGACCTCGACCTGCGGCGTAGGTTCGGGCGGCGGGCGCGAGGGCGGCGTGGTGTGTCGCGGCGCCAGGTGCAGCTGCTGCACGAAGGCCACCAGAGCCGCAGAGCCCTGCGCTATGTTCGCCAGCTCGTAGTCTCGCGACATGTTCGCGCGGAACTTCTGGGCGCCCAGTGCTGTAGGAAATATTTCAGGTAGATAAGTGTCAGGGTCCTAGTCTGTTCATGGGGCTCCTTTATTTTTTTGTGGTGGAAAAGCGAGCCGCTCTACATTAGTACCCTTAACCCCGGCTGAACATCAGCCCTATAGGGGTCCATCTGCGCGGAGTGCTCTACACGCCATACTGTTGGGCTTGGTTCGGGCGGCATACATATTTATATTTTTACATTTTGCGGACCTTCATACTTAAGTATCTGTAGTTTCTTTTCCATGACCACAACTGCCATGACCTGTCTCATTCTCTGTGCAAACCTAAGGTAGACTATGATAAGGCATTAAACCCACTTATGTACTATTTGTATGAAGGAAGTATAAAACAGTGAAGTATCTGACAGTCCTATCTCCAGTTTGCCATTAAAAAATTGTAGATTGTAGATTAAAAGGATCATGTTTATCAGAGAGTTCTTTATCTCATACGTGAGATAGGATAGAGGCTGTTATGACGCTTTTGGAAAGAATAGCTAGGGGCTAGTTACAAATGCATTCTAGTCATGGCTAGTACATGTTCTTTACTAGCATACATGTGCCACAATGTTGGTATATATATAATAAATTACTACATTATTGCATATATTTTAAGATAATTTCATTGAACACTATGTTTCAAGCACACTCTTATTATTGGTTAGCAGCAAAGAGTTGTTTTATAGAGTTGTATTTATGCCTAAACTAAACAATGCCTATAAAAAACAAAATCTTATACTTTTCAGAAATACTTTTTAGCTTCTCTATTATATTACATATCACTGTAACATCAGGTAATATAATATGTTTAACAAACTTCAATAAAAGTATTTAATAAGGTAAATCATTACTTTCTTACATGACACAACATGACGACATGTTCTCATAATAAATGCTGTTCTTCAACATTCCCTTAACACATTAGATGACGGACAAAGTAGTATTTAAAGCAAATTTGCAGCCACTTACCAACTGTATCCATGTAGATGAGTAGCATAGTCATAACTGTCACAAAAGTCAAGACAAATAGCATTGCAGGCAGCAGTCTCCTGTACAAGTCATTCGGAGAGGTCTTGGAAAACATGGGAGTGGTCAGCCGAGGTGTTGCCTCTGGTGCAGTGACCACCGGTACTGGTACTGTAGTAGCAGGCTTGTCTGAGACAGGTTTGGGAACCATGTCTTTGGGTTTGTCCACCGTCTCTGATGGCTGATCCTCTGGCAGTGGGTTTTCTTGAATTTTCTACAATATACAGCTTTTATTAAGATTTGAAACATGTTGTTTTGTTGTCAATAAAACTATGTAGGGCTTTAACACTTACAAAATGGTTTCTGATCTACTAATGTCTTTTCTTGTTCCATATTTCTACTATACTTACTTACCTTTAGTAGCCAATGTAACTTTCTCTGTCTAACTATGCAAAATTTCACCATAATTTCGAAAAATTTTACCATACACGCGCAATTTACCGCATTAAATGTTTTTTATTAGTTACATTAAAATATTAATAAACTTGGAATTTCGCGTTACATGCCAAACTGAAGACCTATTCACAGACAAGACAGGTGTATTTTTTTTTTGTCTGACTAATACAAACAGCTGCAAAGAGGTTTCATATCATACTGAAAAAACATCAGGTGTCGCGGAGCAAATGCCTCTTCTAAAGTTAACAACGTGTACACGTATTGTTAGTAGTAATTATGATACTTATATTCAATATACAGTCTTTATAAGAAGCTAAAACTTGAGCTATGAGAATAAAATGCAGACAAATTACCTTTTCGGCCATCGTAACCTTTTGTTTTGTTCCTTACGTAAAATAAACACGCACAACAAGCACTTTATTTATGCTTATGAACTCTTCTTATCTTATAGAAAAAACATAATAATATAAACACAATTGTATTATTTTAAACTTAATTATTATATTACGGGAATAATACTGAATTATTTGAAAATAAAATAAAAATATACGTCAAAGAAGCGTGAGTCACTGACCGCATTAGTTGCGACAGCATTAAAATTAAAATTTCTACCAAAAGAGCCAAAAATAATCTACCATTTCTATCATAAAATATTATCATTATCTTTTCTTTAGAACTAAAAGATTTTCTGTTCCAAAACATAAAAATTAATATATAAAATAATATAACGCTTAATTTTTTCGAGAGGGTTGCATCCTAATACTATTATCTATTATTTTTAAGAATCTAAGAAGACTGGGTGTGTCTTTGATGATAGCTGCGGAGTAAGCTTGATGATGTGATGCACAATGAAACTAATGTCTTTTTTTATTTGCAATGGGCCTCTATCTCTGCTCTTGGTAAGGGATGATACGACTTACACTGCAGCATGCCTTCCTATAAGCGACCTATTTCGTCGGACCTTGAAGGTACCCAGGAATATAAATAATATAGTGGGATAATTCACAATCAGAACAGACATCTGCTTTCACGCAATGTTACTTGCTACTAGGCCTATTTCGACAAATAAGCTATTAAAAACAAAAAAAAAACGAATCGAAAAACCACACTCACAACCTCCTGGTCCATAAATTGGTTAAAAGTTCAAACAGCTTTTAAAATGATGATGATCTAACTGAAAGGAGAATGCTAAGAAATATTTAATTTAGTTGTCTCGTTTATAGGAAATGTTATAAAAAGGAAACGTATAGGTACATAAAACACATCTGTACTTTAGGAAAAGGTCTTTATTGTCAAAGTTTATTATAAATTACACAATATTAACGGCAATGTTGACTCATGAAATGTTAAGTATGTACACATAGCGATAGCGTTTGTAAAAAGCTTTAAAATTCTATGTTAGTTTATTTCAGTTTCAAAATGTGCAATATTTGTAACAAATACACAATTAACTGGTTAATTTAATTATTTTTTAAATATTTTGTTTATTAGGACACTTCATCTTTAATTAACAAAAAAGTTTTGAGAGATTGTATCGTGTACTCATTAATGTGCCATTATTTTGATATGTCAGGGGCTTTACAAAACTCAAATTCATACCAACTTCTGGTAATATTGGTTTTAAATCATTATTTTGTTAATTACAAGGCTATGCTACTAATTTATTTGACTATTTTATTTAAAATGTATGTTTTTTGTTTAGTGTAATTTTCTTTATGTGGTTGGTCGTATAAATTACTCAATAAAAGCCCCTAATATTTTTAAGCAGTAATTTGGTAATTTCATTATAGCAGGCATTTTTATTTTAAGTTCAACTATACCTATGATATTTTTCAAGTTGATACGGATTTAGATATGCTCATTTATTTGAGTATTTCAATTCATAAAAAACAATAAATATTTTTTGTTTAATAATATACGATTTGTAAATGTGTAAATTAAAAACTCTATTACTATCATCAAAAGATTAATATTAATAATATACACACAATGTAGCAGGCTTTATCATTAATTGCACTGTATAAATTTGTATAAGATTATCTATAATATTATTACATTATTTAACTATTAATAAAATTCTTAAGTTTAACAAAAATTTGTGCATCAACATCTACAACTACGAAGTGTAAAATGATTTTTAATTACTTACTATGTTTTCTCCTAACACAATACAATTTGATAGTTGGTACATAGTATTTAAATAATGTAAAATTACAAGAACATAAAACATTGTAGTTCATATAAAATATTAAATATAACAAGATACCTTTAAGGCTCAACACTATAAAACACTAAAAGCTGTATAACTAATTCCAACAAACAAAATTTGCCGTGTTACCTACCAATAGTATAATAATTTTCACTGTAGCAACATTAGTTAGTAGTTTTTTTCTTCACGATCTATGAAAAATACAGTCTGCAAAAAACTGTTTTTTATTATAGTATTTATTTCAACTATCTATAATTTAATATCTAAGGGCATGAATTAGGAATTATTACATTGATTCGATTATACAAACAACCCTGAAGGTGATAAGTAGGTATATAGTTTTCTTAGTTGAGTAAGTGATTCTTTACTGTGTGAGTAGATATTTTATAAAATGTAAAATGAGTCTACTTTGCTTGATCAAATTGTCGAGTTGGCCACCATACTTAGTATGGTACTGCCTATAATTTATAATTTTCAAAATATTATGTATGATGCATATTTAGAAACATAGATACTTGAAATCTACATATATTCCATGAGCTCTACACACAAAAATAATATTGAATAGAATGTAGGTACGCTAACGTAATGCTGGTTCTATGAGTATAAAATATAATTGTTAATAGTTAGGCAAAAGCCTTATTTCCTGTCATTTAAATTATAATATAAGTACATGTATATTATGTATAATACAATCTAATTGTTTAAGTTTACATACACAATCTTTCACAGTCAGATATGATCTACAAGAGACGAATTATAAAAATGAATTCACCGTAAAGAATATTGTTTTTCATAAAACTGCAGGAGTGGATTACTATTTTGCAATAATCTGCTCTTTGAAATTTATCTATATACTTAATTGCATTGCCAAATATCTGTATATTGAATCATTAAAATCCAGTTGAAATCAATTATCCACATACTTATATTAATGTAGATCATATCTGTTTGCGAACTTATTTTAATACGACAAAATAATTATTGTCTTTCGTTATTTATTGAGAAACATTACTCTACTTACACTTTACATTATGTAAACAGCCCAAAAAGTTATTAACTATTTATTGTCAATTAACAAAGTCCATTCAGGAAGCAAGTGAATGTGATAATTGTACGTAAGTACTAGAGTTATCTTCGAAGAAATTTATTGTCCGACATTACAATATTTTTAGTCTCTAGGAAAAAAGATTACTCTAAATAACTTTTTATTATATAAAATGGCTTACTATAATATTTGTTATTGTCAAGCACACGACGAATACTTACAAAATAAACGAATAATTGTTACGTTTTATTGTCATTATTTCCATAGACATTTGGTGTAAAGATCTTAGTGAGAATTAACTTCAGTAAGTTAGTGGGTATTTTCAAATTGTCTCATTACACCGGAGTAAAATTCCGTGAATATGTTTTTTTAACATTTAGGTAAGTATAATAAGATAAAACAGTAATTTCTAATTTCTCAAATCAGTGGTTCTTCTATCAAATATCGAATATACATATAATAGGTACTTACTTTTAACATTATAGGAGACAAGGATCTCGTTATATTTAAACAATGCGTTATTTATCCTGATATTGAGAACCATTTATTATTTATACAACCTGAGACCATAATTGTTACAAAATTGTAATTGCTCGGGAAAGGACCTCATAGTATTATTTCATCAATTTGATGACTTTGACATTCATATTCATAATCTCAATATTGAATATTGTCAATTATTTTTAGTTTGTTGCAATAACAGTAGTCAATATGTTTTAACGCTTTTAAACTTTGTTACATTTTGCCAAATATTTTTTGTTTTCATGACAATTTAATGCGTTGTGTCATAGTTTGTAAATAGATGTTTTACTTAAGTGGGTTTCATGCCCGTGGGTATTTTTGATACAGACCTGATACTTAAATCGGACTTAAAGAGTTCAAAGTCAAAGGGGTTCTTAAATACAAGAGGGCTAATAGATAATCGTCAAAATCCTAAATTGTAAAAATGCACTTTCGCGCTCCACATCTGATATGAAATTGATATTATGTACGTAGATTGACATTATTTACCCATTTCTTTATAAATACCTGTACAAACTGGCGAATTCCATACTCTTTACATTCTAAATTCGTCCAACAATATCACAATCTTAACTTGGATATATCGACGCGAATATAATCTGTTACACTTATTGTCTTCTTCATTGAGTCACAAAATAACAGACAAAGTTGGACGACGAATACTACATTTTTGAATGTGTATTGCTAATATTGTAAAGATACTAGAGAGATATAAAAACATACTTCAATATTTTAGGCCATTTTAAAATGTTTCTACGTAATTTCATATAAATATCATTTTATTATTCTAAGTAAAATTAACCAACAATATAATAAGTAGAATAATTCTAATAAATACACATTGTCTATAATTTGTTGAACAATAATAGTTATTCAAATAGTGTAAAAATTATTTCTATAATAGGTATTATAAATATTAATATTTTTTTGCTTACTCTACATTATTGTCACATTTGACAGTTGAGTGCACAGACTCAATATTATTGTCTACGTCATCTTACCGTTACAGAATACAGATTCAAAATTATTGTCTTCGTTTCCGTCGGAGATTATGAAGAACCATATTCCATGTCCTATTCTACAATATTCACAACAGTGTTTTATATTGATGATCGGTATAAAAAAACAGTAAAAAGATTAAAAAGTGATGTAAATGATGTTATTCTCGCGTCGATTTATCTTCGTCGGCGTGTTTCTCCCATTACCTGAGCCAGTTGGCGAGATGTGTGGCGGCGGCGAGGGCGAGCGGCGCCAGCGCGGCGGCGGCGGCGGACAGCGCGCCGCCATTGACGCGCGCGTGCTTCTCTCCGGCCACCGGCACCGCCGTGCCAGGGTCCACCACGTGGATCTTCCAACCCAGGTTGTTGTGCGTGTAGCACTGGAATAAGACGCATTCATTCACGTTCCTACTATGTTAGCGCTTTTTTCACCACACGGTGGAAATTCTTTATTGAATCATTTCGTCAGAGAATGATTTAGAGACTGACTATACCCAACAACAAATATTATTCCATGGCAGATTTTAAATGACCCTTAACCCAAAAAAGATCGTATTTCTCATTAGTCGATTACCAACACACTAAGTTTTCAAATGAAAATTTTACCTGATAGTAGACGAGGTCAGGTGTCTCGTGCGCTACGGTCCAGTTAAGCACGGCGGGCTCTCCATCATTGCACTCGAGCTGTACTGTCTTCATGTAATCCTCGAAGGTCTCCGAGGCGGCCGACTGGTCGATAGTCTTGTGGGTCCACTCGCAGTAACGACCCACTGCAAATATACATCGATCTTATGGTATTCAGAAAAGTATGGAAGTCTACCGGAGTGACCAGGAGGTTAAGGCGTTTGCTTCTCATACATGTGGGTTCGAAGAGGTTCTACATTATTTTGGGTTATTTGTTTAGATTACACTTATATGGGAATGGCGAATAAAAACTTCGTGAGGACGAAAATCTTGGACTTTTAGTGGGAGTGCCAAGCTTCGGCACAAATGGCCTCACAGAAAACCAGCGCGAAACAACCACAGCGTTGTGTTTCGCCGTAAAAGTGAGGTTACTGGAGGCCCAATACTTCCCTTCCCCCCATCCCTAAATTTCCCTAATCCCCAAAATGCCTTTGCTTAGCAGTTAGCACTTATAGCCTGACGATTTTGGAAGCAAACATAAACATTCCTGCCTCTTTCTATCACTCACCAGCAGTGGGATATGGGTATCCCTCGTTATCGTACGCGACTCCAGCGAACACGCGTTGTTTTCTCTGGTCCTCCTCTTTCTTCTGTCCGAAGCCTCCCTCTGAGGAGTCACTGATGTAGAACGGGTGGAACCTAGCGATGCATGAAAAGGAATAAATTAGTCTTTCGCTAAACCAGTAGTTTGTTGCTAAGTTACCTTAAAACTAATTACGAGGGTTCTAGGGTACTAGGAAGAACCTTTATCCACCATCGTACCACTAAAGAATCGGTAAAACATTACCGCTTAAAAGTGGATATTATTGTGACGGAAAAGTGGTTCAAACTCTTTGACATCATGACGTCAATGGATGGTTGTCAAACGTTGCCTAGAGATTGTAAATTTCGTCGTGAATTGTCAACACGAGTTGGTGTAATCGGTAAGACGTGTGGATTACACCACAGAGACCCCGAGTTCGAGTCCCGCCGTAAACATGAAGTTTTTTAGTTGATGGAAGTTTTGTCGAACTTTCTGGAATTATTTGTGTGAAAAATTAAAGAGCGAGAAGGAGAATAAATAAAAATGAATAACGAAATTATTGGAAGGTTCTGGAGGCATGACGATCAAAAAGAATAACGAAATTGAATGTTCCAGAACCTGACGGGGGGTATATAAGCGGAACTGCGGCTCACCGCTGGCAGTTGAGTTCTAAGTCTAAAGCAATTCGGAAGAAAAGGAAGAAGTGAGAAAGAAGAAAAGTGAGTGAAATAGTGAAGTGCAGTTAAATAGTGAAGTGCAGTCAGTTAAGTGAGTTAAGTCAGCGTGAACGGCAAAGTAATGTCAGTCGGCCGGACTCTGCTGGAGAGGAACGCCGATAACTTAACTCCGTGGACGCTGTAACTTAAGTGCAATAGAAAGTCTGAAAACCGGTATTAGTGTTTCATTTCATCCAATCCCGTAACCCAAGCCCGCATAGTCAGGAACGTGACGTCAGGCACGTAACATTTGGTGTCAGAAGTGGGATTGGAGAAAAATGCCGCTAGTGCCGCAGGACGTAAGAGGAGTGAGTACCCGTGCAATGTCAGAAGCGCAGCGTGTGAGGGAAGAGGGTGCTGCAGCTCAAACCAGCGATGCAGAAGCCAAGCCTGTGCAGGTGGATCTTCTGCTACAGCTGCAGCAAATGATGGCAGAGCAAGCGCGCCGCCAAGAAGAGCAAGCGCGCCGCCAAGAAGAACAAGTGCGCCGCCAAGAAGAGCAAGCGCGCCGCCAAGAAGAGCAAGCGCGCCGCCAAGAAGAGCAAGCACGCTGTCAGGCGGAACAGCTACGGGAGCTGAAAGAAGATCAAGCTCGTCGCCAAGAGGATCAAGCTCGCCGCCAAGAGGAGCAAGCGCGTCGCTTGGAAGAGATGCATAAGGATTTCACGAAGGGACTGCAAAAGGCTGTCGAACGGGTACAAGAAGTGGAGGAAGGGTTTGGCAAGTTGAAACTTCGCGTCATGGCGATAGAGGAGAGACTGGAAGAAGAGATCTCCAAAATCAAGCAGGAAGTGACAAACCCAAGCCCTTTGAAGAGCCGAAGCCGTCTTGCAGCCGTTTTTGACGCCCCAAATGCGGCCTTAAGCGCAACGAAAGGGCTCAAGATTCCCCATTACGACGGAACAACATCCTGGACTGCGTTCAAGCTACAGTTTGAGACACTTATGGAGGCTTATGGTTGGACTCAGAAGGAAGCACAGTCAGCCCTTACCCTGGCCCTCCGTGATCAAGCGCTCTCAGTGCTGGAAGCTATCGGCGCAAGTGGGGATCTCAGCTTTAGTGCCCTCCTCGACGCACTTGAAGCACGTTTTGGAGACAGCCACCTCGAGCACGTGTACAGAGCGCAATTAAAAGAGCGTACTCAGCGTGCTAATGAGAGCCTACAGCAATGGTCCGTGGAAATCGAGAAACTTGTACGTCGAGCTTTCCGGTCGACTCCGTCAATGATTGAAGGCACGCTTCTCCAAGCGTTCATTGACGGTATTCGGGACCCAGAAGTACGAGCTGCTGTTCATCTGGGCCATCACAAGATCATGAAAGAAGCTCTGGCCCATGCATTGGAAGTGGAAGCCGTGCGTGGCAACTCCCGTACCTTACATCTGCGGGAAATGACGACAACGGAGCAGGTACCTCCACGCCGTCGGAACTTCATGTGCTATGGATGTGGAGAGCGTGGGCACATACGGAGCGACTGCCCGAAGAAGATGAACCGCAAGGACGCGGCGGTCTCAACTTCTGACCAGCAGGGAAACTTAAATCTAGCCAGGGCTGCGGGGTGGGCGCCGGCTGGTAGTGGAACAACCCCAACAATCTACATCAAGCAAACCAACGATGGAAATACTCTGGTGATAGACGGTCAAGTAAATGGGAAAAACAGTCAGCTAACATTAGATACTGGAGCTTCAAGGACGGTGATAAATGTTCGGCTGCTCGAGCACAACATCAGGAAACACCTTAAACCAATTGTTGGCCTACAAATGAAATCAGCTACCGGCCAGTGCATACCGATAAGTGGAAAACTGCATGTAACAATCAAAATTGGGGAACGTGTTTATCGACATGAGGTTATTGTGGCCAAAATTCTGGATGACTGCATCCTGGGACTTGACTTCCTGCAAGGGCACCAGTGTAACATCGACTTAAAATCTGGAGTATTACTATGTGGAACTGAGGAAATTCCGATGAAGGGTGGAACCCTGGGAAAAGTTTGCTGTTTAAGAAGAACTGTTCTTGCACCAAAATCACAGACTCTCGTACCAATTGCATTACCTAGGAGGAGGGAAGGAAGTTTACCTCGAAGGTGCGCTGTGATTGATAAATCGGAACACGTAGTCATGGCTACCGGCAAGAACTGTCGTGGGGTCATCTGATGTTAACCGCATTCCGGTATTCAACTTCAGTGATTCAGAAATTACGATTGAAGAAGGAGAGCCTGTGGGCGTATTGGAAGAAGTGGCCTGGATAAGAAAATGCTCGGAAAATCTTGTGAAGAAGGACAGTACGGGAATAGACTTTGTAACGAAAATCTTAGACGAAAACAAAAGTCTGACAAAAGTGGAGACTATGAAAGCTAGAAATTTACTTCTTCGATTCTCTGATGTGTTTTCAAAAAGCGATGGTGATATTGGCCGAACTGGTTTGGTGAAGCATAAAATAAACACAGGTGATACAATGCCAATTCGTCAAAGGCCCAGACGTATACCATTCGCTCGTGAGAAAGAGGTTGAAGAAATGATTGACGATATGAGGAAAAATGACGTGATAGAGCCCTCTTCTAGCCCTTGGTGTTCACCTGTCGTGCTTGTCAAGAAGAAAGATGGTTCAACGAGGTTTTGCGTAGACTATCGACGATTGAATGATGTAACCAAGAAGGATAGCTACCCGTTACCAAGAATCGATGACACACTTGACACACTGAGTGGCATGAAATGGTTTTCAACGATCGATCTGAAAAGTGGCTATTGGCAGGTGGATTTGGATCCCAAGGACAAGGAAAAGACCGCATTCTCAACTGGGAAGGGACTCTGGCAATTTAAGGTGATGCCATTTGGATTATGCAATGCACCGGCAACCTTTGAGCGTTTGATGGAACAGGTGCTGGCGGGACTGCTGGGCGAAACCTGCCTAGTTTACCTCGATGACATCATCATTGTTGGACGGGATTTTGACGATCATCTAAGAAAATTGGAAAAGGTACTCGACAAGCTGCGTGGAGCAAATTTAAAGTTGAGTCCAAAGAAATGCTCTTTCTTCAAGCGCGAAGTGAATTATCTAGGACATGTTATTTCTGAGAGAGGAATTGAGACTGATCCAGCCAAGACTGTCGCTGTTAAGGAATGGCCAACACCTAAAGACAAAACGCAAGTTCGGGCATTTCTTGGATTGTGCTCGTATTATCGGCGGTTTGTGAAAGGATTCTCGGACATTGCCAAGCCTTTGCATCGATTGACAGAGGAGAAACGTGCCTTTATCTGGGACGAGGATTGTGAGCAAGCCTTTCGAGAACTAAAAGAACGGCTTTGTAACACACCAATTCTCGGATACCCCAGCGCGAAAGGAATATTCGTAGTTGATACGGATGCCAGCAATATTGGAATAGGAGGTGTCCTTTCACAACGCGATGGTGAGCAGGAGAAGGTTATTGCTTACTTCAGCAAGTCACTATCCAAGCCCGAGAGGAATTATTGCGTGACCAGGAGGGAATTGCTGGCCGTAGTCAAAACTCTGCACCATTTCAAGAAGTATTTACTGGGACGGAAATTTTTGATTAGAACTGATCACGCTGCTTTGAAATGGCTGCTTCAGTTTAAGGATCCTGAAGGCCAAGTAGCCAGATGGTTGGAACAACTTCAGGAATTTGACTTTGAAATCGAACATCGCGGAGGAAGAATTCATGGCAACGCAGATGCATTATCGAGACGCCCATGCGTGGAAGATTGCAAGCATTGTTCCAAGAAGGAAACTGCTTTTCTTAAGGTGATAAGGACTGATACTGTTGACGAGGCATGGGAAGATGATGCGATGAAATTAGAACAGGAAAGGGATGCAGATATTAAACCAATACTGGAGTGGCTACGAAGTGGTAACAAGCCAAGTTGGAGTGACGTCGCCCAATATAGCGCGGTAACGAAAGGTTTATGGGCACAGTGGAAAAGCCTTACGCTGCATAACGGACTTCTGTGCAGGAAATGGGAATCAACAAACGGCAAGGACGAGCATTTGCAATTGGTGGTGCCTCGTTCAAAAATAAGGGATGTATTAAAAGCGTTCCATGATGGATCTTCTGGAGGACATTTGGGAATTAGGAGGACTTTGGTGAAGATCAAGGAGAGGTTTTATTGGTTGCATTGCAAATATGACGTCGAAGATTGGTGCCGGAAATGCACTAGTTGTGCAGCTGTCAAGGGTCCACAAACAAGGAGCAGGGGGGCGATGAAAATCTACAATGTTGGTATGCCTTGGGAGAGGATAGCCTTAGACATCGCTGGACCATTTCCAATAACTGATTCGGGCAATCGCTACGTTTTAGTGGTTATGGATTATTTTACAAAATGGCCGGAGGTCTTTGCCATACCGAATCAAGAGGCAGTAACTGTAGCCACGAAGTTGGTAAACGAGGTATTCACCCGATTCGGAGTGCCCTTGGAAATGCACAGTGATCAAGGACGGAACTTTGAATCCCAAGTTTTTCAGGAAACTTGTAAACTTTTGGGAATCCATAAGACTCGAACGACCCCTTATCATCCACAGTCAGATGGGATGGTCGAACGTTTCAACCAAACATTGGAGCGACACTTAGCAAAGGTGGTTGACAGCCATCAGAGAGATTGGGACACTTACATACCTCTCTTCTTGCTTGCTTATCGGACTGCTGTACATGAAAGTACCGCAACGACGCCTGCATTTGCAAATTTTGGAAGGGAATTGAGATTACCGGCAGATCTTGTATCGGGCTGTCCACCTGGCGACTCTCGCACCGAGTTTAGCGACTACATAAGCGAGTTAAGGGCAAAAATGTTGGACATTTATGAGCAGATCAGGGAGGCCGGTCTTCAAGCTAGTGATCGCGCAAAGACGCGCTATGATCGACGAGCCAATGCTGTTGGGTTTGAAGAGGGGTCATTGGTCTGGCTTCATAATCCAGTCAGAAGGAAGGGAAAATCTCCGAAGCTGCAACCGAGTTGGGAAGGTCCTTATGAGATAGTCACGAAGATCAATGACATTACTTACAGAATCCGGAAGACTTCAAGGAGCCCTTTGAAAGTTGTCCATATAGACAGGTTGGCGAGGTATTACGGCAGTAACGACGCTCGGGACGAGCGAATCTAAGAGGGGGGCAGTGTGACGGAAAAGTGGTTCAAACTCTTTGACATCATGACGTCAATGGATGGTTGTCAAACGTTGCCTAGAGATTGTAAATTTCGTCGTGAATTGTCAACACGAGTTGGTGTAATCGGTAAGACGTGTGGATTACACCACAGAGACCCCGAGTTCGAGTCCCGCCGTAAACATGAAGTTTTTTAGTTGATGGAAGTTTTGTCGAACTTTCTGGAATTATTTGTGTGAAAAATTAAAGAGCGAGAAGGAGAATAAATAAAAATGAATAACGAAATTATTGGAAGGTTCTGGAGGCATGACGATAAAAAAGAATAACGAAATTGAATGTTCCAGAACCTGACGGGGGGTATATAAGCGGAACTGCGGCTCACCGCTGGCAGTTGAGTTCTAAGTCTAAAGCGATTCGGAAGAAAAGGAAGAAGTGAGAAAGAAGAAAAGTGAGTGAAATAGTGAAGTGCAGTTAAATAGTGAAGTGCAGTCAGTTAAGTGAGTTAAGTCAGCGTGAACGGCAAAGTAATGTCAGTCGGCCGGACTCTGCTGGAGAGGAACGCCGATAACTTAACTCCGTGGACGCTGTAACTTAAGTGCAATAGAAAGTCTGAAAACCGGTATTAGTGTTTCATTTCATCCAATCCCGTAACCCAAGCCCGCATAGTCAGGAACGTGACGTCAGGCACGTAACATTATTATGGCACCCTAAGCACGAACCGATTCGCCTACAGTTTTTGTTATCAGAACTGCTAAGAAGTGGATTCCTTTGCTTTTGTCGGTCTTCCCCGAAGGGTCTTTTCCCCTGCGTGTCTTCAAGGCCCGAAAGAACAGGTTACTTATAGATAGTGGTGCTCCATCGCAGGTCAGACGAGCGCTTACCACTAGGCATGATAGTTTCCTTCTGGCTTTCTTCCCCTAATGGTGTAACCTGGGTGTATTTAATTAGGTTGCTAATGGATAGGCGTGATCCTTTGTAGGTCCCATTATCGCTTAACGCCAGGCGAGATAGTGGTCAAACACCAAAAGAACTCCGAAATCGAAATAATATTGTAATCTTACTTCATATTATGAATAAAAATGGAGTGTTTAAAGGTTTATAAGGAATAAACTCGATGATTTATGGTACCTAGTAACTTTACTCAAGCGAGTCACTTTTCTTAGTCTCATTTAATTTGCGTAGTGTTTTGGTCACTTTGATATTCGCATTATCTGGACCAGTTTGGAACTTCAGGTTACATATTTTATTAGCGTTTACCTCAGCGTTTACATATATCATGTATAGTTTTAGCAAAACTATATCTCTGACACAAGATTAATACAGAAGACAGCTCATCAACCTATTCCCAATCTGTTAAAAGCCACTACATTCTAGATTTTCGACCTTATCATAGAAGTCTTAAGGTTGTGCAAGCAGTGACTTACTTGGCAGGGTTGGTGCGGTCGTCCCCTCCTTCGACGAAGAAGGTGTAGGTCTTGCCTCGCTCCACGTATATCTCGGGGATCAGCTGGTCGTTGATGTACCAGGCTATGCCCCATGATGGGTGACCTAAGCACAGAGTGATTATGTGATCATTAAGATTGAGGAACATTGGAGAGAGGAGGTTTAGTCAAGTTTTCGTTAAGAGTGTGATAAAAGTCAAAAGTCTAAATTTATTTCAATTAGACCCTTACAGGCACTTTTGGACGTCAAACAAAAAGATATAAAGTGTCAGTCTGTCGGTCAGTCCTCTAAGTGAAGCTATTTGCTCGTTCCTAGGGAAAACTAGGGTAGATTCCGATGGAGAAGAACGAGCAAGATTAAAAACTAATGTCGCAACTTCGTAACTTACCATATGGAAGGAATCCATTACTTATATCATTGTCTGCATGAAACATAATAAGGGTGTGAAGATAAAAACGTGAACGGGAAAAATAAGCATAGGAAAGCAGCATAAGTCTTTGAAAAAATCCTGTGACGGTATCCGGAAAGAATAACTCCGGGTTCTACGAAAATGTTAATATCTACATTTCTATACGCATATGCCAAAGGTTCAGTGTAACAAATCACTCTGTCAACTCTTCAAGTTCATCTATACCTACTTATCTATACTAATATTATAAAGAGGTAAAATTTGTAACTTTTTAACTTTGTAAGTTTGTATGTTTGTAAGTTTGTAAGTAGGGGGTAATCTTTGAAACCGCTGGTCGGATTGCCAAAATTCTTTCACTGATAGATAGCTACAATGTTCCTTACTTGCTATAGGCTAAAATAAAACATCACGCTACGATGAAATGGAGCCGAGCAGCGGGTAAAACCGCGCGAGAGTAGCTATACTATTATGAAGGTAAAGAGTTTGTTTGTTTTAACGCGTTAAACTCCAGAACTACTGGTTCGAATTTAATAATTCTTTTTGTGTTTGATAGTACATATATCAAGGGAAGGTTTTAGGCTAGAAAATATCACGCTACGATTTGAAGAAGCCGAGCATCGAGTGAAACTAGTAGTGCAATAAAAGGGGGTAGTTGAGTTCGTTGTTTCAGTCTGAACCACACCGTATTTGCTCTTAAGCTTTTGGGGTAAATGTAATTGCGGGATAGCAACCAGTCAACCCAAATGTACCTGTGAGTGCCGAGTACCCTCGTGCGCCTGCGGCAGGCCCAATGCGTGCTGTGAAGTTGGTAACGCCGGAGATGACGCGTGCAGGCCAAGGTGCTGGACCTGAGGAGTCTGTCTCTGCCAGGCCAATGCATGTGTTCTCGTTCTGGGAAAAGTACATCATATTAATTAAGTTAGATCCATAAGGTAAGGTAATAGTTAATTAAGGGCTGATTTTTCAAAAGTCACATAAATGTTACCTTAGGGATAAAATTGTTGCTGTCACTGTCTTTTACAAACATTCTGACGCGACAGCATCATAATTCCGCAGATAACTTTTATCTAACCACTGACAAATCAGCCCTAAGACAGATAGTCTGTTTTCCTCGTTATAAGTAGCTGATATAGAAGTTTTAGCTACGATTGACATTTTCCAAAATGGATTCAACACTCTTAAAAGACGCGTTCTCCACTACATATAAAAGTAAATTTACAAATCAACATCAAAATGTCAAACTTCCGAAAGATTTAGACTTTAGACTAATATTGAGAGTAATTGGCAGTACACGACGACGTCTCTCTATATTTCAAATACCTTTTGAGGGTGGAAAGTCATCAAAAAACTTTCCACCCTCAAAAGGTGAGAGAGAGAGAGTGTTAGAGTCTTACTGACTAAAAACCTTCCTGTTCCTTCTCCTGCTCCAAGCAGAAGCCACAGTACATTGTTGCATTTGCATCACAACCCTTACGAATCAATCTTGTAAGATCTTTCCCAAAAATTTCTTCATCAAAAATGTCTCTTAAGTCCCTTACCTGAGCTCCAAAGTCCAGTTGCACATCATTCCTGGTGGTGTCCATGAAGGAGTGGGCGTTAGCTTCGTATCTTGAGTTGAGAGGTCCGAAGGCCGCGATCACAGACTGCGACCTTGAAGTGAGGATCTCCTTGTCCCTCACTGACTCCTTGGCGGCGAGAGGACGGCGGTACGTAATCGTTGTTATACCGTTCTTTTGGTTGCCTGATACTGTGGAAGAAGTTAAGGTTGGTTCAGTAAAATGTTTGGTTTTTAGTCATACAATTCTTTTCATTAGTTACTTATGAGATTCTGAGAAGTTACTGTCAATTTTGGTGCTTACATGAATATTAGGAATGCACTGATGTAGTATTTTAGATGCAGATGGAGTCCAATTTACTGACCACCTACTTTGAGCTTACCGACTTAGTTTTATTTGTCAATTTCCATATGTGCCTTTTGAGTAGGTATGACTTAAAGAAATAATTGAACTTTTTATTTTTTAATGCGATACAGCGGCAAAAGAGTCGGTGGAGGACCTGATGTTAAGCTATCTGCGTCGCTCATGAACACTCGTGAAATCAAAACAGTTACGAGTGCGTTGCCGGCCTTTTCGGAATTAGGGTTTTCCATATTTAAGGATAGGGTAGGAATGGGGCATGAGAAGTATTGGATTGGTAACCTCACTACCTCACTCACACAGCGACGCAATGCTATGATGCTTCTATAGTAGTTTCATCCCGGTATTCTGTGAGGCACCGGTATTACTCCAGTCGAGCCGACCCATTCGTGCCGAAGCTTGGCTCCCCACACTTATGTTTGTTGATTTAAATTAATAAAGATTTCTTACCAAGTTGCACATCGTTGGTCCCGCCGATCCTCTGGTCGGGACATACTCCGCGCTCTCCGTCGCACTGCGCCAGGTGGCTAATGGAGTAGTCTGCCACGCGAGGCTGGTTCACCCTGGAGATAGAGGAATAACTGAATTGTAATTCCTATCATTCATCATCATCAGCCTATAAGTGCCCAATGCTTATAAGTCAAGGTTTCCTCACGATGTTTTCCTTCACTGTACCGCACCGTACGTCAGTGTTGTCTTAATCATCTTAAAAAGTATCTACATATAACAGTCAAATTCGTACTTGTCAGATTTCAAACCTACTACATCCACATTTTATATAACAATACAAAATAAATATTGTATTTATATGTAAGTTTGTAGCTTCATCTACTTTCTACCCTGTTCTCTCATACCTCTAAAAGTTCACGTTTTTTAGTCACTTTAGACCTTTACTAACATAAGAATAATATACAAACCTGGTATCCCAATAAGCAACGACGACGTCGGCTCCCAGCATGGCAGGTCTACCTTCAGCTCCTGAGATACCGAACGCCATGTACTGTTCCTTGCGGAGCCGGGCGGACAGGGTTATCTGGACTTGGTCACCCTGAAAATGGAAATATGTGTTAGAGAAAGAATAACTTAATGATTCTGTACTTTGGAGGATATTTGGACTTGTAGCTTATGTATTGGACGTTTTAGCTCTTTTTAAAGTATTTTTTTCAATATTGGCTCCTTTCAGATTAGTTAATTTTGACATTAAATTTGTTTGGAGTAGAATGACCGAAGGCGACACTAGCGCCACCAGCAAAAAATTGAGGTAATTTTTATTATGACATGGGAACAATCTGCTAGCAAGACTTAATTGCCCTCAGATATAAGGAAGATAAATCTGATAAATACGTAGGTATGTATATCAATGATGCGTTACCTTCAACGATCTCTGGATACCCGCTTGAATGGAAACATTAAGGGACTTATTATTAAGGCTAAGATTTTACATAAAGTTCAACTTAATCAATATTAGTAAGCATGATAGCCTTAACTATTATTTTATAGGTAACTTACCTTAACTGGAATAAAAGGTTATATAAATATATATGATATAAAATGATAGTCAGCATATCTTTTCATTTTATTTTGGGATCAAACCAAAAGATTTTTCGTTTACAAATTGCAATTTTGCCCACAATGATGACTTTTTTAGTAATAACACTTGAAATGACAATGTACAAAATAAAAGTATAAAAACGACAAATTATTCTAACTAACTACATAATAATCGCAAAAACAATACGCATATATTGTTAGACTTAAGACATAATTTGCAAATTTTCACGCAACATAGAGATCGAATCCAACAGAAGCCTGCTAATGACTCACAACAAAACATACCGTGCCGTGCTTCGGCACGAATGGCTCCTGAAGCGACTTCAGCGCTGTATTTCGCCGTGTCAGTGCGGTTATCGGAGGCCATACCCCATAATAGCTAAATCTCCAAGTACCCAAGAGGTTGGCATTGCACTCGTAACTCCTCTATTGTGGCAAATGTCCATGGGCGCCGCTGATTGCTTACCATCAGGTAATCCGCTTTTTCGTTTATCGAATATATACAAAAAGATATATTAATATTCACCTGTATCTCCCAGCGCACTTGTAGCCTCTTGTCGAGAATCTCCTTGCAGTTGTTGGTGGCACTGAATGGCGACTGAGATGTTGTTGAGCTAGTCTGTAACAGTGACTTGTGTAAGTTGCTGATAGGGTATCTGTAGTTTAAATTACTTAGTACTTTACCTGGTTAATTTTCCAAAAGATACGAGTTAGTACTTAAGTAATTAAAGTTGAGATAAATAGCTACTAGAAATAAGTGTCGTAAGACTTCATTATGCCTATGTGTTCCCACCGACTCACCATTGAACCTCTTCTTGTACGGAGAAGGATTGACTTTTAATAACCACGAAGAGTTGGAGTTCAGTGCTGAGCAAAAGCCTATTCTCACACGGTGAATATTCGAGTTTTAACTTCTACGGTCGGATTGGCGATTTCATACTTAAAAACTATAAGTCGTTCACCGTTGCAGTAGTTTGTAAATATGAATATGAATAGGGAAAAGGTCACAAGAAGCGAGTACGTTAACCTCTGGGTCACCGCGGAATTTTTGTCGTAACACTTAGAATGCGGCATTATGGAATCCGGTTCAGCTTGAAATTACTTGAGAATTTGTAATAAGTATTCCTAGTGACGTGGATCTGTCATTGATTTTTCTATTATCTATCTATTTTTCTAACAAATAATTATGTTTTTAAAGTAATAGATGTAAGACACCTTTGTGGAAGAGAAATAAATACATATTATTATTATTATTTTTTATTCATCATATAAACATATAAATTACATTTTTAAATATTTCTTATAAATAAATAATAAAAAACATTTAAAAATATAAAAAATAGTGTCCCACCGGTATCGGGAACTGGGTCCAAGCTACCGGCGGTCAGGGCTCCAGAGAAAGGAACCTCCTGACAATACGAGCCGTGTCCAGGAGTACCACTTTCTGAATCAAGCCCTTGATCCAGCCACCTAACGAGAGCCTCCTAAGATGTTGGTCGAGGCTCTTGGCTATTAAGCCATTGGCTGACACGACTATCGGTACAATGATAGCTGAATCCACTTCCCACATGTCGACAACCTCGCGAGCCAAGTCGATATACTTGATCAGTTTATCTTTCTCGGCTTTCACAAGGTTCTCGTCATGTGGGACGGCTATGTCAACAATCATTGCACGCCTCTCCTTCCGGTCCACCACCACAATATCAGGCTTATTGGCCACAATAGTCCTGTCAGTGATGATAGACCGGTCCCAATACAAGGTGATATGACCATTATCAAGGACTGGGTCGGGCTCATACCTGTAGTACGGCACTTCCGATTCCACAAGAGAGTATTTCAGAGCAAGCTGCTGATGTATGATCCTGGCTACAAGGTTGTGCCTATGCAAGTACTCGCCGTTAGCTAGACGAGAACAACCAGAGATTATGTGACGAATTGATTCTCCCGGACGGTGACATGCCCGACAGATGTCAACCGTGCCGTCCTTCACAATAAATCTCCGGTAGTTATTCGTCATGATAACTTCGTCCATAATTGCACAGACAAACCCTTCGGTTTCCCCAAAGAGGTCACCAAAACGCAGCCAGGCTACGGACGCCACCTGGTCTACATCCGGTCCATGTAGGGCTCGGAAAAAGCGTCCGTGAAGCTCCTTGCTCTGCCATACTTCCCTGCGAGCGTTAGTGTCAAGTACGACGGGTTTGCGCCAGTTCTCGATAGCCAGGGAGAGCAGGGTGAGACCTTTGTCCACTGCCACTACATCTCGATGCATATCCACGTCGGCAGCTAGGAAATATTCCCTGAGACTACATACCTCGCGGTTGTGTAGGGTCTTGGCATTTAAAAAGCCTCGACCGCCACACTTCCGCGGGATATACAGTCTCATCACCGACGACCGCGGATGATGCATTCGGTATGCAGTCAGCATTGTTCGGACTTGCCTATCCAGGGCGTCCAGTTCAGTTTGAGACCATTTGAGTACGCCGAAAGAGTACATCAATACCGGCATGACCCAACCGTTGAAGGCGCGCACTTTGTTTCCACCTGAAAGAAAGCTATTAAATACTTTCTTCAGGCGACCAAAGAAACGCTCCTTCAGCGATTGCTTCATGTCAGTGACATTGATGCCTAAAGCTTCCGACATACCCAAATACTTATAGGTTTCTGTTGGAGAGAGGGACCTTAGGTTTATGGAATCCGTGAGTTGAGTTCCCACAGATTCCACAACCTCCCCTCGTTTTACATGCATGATCGCACATTTGTCCACACCAAACTCCATCCTGATGGCACTACTGAAGGTTTCAGTTAGCTTGAGTAGCTCCATCAGTTGCAGTTTGTTGGGGGCAAAAAGCTTCAAGTCATCCATGTAAAGGAGGTGAGATATAACCTGACCACCTCTCTTCAACCGGTAGCCTAGGCCTGAATTCTCTAGGAGTGTGCTTAGGGGATTCAAGGCTAGGCAGAACCAAAGCGGACTCAAACTATCACCCTGGAATATACCACGCTCGATCCTTACAGGTTCGCTGTTCCTTTGGGTATGTCGACATCCCGGATAGCGAAGGACCGTACTCCATTGCCTCATACAGGACATCAGGAAGGTGCGTAGTATTGTATCAATTTTATACAATTCCAACACCCTCATGAGCCATGTATGAGGAATAGAGTCATAGGCCTTCTTATAGTCTATCCAACATGTCGACAGATCCTTACGGGCACGTCGAACCTGTTGGTTGATGGCCATATCAATGAGGAGTAGCTCCTTAGTACCGCGGGATCCGTTCTTACATCCATTCTGAGCAGTTGACATGATTTTATTTTTGTCAATATGACTATTAATTTTACTTCTCAGTATGGATGTAAGAACTTTATAGACCGTCGGCAGACACGTGATCGGTCTATAATTTTTGGGTTCCGCAGTACTACCTGATTTATGGAGCAGGTGGGTTACTCCTGTCGTTAGAAACTTGGGCAGCGATCCTGACTCTACGGCAGACTGGAATTGAGATGCTAAACGAGCGTGCGCCCTTGTGAACCACTTGATCCAGAAATTGTGCAGTCCATCCGGCCCTGGAGATTTCCAGTTAGGCAACGGACGGACTGCACGAGCAACATCTTGGGGACTGATGTTAATTGTCCCCATTTGTGGTATTGGATCGCACGCGCGTTCGACATCCCGAATCCAGTCACCCTCAGTGTGACTGACAGGCACCGACCAGATGCTGCGCCAGAATGAACACATGGCGTCATCATCCGGGAGGCGTCTATCAGTCACACCATGGTCCGGTCGCTCCCAAGTCCTATACACCCACCTTTCATTACTCCGGAATGTGCGATTCTGGGTATATCGTTCCACCCGTCGCCTGTACCTCCGAATACGGTTTGCCCATGCATATACTTTCTGCTTCAGAAAGTCGATGCGCTCTGTGACGCGGGACATATAGTCTCGGGGGCTGATATCTGTCCCCGAAAATGCCCGTCTCACAGAGCGCATCACTCTGGGGCGGGTGTTACCTTCCCTGAAGCAGATTAATTTGCCGATGAGTGCTCTGGCCCCAGCAATACGACACTCAATCCTGCGCTGCCAGGCCGGTACAGCTGGTTTCGGTCGTGTGGTTACGTCATTAGTAGGGAATTTGACGTGAGCCACACGACATGCCGCTACGGCCGCGCAGTACATTATCGAGTGTGTATCACCGAGGTCTTCGCAGTCATCTAAATAATTAGATAACTGCGAATCCAGTGCAGCCACCAGCGCTTTATTCTTGTTATGCATGGGCAAACGAGGCAAGCGTGGTTTATTATTATTATTTTGAGTAAACTTTCGTTTTTCTCGACACTATGAAAGTGTCGGTAATAGAAATGAAACCACGGGCTTAAGCCAAGTAAATTTCATTTAGGGGATTCGCTTCAGTAGACGCATCTTCCTGTAAGAATTTCCGAACTATTCTACACGTGTTTAGTATAGTCGCTTTCTGCATTGTAATGTATGTGTTCGTGGACAACTCTATTTGCTGTAAGTAATGGTGTAAGTGTTTAGGTATAATGCCGGTGCTGGAGAGCACCAGGGGTACAATATATACTCTGTCCATCTTCCAAATTCTAATTATTTCCTCTTTTAAATCTGTATATTTGTGTATTTTTTCGGTAATTGTTTTTTGTAAGTTATGTGTGTTGGGAACTGCTATGTCTATAATGTATGTGTGTTTTTTCTGTTTATCTATCATGGTTATATCTGGCCTATTATTGTGAATTGTCTTGTCTGTTAATATGGCTCTGTCATAATATATCTTATTATTTTGGTTCTCCAGCACCGGTTTAGGGATGTATTGATAGTACGGGACGATTTTGGGTGATATGAGGTTATATTTTACGGCTAACTTTTGATGAATGATATGAGCAACCTGATTGTGTCTATGGGTATAATCGGTTTGGGCTAAGTTTGGGCATCCACTGGTTATGTGTTGAATTGTTTCAGCTGCGCGGTGACATTTCCTGCATTTGTCATTCTGTACAGTGGGATCTTTAAGTATGTGCTTTTTGAAATTTTTGGTGTTGATGACCTGGTCTTGAATGGCTATCATAAAGCCTTCGGTCTCTGGGAAGAGTGAACCAAATTTTAGCCATTTATTAGAGGCTTCCATATCTATGTGTGGCTGTTCTAAATCATGAAGATGTCGACCGTGCAGTTCTTTAGAGCACCATCTATTAATTTTGTCTGTTGTATGACTTTCTACGGTTTTATAAGCAATGCTCCTGTTGGATAAGTTAAGTGGAGTTAGATTATTGTCGAGATCAACTATTGCTGCATGAATCCTGCTGGTAGAAAGCTTACTAAAGAAAAAAGTTCTTAGGTTTTGGATTTGTCCTTCCCATAATACATTTAAATCTATGAGCCCTCTTCCTCCTTTCTCCCTTTTCGTTGATATTCTCTCAATTGTTGACTTCGGGTGCAGATATTTATGTTTAGTTAATGTAGTCCTGATTTTAATTTCTAAATTACGTATATCTGTTTTCGACCATTTAATTACACCAAATGAAAATGTTAATACAGGAATTGCAAAAGTATTGATAGCTTTGAAAAGATTTTTAGAGTAAAGCTGTTTTTTACAAATAATATTTAGTCGTTTAATGAATTGTGTAGTTAACCCTTTTTTTATTTTAGTATGATCAATAATGTTAGATTGGTGAATACCTAGATATTTGTAAGAGTCTGAGGGTCCCATAGATTCAAATATATCATCGTCTGTGTTATCAATAGGGCTAACTATTTTACCTTTTTGAATGCTCAGTGATCGGCATTTGTCTAGACCGAATGACATATTAACGTCTCTACTGTATTGGGCAGTTAAGTTTATCAGGGACTGTAAGCATTTACCAGATTTCGCGAATAATTTAATATCGTCCATATACATAAGGTGAGTTATAGCAGTATCTGAATTTAATTTATATCCGTTTTCTGTATTATTCAGTAGATGAGACAATGGGTTTAAGGCTAGGCAAAACCATAGAGGGCTGAGGGAGTCTCCTTGAAAAATACCATTCTTGATATGAATGTCTTCTACGATAATAGTGTTTGAGCCATTAGTGAGGTGTAAGGACGTCCTCCAGTCAGCCATAGCATCTTTCAAAAAATTTATAATGGATGGGTTTATTTTGTATATTTGAAGTATTTTAAGTAACCAAGAGTGAGGGACGCTATCAAATGCTTTCCTGTAATCTATGTATGATATTGATATGTTTTTCTTTTGTGTGTGAGCATGCTTTAAGATAGTGGAGTCGATTACTAGTTGTTCTTTACATCCTCTATGATTTTGCCTGCATCCTTTTTGCTCTTCTGACAAGATATTGTTACGATGAAGATGGCTGTTAATTACACGTGTAATGAGTGAGGTAATCAGTTTGTAAATAGTGGGTAAACATGTAATGGGGCGATATTGAGAAGGATTAGACGTATCATTACTTTTAGGGAGCATATAAGTGATCCCTTTTGTAATGAATTTGGGTATTTGTTGTTCACCTCTAATGATTTCTGAGACATTTTTAGCTATGATATGGTGAAGCGTGAAAAACTTTTTATACCAGAAATTGTGAACGTGATCTATACCAGCTGCCTTCCAATTGCTCATTCGCTTTGTGACTAATGTAACATCTTCAGGTGTGATGTCCGCTAATTCCATTTCTTCTATGCCATTCATCCTATTTATTTCTTCTTCAATCCATTTCGCATTGTCATTGTGATCATTTCGTTGTTCCCATAAATTAGCCCAGTAGGTTTTTAGTACACTTTGTTCAGGCATACTGTTATCATTATGTAATCCGTTGTCTCTACATGATCTATAAAATTTCTTCTCATTAGTAGTAAACAGTTTATTATCTTCCTTTCTTTGAAGCGCTTTCAAATATCTTGCCAACCTTTGTGATTTTAGAGTTAATTTCTGCTTTAACGTGTCTAGATATTCTTCTGGTCTTACATTATGTGGTTCATGAATAGTATGGACTTTTGTTTTTTTAAATATTCTTTCTACCGTTGTTACTATTTTTCTAGATCTATTGTTATTTATATATTGTGTTAATCTTCCTATGTCTACTCTTAAGTTTTTAATATCTAATTCTAGTCTGGTCTGCCAAGAGGGTTTGATACTTTTCTGAGATTTAATGACAGGTTTATATGTTTTTATTATTATTATTATTATTTTCTTATCAGGTAAAATTCAATTCTAGTTATCTAAAGAAATATCTATTTATCTCAACGCAACAAAACACATTCAATAGTTAGTAGTTATTACTTATAATATAGGTACCTACTTATTATAATCAAACAGTAAGTTACAAAAAATTTAAATAATACTCAACACACGATAAAAGTAATTAAATGAGAAAATAAAAAAATATATATCTGGTTAAATCTAACTTAAATTCCCAAAACTGCCAAATAATCAAATTCAAAAGTTAATTCGAATTTTCAAAAATGACAGTTGTCAATGTATTTTGTGCAATACTACGTGTTATTATGAGGCCACATTTTTTACGTACTAAACTATTTCTTTAATTTTAGTTTTAATACAAGATAAATTAATTTTATCGTAAAATAAAATGTGGATTATTTTTAAATATTGAATGTTATGGCTAAGGAAAACACCAAATTGCATAAAAAATGTTAAGTAAATGTAATAAGTAAATAAATAAATAAATTACTTACAGGATTATACCACCAAGCGGGCTGTAAATAACAACATCCCGAAGATAACAATTCCATGGCAAGCAAAGAGGGTACAAAACATAATATAACTGTTTAGTAACATAACAATAGCTTTTATTAAATTAAGAACATAATAGTTGTTAATATAGTAAAGTAAATAACACAGTTATTATAATATTCAGTCTCTTTTTACGAAACAGGATCATGAGAAACATTTTTTTTTCAGTCTCATGTAAATTGATTATTTTTGTGGAGTTTCTTGCTCGTTCTTCTCCATTCGAACGATTAACTAGCTTCACTGAAGAACAGACTGACAGACTAAGTATTATTTTTTGATATTTCAAAAGTGCCTTTTAATTTTTGGCTTAGTTGAATTAGCTAAATGATTTTGTCTTCAGAATTTTTATAATTATGTCCGTATCTAAAAGCGTAAAAGCGACATCCCGTCTCAAACTAAGGTAGTAGGGTAGGGGTATGTACCTACTATAACTGAATACATGATTTTTTTTATTGTACGTTACTGTTGAGTCAAGAGTACCTTACTTAACTAAGTCATCAATGAGAAATCAGATGCTAACATACAGCCAATATTATATCTATATTTTTGACATTTGTTTTTAAGGTTCTGTACTCAAGGGAATCCGCTGGATTCATATGGAAATTAGCTGAAACCGAGCTGGATTATTTTGACGCTAATGGCTAGATAGTACAATAATGGACAGATAAAGAACAACAAAATCAAATGAAACAAAGGAACATCTAAGACCTAAATAATTACCTACAACAAACGTGTTTTTATTAGCCAACCGTATTAGTCTGCGAAAGTCAGACTCGTATTTGGTCAGTTTTTTTTCTTAAGCCTATCCAAATTCAAATCCAACGTTTTTAGGTACCTAAATGAAATAGGATATACAGTCCTATTTCATTTAGGTACCTAAAAACTTTGGATTTTGGAGAAATACATTGTGTCTATAATATGTATGATCCTGTTTCGTAAAACCTGGTTCAGAAACCAGGCAACCAGTCAAAAGAGAACCAGTTAGGCTTATCACTAGGTGTCCTAGACGTGCTAGGCGGATTAGTAAGTCTTTGAAATTTAGAAGGAGTACGTCCTTTAGGCTTCCGTCTACCCTGTAAAGATTAGGAATGAAAACAAAATTATAGTTAATAATGACAAATGTTATGTTTATTATCCAGGCAAGCTGTTAGTGAAATAAGAAAAAATGATTTTTATTAATAATTGATTGATTATGTTTGAAGCAGATTTAGATTAGATTTTTGTAAAAAAAAGTTTGTATTTCTTTTTCTCTGTCATACATCCACATATTTTCATCTTCACTATAGATTGCTATGTTATAAAAACATTGCCCCATTTTAGAATTTTCTCCTCTGTCGTGAGTGCGTTTACAAACATACAATTTCACATACACATCACACCTAGACCCAGAAGAACAATTTGTAGATTACACAAAGTGTCGTTCCGTGCAGGTATCGAACCCGCGATGCGTTGTACAGTAGCCAATTTGCGAGTCACTACGTCAACCTTGCAGTCAATTATTCTAGCAATAGTGTGTTGATAAAGATTAACAGTTTATTTTAATCAGCAAAATTTTACTAACAATGGGTCTAGCAGAAGCTAGCACTTTTCGCCCAAATAGCAGGGGCCTAGGCAATACCATAAGATGGACATAACATTTTAGAATAACGATATAGCCAAACAATTCTTTGCCTGTCGTGGGAATCGGACCCAAGACCTTTTGTCTATTAGAAGTAGTCCCAAACCACTCTACTAACACGACAGTCATACATGTTTCATCCACTAAAAACATCCATAAGTAACAGGCATCACGAGAGATCTCTTTTCTTTTTCAATCTCTGTCTCCACTCTAGAACTCACAGTAATTTTGGTCTGTCCCAAGGCCGGCGGCACGTCCAGATCCTTAGGTATGTAGACATGGCCGAAGTTGTGGCGGTACTCAACACACCACACTGCAAGCCAATCTATGTCGTACGCTGTTAGCTTGCCTGGAAGCTGGATCTCTATGTCCTCGCCCTGATAGCCGCGCAAAGGATGGAGGGATCCCATCTCGTTGGGAACCTGAAATTGATAATTACTTTTGGTAAGTCATGTAATAAATGTTAAAGTGTACTTTTTATTATAATAACGTTAATAAATAATGTGCAAGAGTTTCGCGACGCTCAACGATTCCGTTGTGGCGCAATTTGCTCTCGACTATGGGTCCCGTCGTAGCTTGAAACTAGTCGAGTCACATCGTTGAACAGTTATGTCATATATACCTATACATATATAGTATTAGTAATGTATTTTGGGCTTAAGCCATAGGTACGATGTGGTTAAGTTTAAACTACTCCTTCTTTATAAAAATAATAATTTTACTCTATGACTATGATGTGTTTCTTATTACGCGTGTCGTGTCGTGTCGTGTCGTGTCGTGTCGTGTCGTGCCGTGTGCTATCAAATGTATGAATTGGGGCGTTTTGATGCGACAATATACACATATATTTCCGACTCAAACCTGTACGATAGATCCGAATTCAATTTGTTTACACAGATAATAAAGTTTACTCAAACTATGGATATGTAATTAACGCAAGTAATTAAGTCTGATTAATTAAGTCGATATTTACTTTCAAAACTGAACGGATCTCTTTCAGAGTTTATTAACTTCATCTACTTTTGTCCATGAATATTTTGTTCTCCTGTTACTTAGTTAGATAATTATGTAAGAAGTTAATCTATATTAACTGATAATATGCTTAATAAAAAAAACAAACCTAGCCATTGAATAACTTCGTACCTTAGTTCCAAAAGGATTTGGTTCAGATCCATTGCCCACCCAGAAGTAGGCGTCAGGCCCTGCTCCATCATAATGCAGGTTTGGTATATAGAAGGTCTTGGCGTCCAGCACACTGATGTTGCCAGACCTTAATCCGTGAGCCAGACGTTTAAATTCTGGCAGGACACGAGGCCGGGGAGGGTCCAGACCCGGAGGGATGAATACGTCACCGAAGTTCACCTGAAGAGAGAAATAAAATTAAATTCAGAAATGCTTTACTTTATCTGTAAAATGTTATGATAATATAATTGTAGACATTCTTGCAAATTATTTTCTTTTGTCTTTTTTTGTGAAGGTTAAAATCATCGAATGACTCCTCCCACCCAAGGTCAGGCGGAGTGTCAGACTGTTACTGACTAAAAAAAACCCCACCTTCTCTTGCTCTAAGCCAAGGCTGCGGTGCCTATGGTGTAAGGTCTCGAAAACCATAATGACTGTATAATGTGGTTGGGCAACTAGCTGCCATGCAGCGTGTCGCGGGTTCGATTCCCGCACGGAACAACTCTTTGTGTGATCCACAAATTGTTGTTCCGAGTCTGGGTGTCATGTGTATGTGAAATTGTATGTTTGTAACCGCACCCACGACACAGGAGAAAATCCTAATGTAGGGCAACGTTTTGTTAAAAAAACAATACTATTTACGTTTGTAACGTAGCATGCGTAATGTAAAAATTGATAGGAATATCCATTCTTGATATGTTTGAGATACGTTTCAAACAATACAAGGGAGCGTGTAGTTTGTTGTACTATGAAACTGTTTATATCCTATGTCAAAAGTATAAGTTTCATAATAATAAGTGACATTTCAATAGTAAAAGAACTATTTTATCTTCCGTTACTTCAATTTTAAAAAGATCTCATAAATCGCAATCTTCTTCGACATTTCAAATATTAAATCTTACTCGTGTCAAATTAACATCAAATGAACGCATCCATTCACGGGCAACGCGACCAATGGCAGCGTTTCAAATGAATCTCATTCTGTACTTGAGCAATGGCGGCTAAATGTCACATTTTGGCGCGAAAGTTGTAAGCATGCGCGGCAACGGCAATCGATATTTTGTTTCGGTTGTTACTTGCGGGAGTTGCGGGTGAAGCTGCTTTTTGCGTATATTAGGTTTTGAGACATACTTTATTTACCTATCTATAAGTATGTACGTCAGTATACAAGTACTTACATGTAGTTACGAAAAAAAATATGAATAAAATATAAATGAATAATTTTTGTCAAGTATTATTTTTAATTTGATATCATTCCGAAACTATAATTATATTTACGTATTTTTACAGTTATAGTTAAAGCGAACTCATTTTCTCACTAACAAATAACCAAATTACAGAAGAAAATTGTTAAATAACACATTCAATAATCATTAAAATTGTGTTAATGTGTAGATACCTATACGTATTATTCAATAACCATTAAATCATACAAAATAGACCAAGAAGTAAAACAAAAAGAGTCTAAATAAAGATTTCATTCGTTCGATGGTACAGAAGTAATACTTAATAGGAACTTGAACTCCTTTGGTGTTGCAAGCGTCCATGGGCGGCACAGAATGCTTAAACTACTCCATTAAGAAATATATTTAAAGACCATAATGAAAATTCCTACCTTTTCCTAACATCAGACGTTGCACACATACGTTTGCCAATTCACCTCCAAAAAAAGTTATTTATTTATGTAGCAACAATATATGCCTATCTATTCATTACATCTAGTAGGTATTTATTTCAACACCAATGTTCAGTATCTATATACTACCTTATATTCTGTTAAGTAGAGTTCATTTTATGTTATTCTCATGAATATTTAAAAAAAAACAACTTACAGTGAACCTCCGACACCAAACGCTGATCCACTTGATGTCCCTGAGTCGTTTGCCTCCGGGCAGCTTCAGCAGTATGTCTGAGTTACTGTGCGCCGACAGTATCGGGGGGTCCCTGGAATATAAATATCATATATTTATTAGATGGTGAAAACACTTTACTTGGGGATAGGGAGAGAAGAAATGACTGGAATCATACATCCAGATCCATCCGACCAGAATGAGACCCGAGCGAAAGGTGCGTTGCGTTCCATGCGCGCCTTAGAGTCAATAGTAGTAGGTAAAATAGCAATTTTAGGTATCAATATGGCAAGAATTTAAGAAAATTACGTAGCTTGATACATAAGCACATTGTCTTTGGACATGAAACTGTTCTATAATATAAAAATGAATCGCAAAATGTGCAGCGCATAACTCAAAAACGGCTGGACCAATTTTGCCAGATGATTTTGTTTTGTATTTATTATTGTCAGGAGAAGGGTCTTATGAAAGAAAATATTAGAAAAGTAGAGGGGAAAAGGAACCCTGTCATTGTTAGCGAGATAGTTGGAGCCGTGCGAAGCGGGGTGGGTCGCTAGTTCTAAATAAGAAAAAAAATAGTACTTAAGTTGCAGCTATTTGTCAACTGACAAATTGTAATTCGAACTTTATAGTCGAGTCGGAGACATAAAATAAAAGTAACAGGTTCATAAACGCTGCGTAGGTGAACATAGTCCTAAATCATACCTTAGCAAAACTTTCAAGGAAAATTTATAAGAATAAATTAATTTACTGTGTAGTTCAATTCTTTCAAAGTTATTCCAGCTATTTTTTTTAAGGGGTTTATATGCAAATATGAACTCTTTTCTTTCTTCCACTGCGAATTACTTACGACACCCACACTACCTACAAATAATAGTTTAAAGTAATTAATTAATTAAATATCTCCGAGTACGACCTTAAACTTGTCTTACAAGTAAGTAAAATAGGTACGTTTGTTAAAAAAATATTAATTGCAAATACACGCGCTGTTGTTAACGTCTTGCTTGATGCTCAATTTGGACATGTTGTATAACAAGAGGGTTTAAAAATTCTCAACATAAGCCAAATTGACTGTACAGTTGGTGCGGTGGCTTGGCAAGCGGCTGCCGTGCAACGTGTCGCGGGTTCGATTCCCGCACGGAACAACTCTTTGTGTGATCCATAAATTGGGTGTGGGTGTCATGTGTATGTGAATTTGTATGTTTGTAACCGCACCCACGACACAGGTGAAAATCCTACTATGGAGACAGGTCTAACCCTATAAATATAAGAAACAAAGAATAAACAGTCAACCTACTACGGTCTACCAGATTTATAACCCTTCTTTGAAAAGTCCGCCATGACAGTATTTTCTTGACTCGTGCTAATAAAAGAAGTCAAGGAACACATTGCAACTGGACGTAGGATCGTAAAATGTAACAAAGGTTCGCTCATATACTCCGCAATATATGTACAACATAAGTTATATATATATATATGTACACAGTAAGTAGTTACGTAGCTTGATACATAAGCACATTGTCGACAATATCCTAACAAGAGGGGTAAAAATGTCTTTATTTCACAACAATTTTCTACGAGGTACGATTTTAGTTTCCTAATACCTATTAGTTTTGCTGTGAATTAGATTTTACAAGGCGATTTTATTTCTCTGTACTCTAAAATTACGATTTACAAACCTAAGCTGTTAATCTGGTTGAATTTCATTTATCACAACACACAATTCCAAAAATAATCTCGTTATTCAATTTGACATTTATCTAAAGTTTAAAGTTCGGTTCCAAATCCGTCATAACGAAACAATAGCTGAAGTCAGGCCTTCATTGTAGGCCTACTATTACATAGCCTAGTGTTATAGTATCTTAGCTAATGCTGTGAAAAAGCCTTTTTTACAGCATTAGCTCACACACACATCTCCCCATAAGTAGCGTTAGATGTTATATTGTTGGACACTTAATTAAAGATAATCGTCCAAGTAATACGTCTCTCATTTACTCCTACATTGCAAGGCCTCTTCTCATGCTCTCATAACTCTATTCTTTAAGTGTGGGAGAGCCACCGGTACTATACCAGGGCCTTACAGAAATCCGACGTGAAATAACCATAGCGTTGTTCCGCCGTCTGAGTGAGATTTCTGGAGGTCCAATCTTTCTCCTCTCCTAATCCCTCTGCAATTCCTAATTCTCCAAAACTCTAATCCCCAAAGGTCTGGTCGGGTGTCTATAGGCAGCGCTGATTGCTAACCATCAGGTAATCCATCAGCTCGTTTTTTTTTTTGTGAGGGGAAATCATCCAATGACTCCCGCCAAGAGTCAGCAGGACCAGAGTCTCACTGACTAGAAATCCCCCGTTTCTTTTTCTGCTCTAGGTCGAAGCCACGGTGTCTCATTCCGCTTGCCCCGCAAATCCGTCAGCTCGTTTACCGACCTATCGCTTAACCAGAATGGGGAGGAGGAAAATGTTAAAGTTTAAAAAAGTAAAAGTCAGGTGACGCTGATCAATAGTAGCTATGCGGTAAATAGGTCATCGGGCCCATCGGTTTGTTTTTCTAGGAACGAGCTCGTCTCAAGGATCTTTATCCAAGTCAAATAAAACAGAACATTACTTGTTGTCAAGCGGTAAACTTTATAACATCGGTGGGAGCCTATTTTTTTATTCATTTTTTTACTCTACAATATGTATACCTACGCGTAAGTTTTTATCAAAAGAAAATTTCTTTTTCATAAAAATGCGGAATTATTAAACCGCTCACTACCTTTAGTCGTAATGTCTTTTACATATTTTTTTGTGAGGCAAATATCGTCAAATTTATTCTCCTGCTTTGGGCCGAAGTTGCGGGGCCTCATTGCGCCTGCCCCGCGATACCGGCTGGACATCAGGCACATCAGCCCTTCTGTGGTGGTCTATTGCTTCTTTGAGGCGCACACGGAACGCTACGCGCCGTACGCTCGGGTCTGGTTCTGGTCGGGCGGCGAGCTACCCTTACTCGCTGTCCGCAGACGGTGGCCGGAGATCGTCTCTCGAATGTCTTTTACATGGGTTTACTATTTCAAATACGTTCTATTAACTAAGATTGACATCTCTAAACAACGGACTATCATAGACTCATCACTTTTTTTCTTAAACAAACAAAAGCGAGGAATGTCCTTTAAAAACAGGAACGATTTACGCATTTTTAACAACTGAATAATAAGGAAGTAATGATGGTTCTTTATTTTCCCAACGGCCGGCCATCCTCCCCTCGTAAACTGCCATTAGCATTAACATCCCCTATTATTATCATTATTTAATTATCAAACAATTTTACTACTGTGTTATCCATATTTTTAACATCCCCCCAAAATAACGAGGCGTATTGCGTTCCATCCCTCAAGATATTATAATTACGGAGGATGTTTGGGATGGGGGTGTCTCAAGTATTATCCTGTATTTGCAAAGCTTTTTCCTGTAGCGCTCCTTTCATGTTAACTTTTTGTTAAGATATTTTTTTTATTCGAATATTTTTATTCGTCTGACGTGAATTTATTTTGGAATTTCGGGCGTTTCGTCTCTTTCATCGTAATTAGGGACTAAAGCTTTGCTGTGAATGGGGATTAGGTCACAGTTTTGTGGCTTAGTGCTAAACACAGAAATATAAAAAACAGGTGCTAAATATACGGATAATCAATTAAATACTTTTTTGTAAGAGGAAATTCATCAAATGACTTCTTTCTCTCAGATTGAGGTGAAAGCGAGTGTCAGATCAGATTCTTACTGATAAAATACTCCCCTGTAACTTCCTCTGCTTTAGGCCGAGGTGCCTTATTGCGCTTACCCCGCAACCCCGGCTGAACATCAGCCCTTTAGGGCCCCGTCTGTGGTGGTCTAATGGCTCTTTGAGGCGCGCGCGGAACGCTACGCGCCGTACGCTCGGGATTTCTAAGTATCTACCTAAGTTCCAAGAAAGACCCACGTATTCGTTACTTAAAATATCTTCACAAATATCCTGTGTATACCTACAATAAAAGTCCATCTAACACAATAATCCGTGTTAATTAGCAGAGGTCATGACCCCATGTTGTGACAAACACATACATATACACAACCGATTTCTTTGAAAAACTCATTAATGTCATACATTAATTTGTCATTGCTAAAAGGATTTCAAGTTGTCCAGTCGATATAGGGAAGCTACAATCAGTTTTACTACAAAAACGGACCTTGTAACTGGAGTAGTAGAGGTGATTTTATATTTAGCCAGGTTACAACGCTATGACACGGTTTTATTGATTTTAATGTCGTAGTTATTAAAGCCAGTTCCAAAGTCTTGGTGCCTAGTATATAATGTTACTATGTAGGAAGTCTTTAGGATCACTTATGTAACACAAAAAAAATACCTTTTTTTAAGTTATACATATAGTAGCTATGTATAGAGTTCCTTTCTCGTTCTTATCCATATGAATCGAAACTTTGAGGCAACCAAAGCTAGCCAAAGCCAAGACTAGCTTTTGCCGCGACTCTTTTCGCGTAGAATAGTTACTTCCTGCAGATTTTTGGTATAAAAACTATCCTATATCTTTCTCGAGTTACACAAACTGTGTCTGTACAAAATTTCACAGAAATCGGTTCAGTAGTTTAGGCGTGAAGAAAAGACAGACAGACAGATAGAGTTACTTTCGCATTTAAAATATTAGTTTGGATTCTAATGTCTACCTATCTGTTTCATTAGGCAGAAATCAAGTTAAATATGAAATCTATCTATATTTATTTAGTTCACTATAATGTTTAATTCAAAAATAGAAGTCTAACGACGAACCTACAGATCAAAAATTTTCAAATAGAAAAAACCTAGCAACACAAAACCTAATCCCACCCGTGTATCGAACGCTACACCTCATTTTCACAACTTCCTCAACGAGCCAGTAAGAAAGCGCACTTATCTAAATTAATTTAAACTTATTTAAATAACGTTGTACTTGAATTACAGAGAGACAGGGGCCAGGGTCTCGTTCGGAATGAACTAGGGGCCCGCTCATAGATCGTGCGAAGACGAATTTATTTCGTTTTCGTTTCGCTCGTTGAATATTAAGTCACTGGCTTTTTGACGAATGTGGCGCGTGTTAGAACGAATATTTCTGAATAAGGAAGGACGGAGAGAATTATGAGGATGTTATTCAAAATAGAATTGTAATAAGCGGTAATAGGTTTTGTATTTGCATAAATATTATTGTCAATTGTTGTGTTTGCTGTAAACTAATTTCGACTTTGATTATCAAAGTATGAAGATTAGTTTTTTATAATTTTGTTAGCTCTCGTCAGGAGTACCTACGCTACTCTATCTACCCTTCTCTATCCTACATTACCTAACCTACCCAACCCTACCTACTCTGTCCTACCTTCCCTACCCTACCTATTCTACCCTATCTTAGGTTACTCTTCTAGTTCTAAACTATTTTTTTTTTAAATAATTTATTCAGTAAAGTTACAGAAAAGTGTCATTATCATCTAAACTCGCCAAACTTTAACGTTTGATGGCGAGAGGCGCTCTTTATACAATAACATATTTATACATAATCGTGAATTTAGTACCTAGGTGCAATTACTTGGGTTTTTTTCTTTAAAATTTAAATATCCCTATTTTATGCATACTATGTACTTATAGCTAGGTATGGCACAGTTTATATAATAATAATTATTGACTAACATAACAAACAAAACATAAAAACACACACAAACATAACATTCTTACTTCTTATTATTAATCTAATATAAAGCTTTTTAGTTTTGACTTAAGAGATTCTTTGGTTAACTTTTTCCCTTCTTCTCTTAGCATCTCTATTTTATTAAATATATTAGGAACTAAGTATGCGGATGTTCTCTTGCCATAATAATTTTTTATCTCGGGTGATATTAGTTTTTTTTCTCTAACCCTACGCGTATTATATTTGTTCTATAAATTAATTTTATAATCGTCATTAAAATAGTATTGCAAACCAACTAAATAATCTACTTTTTTGTCTATGGGTAAAATTTTACAAATAGAAAATAACTTATCATACTCTTTGACTTTACTACATCACCACCAATTCTCAACGAAATCGGTTTAGCCATTTTTGAGTTAAAAACAGTGTAACTAAGAGGACTTTCCTTTTTTTAAATAGATCTCATCTGGAGGATTTAACCTTTGAATGGATCTCATATTTGGTAATAAGTTCCTGTTAATAGTACCTAACACTATAGCTGTTTCGTATGTGTGACTTTTTATTGGCTACAATGAATATAAATGTATTTACAAACTTTTTTTTATAACTTCGAACCACAGAAAAGCAAATATAGGGAAAATGATCGGACACGCGTGATGGCAACAAAGATATTTCGTAAACATTTTCCAAATTATGTAAACTATATAAACAATAAAATATAATTGAAACCATTAAAGATAAATTAAACTAAAATTTCGATGGAACGAGAGCTATGGAATTACGAGTACCTATCTGAAGAGGTAGACCAGAGAGCTCTCACTCGACGTCGATTTGTCAAAATATTATAACGAGCATCTTGTTAATATTCAAGAGGTACACTTGTTTATCGTTTGTAGTGTATACCTATCTATATTATAACAAATATTAAATCGATATTTAATAGAAGTTTACTATGAGAGTAAATAGTTGTTGGCATTACAATATTTTTTTCTCTACAAGTGTGGGAGAGCCATACTTTGGTACGAACGGGTCGGCTCGATCGGAGAGATACTACTCTCTTATAGAAAATCGGCATGAAATAACCACAGCGCCGTGTGAGTTAGGTTACTGGAGGCCCAATCCTTCCCCTCCCGCAATCTCTCCTTAATCCCTAAATCTCCAAATCCCTAATCCCTAAAAGGTCGGCAACGCACTCGTAACTCCTCCGTTGCGAGGGTCTATGGGCGGCGCTGATTGCTTACCATTAGGTAATCCGTCTGCTCGTTTGCCGACCAATTACATAAAAAAAGCCCTCCCAATCTCTAAATCTCCAAAACCTTAATACCCAAAAGGGCGGTTAGGTACTCGAAACTCCTACGTTGTTGCGTGATGTTCATTGGCGGCGGCGTTGATTGCTTACCATCAGGTAATCCGTTTGCTCGTTTGCCGACCCATCACATAAAAAAACTAATTTATTTCATGCATATTTATGACTGTTTGATGATTCATTGATATTCCGAATATAAGTATGAGTGATTTTCCTATTTTCTCTTTATAAATTGTGCCTTCGATAGACAAGAACATCCAAAACAGAGTTAAAGAAAGAGAGAAGAGTGAAACAGTAAGTTAGACATTCTATAACAATTTCGCAGATACAGTTTGACGTAGTGAACAAGACTTCATTAGCGGATCGAACCCTCGACCTTTACAAGTAGAGGAGGAAAACTTTATCAATGAAAGTTTAACTTTAGTGAGTAACAATACAAGTGTTAGTTGCCAACACAGGTACACGATCTCTTGTGTAACCGATTCTCGAATTAGAATGGGGAAAATCGATTTCTATTTGAATACGTTGTCAGTTTAGTAAATGATAAATATTAGAGTTTAACTGTAAGTCGAATTGTAAGGTCTGGTTAAACCTGGGCAGGCCCAACTTCTCCCAGAATGATGACATGAAGTACTAATCATCTCGGGAGATAATCTACAGTCACCATAAGAGCGTGTCTGCGCACGGCAAGTACAAGTACAACCAGACCCGAGCGTACGGCGCGTAGCGTTCCGCGCGAGCCTCAAAGAGGCAATAGACCACCACAGACGGGGCCCTATAGGGCTCATGTTCAACAGGGGTTGCGGAGAAAACGCAGAAGAGCAGAAGAGATGGGGTATTTTTAGTCAGTAAGAGTCTGACACAATGGGCATTGGATGATTTTCCCCTCATAAAAAGTATTCCTCTTTTGAGGTTATTTTGATAAGTACGTTTCGTATCTATGGAGAATTTAGAATGTTTTAATTCCACGGCACTCCAAAATCCAACGCTTGTTTTTGCGAATGATTAAAGAAGCGGCAGTCAGTTTTTTTGATTCAGCAATCTCTGCTCTTCATTAAAGCAATGATCAGACGGCACGACTCATCGTGCCCTAAGTCCCTAAGTTTCGATGGATTGGGTTTGGGTGGTATGGTCGCTGTTAGGATGTTATGTCCCTAAAACCGGGAGAACAAATTTGCCCGAATCATGACGTCTGATCGCGGTTTAAAGGAAAAAAAAGATTCTGATACTGACCTTGTGGTATAGTCCTCAGGGTAGGGGACCAGTATACCCTCAGGGCTTGGCTGAGGAGAGTCCCCCACCCAGAAGTAGGCATCAGGACCTGTCCCATCGTAGGCGAAACCGCGCACAAATACTGTGCTCTCGTCCACTGCGTACACGGTTCCTCTGATACCGTGCGCATACTGTGTGAGCCGACCAATCAGGCGGCCGTAGTACGGCTCCGGACGACGAGATGTTACTGTGTCTGTGAACAAAGTGAAAATTGATTTTAGTTTGCGATAAAGGCTTTAAAAAAACAAAGATGTGGAACCAAATAGGTTTTGTGATTTACAATTCTATTTTAAAAACAAACGAAAGCTAAAAACGAAAAAGGGAAAATAATACTATTATTATTAACTAGCTTTTCTCGCGCGGTTTTACCCGCTACTTGGCTCCTGCAGATCGGAGTTTAAAGTTTTATAGCCTTCGTCGATAAATGGACGAAACGAATTGTAACTGAAAACCAGCAGTTCTGTAGATTAGCGCGTTCAAAGAAACAAACGAGCATACAAACATACTCTGCGGCTTTATATTATTCATATAAGTAGACATGTAAGAAATCTTTTCCTTCCTCCCTTTTTTGGAAGTCGGTTATATGTATATAACACCTATATATGTATAGATCTTTGATGAAGATCGACGCCAAATTCATAGCAAACGTCTTTTCAAATTTCATCGCCTTCTCATTCCAAAAGCTAGCAGAGTCTACATTATTTATGAATAACAACATCCTACTAACATTATAAAAGTAAAAGTTTGTGAGAATATGAAAAAATATTTGCTATTCTTTCATGCAAAAACGGCTAGACTGGTTGTAATTTGGAATGCAGATAGGTGACACCCTCTGAGTGGAAGTAGCGACTGTCGCAACCGAGGGCCGGGCACGCTACTATAGCAGCGGTAAGACCCCTCTTTGAGGAGTGGCTTGAGAGACGCCACGGCGTCCTCTCCTTCCGTCTGACGCAGGTGCTTACCGGGCACGGCAGCTTCGGTAGGTTCCTATTTCGGATCCAGCGGGAGGAAACGCCCGAGTGTCGTCATTGTGAGGACCACCTAGAGGAGACCGTGGATATTCCCCTCACAAAAAAAAATGATAGTTGACACCCTGGAATAATACATAGGCTAATCTTTATCGACACACCACGCCAAGCCACGGGCGGAAGCTAGGTTTAAAATAAGATAGTTATATACTCACACGGTAGATATATTAATCGCTCAAACGTATCACGTGTATGTAGCCTGAGCTTTGATAACTACGCGTAGGAAGAGAATCCTATCATATAACTTAGAAAAAGCCATACAATCTTTGAGTAGGTAAATCTATTTGAATGGGAGTTTACATAAGAATGGAATTTCAAACACATGGAGCTCAATATGTGGGGGCAGGAGGGAAGGGTTGGTTGGGTAAGACAACGTGAAGGGTAAACTGGGCTGTTTGAGTGATTCTTGAAGAAAGACTGCGTTACTTCGGAGCTGTATCTTGCTGAATCTTGGATATTCTTTGCTGCAGAATAAGATTAAAGGTTTCTTTTCCCACTCTGAGTGGAGCGAGATGGAATGTGACTCCTAGGAACTGGCTGAAAACCACCAGGTTCCTTCTCGTAGCCGGGACGCGGTTCATCATAGGGCTTGCACCCACAACCAAGGCTGACATTGGACCCCATCGGTCTCTGAGTTTTGAAAAACAATATGACGTAGCTTGTTCCAATGAAGACCTTTATTCTTGGCGCTGACGTAGTTGTGGACTTAATTTCAGTTGGATTATAGAACTTTATAAATATTGCAAGACAGTAAGATACACGAACTACTAAAATCAAATTTAGTTGTTACTTTTAAAAAGTTTCAAACAAATACTACAAATATTTGTGAGTTAAGCAGAGTCTTTGAAGGTTCAACATTGGAAGGAGAATAAAAGCAGTACTTGAGTGACTAATGATAATGCTTATCAGCGTATCAAAGAAACAGTTGTAAGAAGTAAATCCCTTCGAGGAGGGCAGGAGGGCTGCGCTCAGCATCATCAATACACGTTAACGATTTCCCTCAGCACTGATCAGTAGTCGACAACACGCTGACAACACACCGTGTATAATGTGCACTGACAATCAACCCCCAATTTAGGGTCCAATCTTCCCCAACAAAACGTCACAACACCCCACCACCACCCACGAATTTAAGACCTAATCTCACAAAGAATAAGGCGCAGATTAGAATGAGCAATGAATACAAATGAAGTTTTTTCACAAAGTAATATTCTTAAAAGCTGCGATCGATCAGCGATGAGGGGTAAGGGGGGGGGGGGGTGTAGTCAGTCGATTGTCGATTCCATTAGCAGACGGATGTACGATTTGATAAGTCACCGTCGCGGCTGCTATGGGTAATGTTTTAGGGTAAAATTTGTAAATTAAACGAACAGCTGGTTGCGCCGTTTTTACAACATTGTTTAAATATTAAGTTTTAAAAAAGGTTTAACGAATTTATTACTCATTAAGAACAATACATAGTTCACTTAATAAGGAGTTTAACTAAAAATAACAAATATAAATGTAATTATAACATATAATATTAATTAAGTTGTGTGTTGTATCAGAAATGCTTAGCCACACCTAGTCGCACTCTCAGGTCCGGTGATTATTCATCAAATGAACTACTGCGAGTAAAGTCAAAGTCGTTATCATTTATTCCAACTAAACCATAAATAGGTACTTTTGAAACGTCAAAATAGAATAGTAGTCTGTTCGTCAGTGAAGCTAGGTGCTCGTTCCAAATTATAGATTCGAATGGAGAATCGAGAAGTAAAAAAATAGTTTACGCTATTGCGATCGACATGTTTAATGACGTTCAGCGTTCTGATTGGTTCGCTCCAAGGTAACCAACCAATCACAGGGCATGTGTTGACGTTAAGAAAACTCGCAATAAATCCTCAGTACGTAAACTTGTACCTAGTTAATTTTAGTTCAATACTAGGTATACACAGAGTGATTGTTTTTAACATTGGATCTGGACAAGCAGTATATGGGACTTCAAAATTGTTGGTATTGTACTTAACTTTTAGGTATTTAGCTAATAGTACCTACAACTTTTAATCAGTTATATTTTTAATTTTTCTTCTTTAAAAGAGAGCGAACCCTAAAACCTCTCCCCAAACCCTCTGAAACCCCTATCTCCAAATGGCCGTCCACGGGCGGCGCCGAATGCATACCATCAAACTAATCCGAAGGCTCGATTGCCGAATTATCTCATAAAAAAATAATATTTGTTTCAAGTCCTTTGATCATCAGTATCATCAATTTAATTCAATAAATGACGCAATTAATTGATAAAAATCACATCACTTATTTGCCCAGGCAATCGTGACAAAATCGCCCACTTTGAGTTATATACACACCGTTATTCAAATTTAAATTTATCAAAAGGTAGAATTACTATATTTGTAGGTATATCTCAGGGCAATGAACTTTCAATGACCATAGAATATAATAATATAAACTATTAATAAAATAAAGTGGGCGTTTGAATACAGAATACAATTATAATATGACTAATGTAAAGAGTCAATAACTAACGGTTTATAGGAATTTCCATCTTCAGTCGTAAATATTATCGTACCATCTTTACATTCCTGGATAATGCTGGAATTAAAGGTACCTAAATACGTATTTTGATATTAATGTATGGAGAGTCAGTTGTTAATTGACTGCACGGTTGGTGCAGAAGCCGCGCAACGTGTCGCGGATTCGATTCCCGCACGGAACAACTCTTTCTGTGATCTACGAATTGTTGTTCCCGGTCTGGGTGTGATGTGTATGTAAAATTTTATGTTTGCACCCGTAACATAGGAAAAAATATTAAAGTGTAGGGCAACGTTAAAATAAAAAAAATAGTGTCATCGAGTCATTGACTATCTACAAAACAAAGGTCCGGCCAAATGTCTTTCAGGCAGACCGATTGGAAGGGGCCTGTATACAGCGGCTCTTGATGTGACATTCTAATCTGAGTATTTATTATAATAGGTCTTTACTCATGAAATAGCCGTTCTGCAGTACTGGCCATTTCAAATCAAAATAGTTTTTGTTAGACTAAGGCTAATTCATTTTGTTTTAAAAACATGGGATTCTTTTTCCAAAAGTAGTAATTTGTTTATTGATTAGTGTTACATTTTCATCGCATTTCAAATAAAAAAAAAATCGTTTAAATTTTTTCATGCAAAACGGCAATTTCATATGTAAAGACCTATTAGCAACGATGAAAACTTATTACTCCAAATCAATGATTTTTGAAAATTTGAAATATATTTCCGTGAATTTTGTATGAATTTATTGACGACCACGTCACGACTATTTTAACATCATGTAAGTATTGTATTTATTTCTCCTAATTTAGTCGGAAAAGTACCAGAGTTAAACTTTCAATTCTATTAAATCATGGGCTTATTGTTATATTTAAATAGGCTGATAGATTTTCTTACTGGAAATAACTTAGTTTTGATGTAGTCATTACGCCTATAGCTTCGTAAATTCCTTAAATGATTTGAAACAATTTTAATTCGTTTCATCGAGCAAAATAAGTAATATCTTCACATCATCGCTGATGAGCAACATTTTTTAATCCTCTTCCATACGCAGAAGGATTGAGCATTAACGTAATAAGTAAAAATCTTGATTTAGCTCATGAGATTGTCGACATGTGGGATGTAGACTCAGCAATCATTGTGCCGATAGTCGTGTCTGCCAATGGTCTCATGGCTAAAATCCTTGATAAACACCTAAGCAGGCTTACGTTAGATGGTTGGGTCAAGAATCTGATGCAGAAAGCTGTACTTCTAGACACGGCGCGCATTGTCCGGAGATTCCTTTCTCTGGAACCCTGACCACCGGTTGCTTGGAACCCTCCCGTAACCGGTGGCATACTGCTTTTTATACTTTTAAGTGTTTTTTTTTTGTTTTATAAAAATATTTAAAAATGTAAAAATCAAGTTTTAACATAAATAAAGAATAATTAATTAGAAACGATAAGTTCAGGTTTCTTCACGATAATTTAGTTCACGTTAAATAACATTTTAGTAGAAATAGTCTCTACAACAGCATTCAAAACATTATACTCGAATTATTCTAGTTCTTTATAATCTTCAGGTTTAAAATTGATACATAAATGTTGATGAATAGCCTAAATTCATTTCGCTGAATACGGGAGAGCGTATACGTAAAA